TTTTTCCGTTTTCGTCGTCGTCATACATCGTCTTTTTTTCATGTAATATGAACAAAAAAGAACTTTGAAATTAAAATGAATTGAAAACTTCTGCGTATGCAGTGTTCGACAAGCATACGATCTCGATTACTTTCTTTCAATCTTCCGAATACTACAGGAGAAGAAAAGCAAAGCCAAAGTCAGTTTGAAGTGGTTAAGGCAAACTTGTTAAGTTCTGAATGGAATTATTTCGTTTGGCCACAAAGACATATAAAAGTGTAACTAACGTAGCCACAATGAAGCGTCAAAAAACACTGAAAAGTTAGGTTGTGACAGGAAACGCTTACAAAGTTTCACGCAAAAAGAAAATGAAGTGATGAAATGGAATAATTGAGTTGTTAACCATATACACAATATCGTCGATTCAGACACATTCACAGAACAAACGCTTACATGGTGCACTTAATTTTCTTCCGAATAAGTTTCACTTTAACGGTGCCGCCAATCAAGTCATTGCATTAAGTTTGCTAACTGTGATTATTCTATGAAATTGAAAAGCAAAGCAAGCAATCGACGAGATTTATGTATACATTGCACACGGTTGAAGTGATGAAAGAAAAATAAACCGTCGCTGACAATACGACAAGTGTCATGTTTAAAGCTCTGAGCACCATAGCAAACTGTGTGTATGCAAAAAATTGAGTACCGCTCATGATAACACATTTTTTACGAACTAGGAAATATTTCAAATACTTGTGAAATGTCTTTTTTGTTGATGTCGTTTGCGGAATCGAAAGACGAATAAAAAAATGAAAGAGAGCGAAAGGACGCTATTAAGAAAATGTAAATATTGATTGCGTGAATTGAGCAAATAAGAAATTGTAAAAAGAGAGAATCAGAATTGCTTTCAATAAATTCATCAAATTGATAGCAAAATACGTACTGAACCGCACAATAAATCGTCTGAAAAAAATGTAACTTGATATTACCAAGATCTCAATTTAATCAATTTGGTGCGCGAAAATGAGACCACAAAAGAAAAAATGATCATCCTTGTTCGAACAACGAAAATGAAAAAAAAAAAAATCTCGATATGAATTCCATGCGGAAAGCAAATAAATTAGTTGAGTGTGAGATTTCAATGTGGTATGTATGGTGCATTGCGCAATGCGTGACCATTGAATTTCGACAGATGTTACAATCCATACACGAATTCTATGGTAACTGAATAAGCTGCTGTCGTTCCCTTAAATAATATTCTTTTTCTATTCTTTGCTGAATCGACAATTTGTATATATGGATAGCGTGATTCAATAGTGTTATTGCTGATTACGTCTGTGATTGATTTTATTACCCAAATGGACTCGATAAACTCTCAATAAAGCCATTTACAATAACCATCTTCATGTTTGCATTCGTTTATTCTTTGCATTCAACGAACGTGAAAAAACGCCACAACCTTTTTTGACTGCGATTCGAAATAAATCGATTAGATGAGAACGGCATTGCCAATGAAATCCGATTGTAAGATGTACACAGCTTTTATCTTGATTTGCATCACAAACGTTATGCATTGATGAATATTACCGAACTTATATATATTATATAACCAATGGCAAGGAAAGTAAATGTTTGTTTTTTATGTACGAGCGTGAGTTGTTTTTTTATTTTCTCAAGAGCCGCGGCTCAGTCGAACATCAACCACGCTTCTTGGAATGCAGTCGTCCATGGTCCCCATGGATGAACAATGAATGTTCTAATAAGTTAAAGCATTAACTGATATGACTCAAATAAAGAAAATAAAGACATGACCAACCATTGCTTTTTGTATAAACAACTTATTGTCAAAAAAGTAGCCAAATAACGCACAGAGAGCAGAGAGAGAGAGAGCGAGCGAGAGAGAGAGAGAGAGACGTTGCATACGTAAAAGATCAGAAAATGCGAAATAAAAATATGAGAATACAAGCGAATTTCGCCCATTGACATTGATAAGAGATTTGGTCTGACAACCTAATAATAGCCCGCATTCCGAAATATTTTATTTTTTTTTCAGTCATGTAAATAACGAATGGGACTAGTAATCTGGATTTCATTTTTTTCGTGGGCTTTGTAAAATGTATATACACACACCCACTAGCAGTAGCGTCAGCATCGAGAAAATCGTCAAAAGTCTCTGGTGTATTGAAATGATAACAACAGTGATATCGAATCTTTTTTAACCACCAGAATTCACATATATGTGAAAACAGAAAATCATAGCGATTTAACGAACATGGGGATTGTCATTGTGCAAATAGATGCGAAAATTTAGTCTGGAGTACTTTTTTATGTTTACATACTAACTGAATTTATTTTCCATTGTCTATTTCTCGTGCTATTTTGATGAAAGCAATATATTATACACATACGAGAAAAAAAAGGAATTCATTTTATTAACAAACTTCTCGTCGGCTCTTTTTCAGCATCAGTGTAATAAAACAGTGTGTGTTAGTTTTTCATTCACCGATAAGAATTATAATGATAAATATCAAGATGTTTAGTGCTTGACGGCCATGCGTAGTAACTATCAAGCACATAATTTTAATCCACTTTCGAACAGCAGTTTGAAAATGGAAACTTAAATTAATTTAAATAAAACAGAGTGAAAAGACTTGGTCGCCATACACAGTATCAAAATTACATCGTGATCAAAATCTTGAAAACAAACAAGACGCTTGTAATAATCACATCAGCTTTCTTCAATTTTCACCATCATTATCAAGTATTTAAGTTAAATAAAAATAAGCCTATGAATGAGTTGATGCCAATATTTCCATATTTAATGAACTTAAAAGTTTTTCTCATTATTCAGAAATTCATACTCATCTGATGATACTTTTACCAGCGAAAAATAAGAAGAATCGAAGCTCAAAATATATTTTAAAGTAAAGAACTGATTTGACGGTGGAAAATAAATCGGTGGTTCATTAACCGTCAAATGAAAACATCAAATTTTTTATCGGATTTCCGAAAATAATTTCGTGATAATACCAACAACATTCATTATTTTTCGGAGAGGAAATGGAAATGTTGCATCAATTTACCAATGCTATATTGCTTTTGTAGCGTTTTCACCTTCATTTGGAACTTTGAAGGTAAACCACATTTCCAAGCGAGCTATCAATTCAATTCATTTTAAACATGTTGGTTACATGACACCCATTACATCAGAAGAAGAAGACATTATAAGATTTTATACACAGCACGACATGTTTCAAAATAAACTCATTGTAAATCTATGTATCTTAATTTTGGAATTGTGATAATTCAATTCAAAATCAAAACGGTTGAATTCTTGATAAAAACGCATCTCTCAAGAATGTCGTTATATGGTGTGTGTTTCTGACAAATGTAGAATGACATGCAGTAATAAGGAATTGTTCTAATAAAATTGTTGTAAATGCCAAATTAATTAATAAATCTGATCCTACCGCAGCATGTAATGTTGGGTTTAGGGTATGGAGGAATCAATTCTGAAACGAATGCAGAAAGAATAACAACTTTGTAATTAACCACCACAACGTACAAGTGGTGTGAAAATAATTTATATGTTATATCCTATCATATATCTTAAACACTTCATTAGTTAAGGGCGCTCTTCTTATCATCGATATTTATAATTTAATAAGGTCTGAAGATGGGCATATTATATTTATCTAGATCTAATAATAATTTTCATAATAGACGATAAAATGTAGAAAGTTTCACAAGAAGATTTCGAAATTGTTTTTCTTCTGTTGGGAAACAATACATTTCCACAGACTTTGTACCATGGCGAACCGTCACTTTGAATCAAGATGGCGGTTGTGTTTTTTGTTCTCAATTGTTTACCTACCAATTAACTTTGTTTACAATTGAAATTATAGCACCACCAATACCAACAACAATCTCGTGGGATTTTAAATCAAAATATTTTGAAATTTGCACGTTGTTCTCAAGCAACGACATACGTTGCGCTTTCTGAAAATAAACAAGCTGTGCTTGATTTTTTGTGAATTATAACGACGCGAAATGCACTGATCTTGTATCTCTTGTACATGTTGGAGGTTCTTTTGTATATAAGTCTCTTCATTAATTTTTACTCGATTTCATTCTAAAGAAAACCGTTTACATTCTTAAGATTCTTGCATAATATTATCAATATTGCGAATTTTTTATTTTTCTCTGAATTTTTAATGAATAATGAATTATTATAACATTCGAAAATCTACTCGATAAAGATTTGCATCAATGTTTTAATTTTGCCTCTGCGTTCGTTGGTTGGGGGGTTAATGTTAAATTTATGTTGTGAAATTTCAACGATAAGACACACCTCAGCAAGCACATGTGCACTTAACGTAATTAATGAATAGCATAAATATACGCACATAATAAACAGCCAAATAAGCAGACAAACAAAATTCGCATCCAATATCGAAAATCTGTGCGCATATGAAGAGTAAACGCTCTTATAGGTAGTATAATGTTGAAGTATGTAATATAACACGTATTTTCACACTGCATGAAGCGTGATACGGTTTCGTATTTTGCAGTTCATACTCATTATATGCTTGATTTAAATGATGAGCTAATTTGAATTTGTGTATTCGTTTTGTTAAGAGCTTTGCTTCCACGTATGAGGTGATGGAAATTTCACCAAAGATAATATTTCAAGCGCGTCGAACATGCAACACATGAACATATTGCGGTTTGTTAAAATGGATTTTGATATCATCTCAATTTTCATTTGGTTCCAGGAATCAGATGTTGATTGGTATCTCACTCTACTCATTACGTTCCATTTAATGATCAGTAAGATCGTAATTCAACAAACGTATGCTCTTTCATTAGGTGAAATATATTTATACGAACAAGAGGGATTATTCCATATCATTGTATTTGAAAATCGCTTGAAAGCCCTCACATTCTCTATCACATATCATTAAATTTAATGCGAGAAAAATTTCGCTCTTTAATATGTGTTTTCCTTTTCTATTTTACAGTTGATATAAATCAGTTGGGTTGCATACACAAAACGAGCGATACGGTCAACGAATGTACAAAGATAACGGCAAGATAAATGTGGAGCTTTTGGCTGAAGTCGGTGACATTGCTCATCGTCTGCGTACTCTAGATAAACGCTTGGCCTTGAATTTTGAAGATCCACGAATTCAACAAGAATTACAACACTGTAAAACTTCGACAGCGCATTCATCTAACGAACCACCTAAATCAGACCACCAATGTTCTTCATCGGAGAGACGACCGAGCTTAGCAGCACAAGTTGCCCAAAATATTGGCGATAGAATTAGCGGCAGTAGTTCGGGCGCAACAGACTCAGAAACCACACAACAACGACGCTATAGCAGCAAACAAGTGGAAGATATCATTTTAGAATTTTACGAAAAACACTTGATCTTTCATCAAAATCTAGAAAAAGAACGTTTAGCGACGATATCGGGAGCGGAGACAAGTGAATCCACAAGACGATCACGTATCTATCGAATGACAATTGGTGATTCGAATAATATGAGCAACTTGCCGTCGATAGAAACCAACAAATGTTCAACGAGTAATACTGGCGATAATGCCGATAGTCATGTAAGCGCAGAGGGCAATTTGTCAACCGAACAAATAACAACCAAACCAAATGAATTGACTGCTGAACCAATCGAAAATACGACGTCGACAGAAGAAGAAACATCGGCATCAGCAACCGCAACAACTGCCAGTGGAAAACGCAATTCAATTGCGAACCAGCAAATGCCCGAAATTCAAATCAGCAACAGTGATGAACAACCGAAAACACGTAAATCACTTACTACTGAACAGTTTGAACAAAAGGATCCTACCGACGATTCAACAAACGAAGAAACATCAACTAATACAACAATAACAGCAACTGCAGGAACTGGAGGAATTTGCGGTCACTATTGCGCTGGTTGGCAAACATCAATTTGGAACAATAAATTCGATGACGACGTTTTACGAAAACTTGTTATGGAATTGAAACACAAAATCGAATTTACCGAAAGAATGAATTGGCTCTGTAAGTACTACCAAAAAATCGAATCTAATGCACACATTTGTGTGTTTTGCTTGTTCAATGTTTGACTTTGAGGTTTCATTTTAACCAAAAACCAATTGACTTTATACATTTCTGTTGACTGTTGTTTAGTCGTTTTAGTGGCAAACATTATGCCACAAATTCTCTCAATTCTCGAACATTTATTTTCGATGTGATGACTTACGTTGTTAAAAAAAAACTCAAGTAAATTTTACTCAAGCAGATTTATCGAAACGACCGGCGGGACCGCCACATCGTAAAACCAGTTTACCAAAGCATACAGAGGTTAAGAAACGGTTTATGGAAATTTGCGATCGAACGCTGTCGGATGAAATCAAGGCTGCACTTCGATTGCCAGCATTCGATTCGTATGAATGGGAAGATGAAGATGTGCTATTTCTAATGCAAACCATGTTCATCGATACGGGTTTGGTGGAAAAGTTCAATATACCGTTATCAGTGTTACGTGAATGGCTTTATGAAGTCTACAAACACTATAACGCCGTACCATTTCACAATTTTCGGCATTGCTTCTGTGTTGCACAAATGGTAAGTGGCAGAGAACATTTAGCGTAACCACCTCATCAATGACAAACTACTATATGGACACTCGCCCAAATGTCGGACTATTTGTTTGAATTTTCAGCTTCAATTTGATATTTAACACTTTTGTTTTCATCTAATAATATCATTCTATACACAATTCTATGCAGAATTTAATTGTGCTTCATTTCACACTTGTCAAAAGAAAGAAATTTCCAAAAATATATTATTATTTTCCTGTTTCCGTCGTAACATCGAAAATTCCAAATGTCGGATATTCATCGTCCAATTCTCGGCTCCCAAATCTCGACATATTTCATGAATTTTCACTGCGAAGCTTGAACTACTTTAAGTTTTGACAGCTCATGAACGCATTTTTTACATTGAGGTAAAAAATACAAAATATTGGAGTTAAAATTATTAGATTGATATATTTTTGCTGCATAATTAATTTTATTTATTTTTTCATAATAAAATGGCAAAAATATTTAAAAATATTACGTTATTTCACTGATCTATGATATTTTTGGTTTGAATTTCACAATGATCCAAATATCGACTTTAACTGTCACATCTGTCAAATTCAAAGTATTTCACTTGAAACTTGGGTGCTTTATGTGTCGGCAATTGGACGATTTATTCCGGAATAATATTACAGTGAAAAATGAAAAATAAATATGATTTTTTTTCTTTATATTTTCAATATTTCTGTTCAATAACTAAATTAAACTATCTACAATTCGCAGGCATATTTTTTTTTTCAAAATTAGTTATTTCTTCATATAAAAAAATGCATTTTACCGGCTTGTCTCAAAATGACATAGTTTAACTTTTGACGTGAAAAAGTGATAGAAATGACTAATTTTTTTTGAACGTAATTTGTGAAAGCAATAATAGATTTTTGATTAAAGTTTGGATTATAATAAAGAGATTTGATATTGATCTTTCATAATTTACTTTTAAAAATGCAATTAAAATGAATTTTCAATTTTTAATTTCAATTCACCTCTCGGTATTCCGACATTTGGTCGTGTGTCGACATTTGGCAATGTACTGTATGCCATTTTTTTCATGTAATTTTCTTGTCCACTTTGAAGTTTCATTTTTATTATTTCCTTAGTTTATTTTATTCATCCATAAAAAACATATATGCCATGAATGGTACATCCATTTTCAAAAACGTGCCAATCAAATCGAATTTATTTTGTCGATTTTCATATATAATTTTATTTATTTATTTTCTTCCACCGATAATTTTATTTATCTGCTCTTATTTTTGCTTACGCGGATTCCGATTTCATCAATCAACTGTCATCACTCGGTTCGAAACTCGATCGCTCACACAGATGTATGCAATCACATGCCGAACAAATCTGTCATCACGGCTTGGCGATTTGGAAGTGTTGATATTATTAGTATCTTGCATTTGCCATGACTTAGATCATCCAGGTTATAATAATATTTATCAAATAAATGCCAGAACAGAATTAGCACTAAGGTAATTATCGATTTTACGGCCGTCATTTGATATTTGCGCACCCATAGCTGAATAAACATTTTTATTTATTTATTTTGTTTATGATTTTGTAATATGAATGATTTTTTGATTTCAGATACAATGACATATCACCGTTAGAAAATCATCATTGCTCAATTGCATTTAGATTACTGGAACATCCGGACTGTAATATATTTAAGAATTTTAGTAAAGAGGCGTTTAAGTAAGTGTCTACAAATGTTATTATACGTTTGATCCGTTAATCTGATTTCTTTTTTTTTTTCATCTTTATTCGCATAATTTTAGTCAAATACGTGAGGGTATCATAAGATGTATCCTTGCCACCGATATGGCTCGTCACAATGAAATCTTGACACAATTTCAAGAAATTACTCCCACATTCGATTATACCAATGAAGCCCACATAAATTTAGTGAGTTTTTTGAAGTCAATCATTTTTTACACAAGACAGAAATTAATAAAACGGGCTTAATAAAATTGTGTGTATTTTGTGGGTTTATTCTAGCTCTGTATGGTTCTAATAAAAGTTGCAGATATATCGAACGAAGCGCGGCCTATGGACATTGCCGAGCCGTGGCTTGAGCGATTATTGCAGGAGTTCTTTGCACAGAGTGCTGCTGAGAAGTCAGAAGGTCTTCCTGTAACACCTTTCATGGATCCAGATAAAGTCAGCAAACCAGGCAGCCAAGTTCGATTTATTGGCTTAGTATTGTTACCATTATTTGAAGCACTCGGTGATCTGTTGCCGGAATTAATTGATATGATTATTCAACCAGTTCGTGATGCATTGGATTATTACAAGTGAGTAATTCCAATACTGTATTCAAGTGTTAACAAAACTGTTTATTTATTTATTTAAATTTTCAAAAATTAAAATAGGAAATTAAATGACGCACAAAACAGAATTCGAAAATCTCTTGGCGAAGTTGATGGATCATCGGATGGTGGTGCAAGTACTTCACCTCAAATGCCACGTTCACAATCTGGCATTAGTGTACGTTCGCGTCGTAGTATTCCATCGCAAAAATCAACATCACGTACATCCGTTGATGAGCCACTTTGCATATCGGCCGAATTGCACGATCTTCCAGAAGGCAGTGAAAGTGGCGACTCAGAAACTGCCACAGAAGTGGATGTAAGAATGAAATTAAAATTAACATTCAAGCATATTCACAACAACATAATGAAAACGATTAAATTAAATAACAATGAATGATTTTAGATAGCCGAGAAAACGTCAAAATTCAAAGTGGATACGGAAGGCGTCAATCGAAACAAAAATGTACAGTCGTACACACGGAAAGCCAGCCGTGAAAAGCGACCATCGATGATTAGTGAATTATGTACAACGGGTTCCGGTACACGGATGCGTGGATCTCATGGAAATATTCATAGCTACCACAATAATCGTTCGAATTTTGGTGCTAATCGTGCTGTCAGCTTGGACCAATACAGTACACATAATCGACGGTCTTCGGATGGGCTGCAGCAGGTGACGTCGGATAATAATGTTTACTACAATCAACAACATCGTAGTATGGATGGCGATGTCCCCGCAACAATCACCGAGAGTATTCAGTTAAACAAGAGTGCAAATGATGATTTATCGAGTGGCGGTGACATTCGCAGTGACCCATTAAGTCGTAATTTAAAACCATCTGATGAAAAGGTCAAAACAGCAAATCAACAACAACAACAACAACTGCAACAACATAATCAATTTTCGCAACCAAACAAATACACATCAAACAAAATTTTAAGCACCGCTAGCTCGGCCGCAAATAATGGCACCAAATCATTCATGTCCCGACTACGACAATTTAGTAGCCGTTTTAGTTTCACTTTCGATCGCGATGCAAAACGTAATAATAGCACCAATACAAATATCACACGAAATAATAACGCCAATGAATCGATGTTGCCAATAACGAAGGGAAGTTTTTGCTGTGCAAATAAAACTTCGTCTCCATTGCATCATCAACAGCAACAACAACCACAACAACATGCAAAACAAGTAGAAAGTGTTCATGCGTTGCCGGGAAATGATTTAAGCGCACGACATCGTGCTCATAGTTTGGATGTCGTACGTACACGACAATACAGTAGTAGCAACAGTGAAAATAGCCGAAAATCTTCACGCAACGATGAACACAGTCACAGTCACATTATGTTAATGATGGAAGACAATAGTAACCACACAACAACGATTGGTGATAATAAAAGTGATGCCGATGAAAGTTTTAATGCTGTATGTGTTGGCGGTGACACAGGTGATCCCAGTATTTGACATCAAAGTGTTAGTTCAAATACAGGTCTATCCACTCACTCACAACAACAAACTCACACACAGTCAATGTTTTGTGTCTGGACAACGTGCATCAGTGACCGAATTACCGCATTTGTTTGCCAATGTTGTGAAGCGAAACTGCCCCAACCGGAGAATATCTAAGAATTTTATTGCAAACATCAAACATATTGATAATATCAAACTGTATCATCTGTTGAAAACTACTTTAATTTATGATAACCTAGTAGCATCACAGATTTTCCACGTGTTTTATTGCTGTGGATATTTGTCGTTCTCTGCTGGCCATTTGACCATTTTATCCACACAAATAGACACAAACACATCCATATACACATCTAGAAACACTTATATTCGATGTATATGTTCCCTTGCAAAACAAATAATAATAACATGTTTAAACGCAAGACGTTATCGAATCGCACATTCATAGGTTCACTTTTGAAATGTTGAAAAATACAAAAAAATAATAATACATGTAATAATAACTATCTAATTGTTTAATCAAATGATAAATTAGAATTAAAGTGTTGAAAACGATTGACAAAGTATTTTAACGAAAATGTGAATTTAACATTTTGACGGAATAGACCATTTTCTTTTTTGTATAAATGCTCTAATGAATCGATCAGACTTTTTCAAAGTTGAGGAAGCGATCAAATTACTTTTGAGCTACAACAAACATACTCTAAAACATGATCGAATTTTTATTCTGTCATTTACTTCGCCTTTGTTTCTTTTGGATGGTTTATACTGTGATCACTTCAAAACAAAGTGTCCTTTCCAACAAACATTTTGACACGAATTTCTGTTTAATATTCAATTAAATTATTTATAAAATTATATATGCTCAAGAATCATCATGCAAAAAGTATATTCAAGAACGGATGATAGAACATTTGATGGCTGAAAAACGAAAGTTCATGGTTCCTTGAGTTCTTATTTTGCTTTAAAAAATTGATAAAAAAATTCAAATAATCATGTGAAAATTCGACCTGTTTCAGGGTATTACATTTTCTTAAGTTTATTGTAGTTTGAAAATGGCAACCATGCTCCCAATTTTTATATTAATCTTCCGAGCTCTGATCAATTCTTTCAGTATAATGTGGGTGGTTATTAGTCGATATGTGTGTTAAGAATATAAAATCAACTATTTATTGTCAGGCATAAATAAATAAAATTCATTGTAAATGAAACAAATTTTAACTATAAAACTGTAAAAAAAACTGACATAAAAGTGTTAAAATTATTATTATTATTTGAGTCTACAATAAATATGGATGTAAAATGAGCTTCTTCTGTCTCCATAACTGTAATCAATAAATAAATTGTTGTCAACAAACATAACACACTTTAAAAAAATGCTAAAAGGACGACAGCGACCAATTTGAGGAACACAAAAATAATCCTTCACAACAAAGAAAATATGTCGAAATCTACATAAAATTAACCGAAGCCAGATTTCCATAACTTTGCGGAGCAAAAGTGCTGCTCGCTACTATATGTATATGGTCTCTGATATTTTCAGTGTTATCTGATATTAAAATTAAACGGTATTTTTAGGTGTAACGTTTAAACATGAATTTATCTGATAATTGTATAAAATAGAACTATTGATTCACAACACTTCTTCTCCTGACATAAGATTACAAAAGAACAGTCGAATTTGTAGATCAATATCTTAAAAGAGAACTCTTTTTGAATGAACCTTGTTACAATTATTTCCTTAATGTTTTTCAGTCTTCCTTCACTCCAAAGCCGCTCTGACCAACGATTTAAAACAAAAAATTTGAATTCAACATAACAAGAAAAACTGCCTACCATAATTGATCTAGTTGAATTGGATTACAATCATCTTTCCTTCATATTCCGTAATATATATACACATCGTAAGGCCAACATAACATTATTATAGAAACTAGCCTGCTGAAATAACCGAAATCAATTTACGACAAATCAACTTATTGAAAATACAAACATTTCGATTTATATTTACGTGTAAAATGAATACAAAGTACATTATTAAAATTTGAGAAATAAAAAGTCTTTTGAACCTATCATTATAAAAGAAAAAGAGAACACATTGAAAATACAGTAGTGATGCCACAATTGAAAAATGTCAAAAATACATATATGCGAAATATTATTTCCAAAACTTGCTTATAAATATGTAAACGTTGCAGCCGAAATAGATTTATTAGAATGGACAAAATAATATCTCTTATAGAAAATGAAAGTTATAGATGAAAAGAAAAATTGTGGATTAGAGAGAATGGTATGCATGCCCCTAGTCGCTTCCCAAATTCATGTGATGAGAATAAGTGCAATGCTATATTGAAACCATAATATCAAATCGTTCATTTCATTTAATTAAAGCACTAACATCATAAATGACAATTGAGGAAAGAAAGTTTCAACAATGTATTTTGCTTGTTTCGAAAGAGAAATATTGAATGTGAAAGTAAGAGTGGAATGTAATGTAAAAAAAAAAAACAAGGAACAATACAGAGGATAAAGTTATTTCATTTTATATCTTGTAGAAAAATATAATGTCAAACATAAAAATAAAATTTTATTGAGACTCATATGCCGAAGAAAACATGAACAAAGATAAAAAAAACACTTCTACAAATTTAATTTTAAACGAAGGACATAAACCAAATGAACAAAAAATCTAAACCACTATATCAATTATGAAATTTATCAAAATAAAATAAAGAAAAATTAATTGATGTTGTAAAAATAAACGCTGGGAAAATTTAATTAAATATAATTGATAGAAGACAAGTGTATGTGGTGAGTATTATATTTTTTGTAAAATAAGATTTTCATTTATTTCAGTTTTGGCGTTGGTTATTTATAATCATCATTGGTCACATCAATAATTATGATAACATCCTTTCAAAATAAAAGACTAACGCAAATATTTCTATTTGATATTTTTTTTTACAATCATTTATTTCTGCTTTTCTCATCATCCAAAGGTGAAAAATCTTTTTCTGATTCTTTTTCTTTTCTAATATCGCTTTGTGTGCCAAATATCCTTTGGCACTTGATTCAAAAGAAAAATCTTTTGTAGATTGATCCAAAATCCACTTTTTACCTGAATAGAAAAGAACAGAAAATTATTCAATGAACTTGCTTAATATATCTTAAATAAAATATGTAGCTGAGGTGACTCGAATTTGAATGACCTCATTTGTACTTGAATTGCTCAATTAAGTCTTGACTTTTAGGTTTTATGATAATCAGCCGAATTATTATCGGTATAATTATTATACCAGTAAAGACAACCTCAGAATTATTTTCGAACGTAAAAAAGATTTTCAGTTCGCCAGTTTTTAATAAACCCACCACCCGACCCTTTAATTTGATTCACAGTTAACGGAATTCACTTGAATAAAATGACACCGACGTCTATAGTTGGTGAATTTATCAAAGCTGTATTAAGTGCTAATTGTCTGAATAAAATTTGGAAATTAAACGACTTCAATATTTTTAACTATTTCATAAAACGTTTTTCATTGTATTCATTGTCTGAAAAATTTATTCCACAGTTACCACAGAATGTAGTAAGCTATTCAACTGTCTATATGTGCTAGACAATTCTTTCAAAAACGAAACTGTCAAATACGTCCAATGTGATTGACAATACAGAATTTTGAGGTTAGGTTTTTCCAACATATCAAAATCGTCTTTTCCTCTATTCGAATAAAAGTTAAGAATAGAAAAAATGTCGAAACTTTTAACGAATTGTAAGTATACAGAAAAAAATATTGTATGTAGACTAAATCGAATGAAGATAATTGAGAACATTTCCATTTTATTGCAGTATTTAATCCAACAAAACTACAAATACGAACTAAGATCATTAAACACAGAGGCTTCACACCGCGAACAGATAAAGCACCATTGCAAGTGCCGGAGAATTTGTCAGAAATTCAAGCAGAAATAAAAGGTGAAATAAACATATTGGCTGTAAAAAGACACTTAATTATTCAAATAATTTCATTGAATTTTCAGCTGCTAAACAACCTGAAAATGTGCATTTGATGCATCCAGATTATTTTAATGTTCACAATTTGTTTACGGTGACTGACTTATTCAATGCGAGAATTCATTATGGTCACAAGGACGGAACACTTGATAACCGAATGAAGCCGTATATATTCGGAAAGCGAATGGGTCATATTATATTCGATTTGGATAAAACCGCACTCTATTTGCGAAACGCATTGAATTTTATTGCTCACACTGCGTATCGTGATGGTATTATTTTGTTCATTGGACGTAATCCACAGTTCACCAATTTGATTGAAAATACAGCAAAAGAATGCGGCGAATATGCTCATACTAGAGCATGGCGCTTAGGAGTGTTTACAAATTCGATTGGACAATTCCACGGACAAATTCGATTGCCAGATTTGTGTATTTTTCTAAATACGTTAAATGATGTTCTTTTACCACACCCTGGGATAGTTGAAGCAGCAAAAATGCTAATTCCAACCGTTGGTGTTGTTGATTCAAATTGCAATCCAAATTTGATAACGTATACAATTCCTGGAAATGACGATAGTCGGGCATCTGTTGAATTTTTTTGTAATATGTTCAAACAAGCAATTTTACGTGGAAAGCAAAAAGCCCAAGAAGATGCTGAAAAAAGTAGAAAAATATCGGAACAAAATATTGAGAAAGATACAATGACAATTATACAGTAAATACACACTATGCATTTGTGTAAATAAAGAAAGAAGAACTAATTTAATTGACTGTTTTATTTCAATGAAATCCCATCTGTGAGTAAACACCATAATCACCAACTCTTGAAAAAAAAAAAAAAAACAAATGAATAACTGTTCTGAACTAATTATTGAATCAAAGATGAATTGGTCAGAAAGCGCGTTATTCGAAAAATAAAAAAAATCTTTTTTTTGTTTACCTCAAGTACATTGAAAAGTCATCTGGTAATGTAAAGAATAATGTAGAATGTGTATGGTAACTTTTAAATTGTCTCATTTATTTTGAATTTGACGCGCAAATCATTTTTGCTAAATACTTATTACTATGAAAATAGGATTCGTTCATTGCTTCTTTCATCAAGAAAGGAATGGAAAAACTTTGTCCACCTAAAAATAATAATGTAGTTTAAAGAACGAATGGCTTCCCTTGGGTTATTGATTTGTGATCCAATTTTTCTTGCTCCGACAACCAAGCCATCTGAAATTTCACATCCAAGCGAAAATTGGTATTAATATTTTTTTTAAAGCGCCCAACTCATGGATTTACCTTTTGTTTGTGTTGATGTATTGCTCTATTACATCGATCGAGTACCATTTTCTCAGTGAGTACACCTTCTTCTGATGCATAAAGTGCTGCTTGCCACGAAACGCCCAACTTTGAAATTTCACGTCCAGACATTCCTTCGCACATTTTTGCCATTTTACTACAAACAGCTCCATAGTCAAATTCATCTACTTTAAATCGTCTGAAAAATAGAAAATTCAGTTCAATTATTGAATCGAAAACATGTTTAAACAATGTTTAAAAAATATGTATATTATTACTTGAGTCCTTCAGATGCTGGCTGCAATACAAATTTATCGAAGTACAATCGAATCAATCGTTCACGTTCCGCCAAACCAGGTAACAAGAATTCAACTACTTCATCAAGACGATCGTTTAATGCATAATCAAATTGTTCAGGTGTATTACTGGCCAAAACTAACATGAATTTTTGATTTTGTTCACCAGTTCTAAAAAGGAAAGCGTTTAAAGCTGCACGTAAATCCTCCGAAATGTGTTCAGATGAACGTTTACGCAAAAATGCATCGGCTTCGTCGACAAATAACAACACACCGCGACGGCTGGTCTTTGCCCAATCAAACACTTTATGAATGGCTGTAACTCCAGTTTTACCCATTGGAGCAACGTCACCCCCACTCATGATGGCATAGTCCATGCCAGAATGCTCAGCCAATTTACGAGCAAACATCGTTTTGCCCGTACCCGGTGCTATAAATTTAAAAAAATAAATCTTATATATTCTTGATATATAGAAAAAAATATTTCTTAGCCTAAAAGTTAAAATAAAATTATACAAACCTCCGTGCAATAATACATTCATAAAATATCCATTATTGTGTTTTGTATTTTTCGTCGCAATTGCAATATCTCTAAGACGTTCTTCCAATGCTGGTTGCAATACAACGCCTTGCAAGGCATCAGCTGGTTTTGTTTTAAGTTTTTTAATCGTTTTCAATGGACTTGCAATCATATCCTTGAATGTAAAACGTGAAGTTTCATTGATGAGTGACGGGCGACCGATGCGCGATTCAACATATCGAGCAGTAACACCAGTTGCTCCTTTGGCAGCATAAATACCTAAGGCCAGCAAAGAAAGACCTCCGGCAGCAGTTAAAACTTTATCCCAATCGGTTAATAATGCTTGTGCACCAGCTCCGATCAATGTACCACCAGTTCTAAGAAAAAAAAGACCCGATCAAACAAATAAATGAATGAATGAAATTAAATTCTTATTCTTATAGAAATGTTCATACTTGATGGATTCTAATACGGTGATACGATTCTCTTGTGCTTTCAAGCGAATTTGTTCCAAAGTCAAATCACGATTTTCTCTTTCAACTTTGGCTTTTACGCGCATCTCATGCTCCAACAATTTCAATTTGTTCCTTTCTTTTGCCTCGATTTCATGTTCAATGGTAGCTCGTCGCATTGCTTCTTGTTTGGCCACACTTTCCTCTTGTTTTCGTAAATTTTCATCTTGCACTCGTTGTTGTTGTACCAATTGTTCTTCATATCGTTTTCTGGCCAATTGATCCTGATATTGAGCACGTAATTGTTGTTGTTTGGTTTCTTCTGATGCAAGTTTCCTCCGTTCTTCGTAATCAACGCGTTTTTGTTCGACACGTGCCTGCTCCAAATGGGCTTCATACTCTTTGGCTTTGGTAATGAGCTAAAAAAAGAATAAATCACGAATTAAAAATCAAAAACTTTGATGTACACATTTTCATTTGAAACCTCTTGTTGTTTCGTTGATTCTTGTATCTTTGATAACTCTAATGCTTCTCGTGCATGTTCTAAAAGATAGATTTAAAATGGATTAGAAATCAATTCGTTGAATATGATTTTTGAATGAAGTTATTTACTTGATCGTTCTAATACTTTGGCTGCTTCAGCAGCTCGTTCCAAGGCCGATGAATCAAAGCGATACGCTTCCATCGCACGACGCTCTGATTTTGTTAGTGGTGCTGGAGCTGGTTGATTTGGATCGCTACCATCATCTCCGCCGGCTGTTGGAGGCGGTTGTTGAGTTTTTATACCAAATAACCAGGACATTTTGTTTTTATTTAGTATTTCAAAATTTTACACGAAATTAACCGGCTGCTCACACACTGAACACTGGTGTCACGCTCACTTTTGAATGTGTGATGTAATTCGAACGCAACTAGAGCAACTCTGATAAGACTACGAACAACGTGCTTTGCGGTTATAATAAAAGCCAAAATTGTCAAATTATTACATGAGATTCCTGAATAGAAACAACTTCATACCTATCCATTCATAGAGAAGAGTATACATTTCGTTGATTTGGAAATAATTTTTTATGTTTTTTAACATTAAAAATTATGAAATACTATCTCCGATTTCGCTATCGAAAAAATAATTCAATTGAAAAATGTAAATGGTTCAAAACGAATAGTTTCGTTTTTGTTTTTCAAGTGTATTATTATTTATATTTTTAAATTTCACGTGACACGAGATGAAAAATCACGCGGATGTAACACCAGTTGGCGCTACGAGTTCATTTCGTTGTACAAAAGCTATTGCAGCGCCGTACTACTTGACATAACCACGCTTTTTAGTTCTTTTACATTTTGGTTGGTGAGTCGAAGACACGTGCAAAATATGTCTGCTAACAAAGTTGCCAAGAAAGACGACAAAAAGGCTAAAAAGCCAGTCAAAAAATTGAATTACGATTTGGGAGGCGGTTTGTTGAAGTATTCCCGTGCTCAACAATACAAACGCAAGGCTTTGTGGCGTTTTGCTGGCAAAAAACGTCCAGTTGTTTCTGTACCAAAGAAGCCCATCACCGCCGTCAAGAAAGTCAATGGTGCGAAAAATGGTGGTGAACGTGTTGTCAGTTTGTTGAAACCAAAATCTAACTATCCAACAAAACCAAGAGTTGCAGCCCGTTCAGCTCGTCAACTTTTCAAGAACCATAGCCGTAACACTCGCAAATCATTGCATCCAGGTCGCGTCATTATTTTGCTTGCCGGAAGACATAAGGGCAAACGTGTTGTTTTACTTAAGGTTAGTATAAAAAGCAATTGGAATGTGTGTAATTTGATAAAAATTTATTGATTTTGGTGACAATTTTCTTGAAAATTCTTTAAAAATATTGTGCAATAACTGTGAATTGTGTGAATTTTAATTGATTTTGTGTTATTTTTTAAACTATTTTCATGTGCTGTATTGGTGTGATAATGGTAGGTCTTGAAATCAGGCTTGTTGTTGGTTACTGGACCATACTCATTGAACCAATGCCCATTGCGTCGTATTTCACAACGTTATGTCATCGCTACATCAACCAGCATTGACATCAGCAAGGTTAAGGTTCCAGCTCATGTTAACGATGCTTACTTCAAGCGTGAAAAGAAGGAAAAGAACCGTGGTGAAGGTGATGTCTTCGCTGTAAAGAAGGAACGTTATGTCCCAACTGAACAAAAGAAGGCCGATCAAGCTGCCGTCGACAAAGCTGTTCGATCTGCTTTGGCTCAACACAAAGACAAGAAAGTGTTGTTCAAGTATATCCGAAGCTACTTTGCATTGAGCTCTAGCCAATGCCCACACCGCTTACGTTTCTAAACAAACGCAATAGGAATATCGCGACAAGGCTTCTTCTATCTTTAATGAAATTTAAAAAAACATGAAATTTGTTTTATAAAGGGTTATATTTGATAAGACACCTTTTAATAAAAAGTGGAATCATTTATGATCAATCAAAAATAATCGATTAGCCTTTATTATTTTCTGTCTATTGTGAAGTTTTAGGTTAGAAGCGGCAACTAAATGGAATACCTAACATTTATCTTATGTGACATTAAAATCCCATAAGGAATCCCTGTGTATAAAAAAAAGAAAATATTTCTTTTTCGAATATGAATTTTTGTTTCTGCCAGTCACTGATAAGTATGCTTTTGTGTCTTGTAACATTTTCACCAACCATTATGAACCAAATGAATTGGACACTTGAATGAAATACATTACCAGTCTGGATCCATATTAATAAAAAGAAAGAACATAAAGCATGGTACATATAATCGATTTATTAAAATTGCATCAACTTGAATATGATGATGGTGCTCCAGTAAGCTTATTCAAATGTACATTAATTAATTAGGCATTCATACATGTTGTGTGTGTTTTTCTGTTTTATTACATTTGTTTGAACTCGTTTTTAAATTCATTTGTTCATACATTGAAATCTGAGACATTTGTCGATATTTCGCATAAAAAGTAGGCACTTTGAATTCCTACAACAAATTTCATTGAATTCAATCCATTTATTTTGATTCATGTTTTTAATCCGTACCAAAAAAAAACACGATACACATTCTTTCCTTAAATTAACATAACAAAAAATTCATAAAAATAGAATATTTTTGGAAGTAGAAAACCAAAAAAAAAATTCCATGAATATTGAGCTATAAAGAAGCATAAGTTTATTCGCGTCGCAAGTTGTCCAATCGAGCTTGTAAATCGGCATCAGCATCCATTGGCGTATTGCCGCCACTACCACCATTACCACCGCTACCGCCGGCGGCACCAATTGCAGCTGCTTGTGGCTGTTTGCTTCCTGTAGCAACCGATAGCGATCCAGATGCCTGAAATTTGACATTTACAATTAGAGATGAGTCATACTAAACTATGACACCGAAATTAACAATTTAACACAAACCTGTGGCAATCCAGATAATTGATCACCTAATTGAAGACCGAGTTCATCTAGAACTTGGGAAACCACAGCGTCTGATTCTTCTTCGTCTCCTTCATCTTCCATTGCATCGTCGATGTGATCGTTAATCATTTCTTCTTTCATGTCCATGATTTCCGATTGTTTTTCGAACTCCATTAAAATCTTCTGAATTTGTGGAAGATTCAATTGTCGATTCATATTTGCCATGGCTTTAGTTACACCACTCATAGCCTGAGCCATGGTATTTTGCGATTTCAACGTTTGAATTTTCAGCGAAACAGCTTGAATGTTGGCTTTCATCAGCATAAATTTCTTTACATAGCGACGAGTTCGTACCAAATCAAGTGCCATAATTTTCACCGCATCCATTTGACCCTCTTTAGCCAATTTTTTAATGTCATTAATAATTTTCTTCTCCTGTTGTTCCATTTTCATCTTTTCGCGATCCAAATCGCGCATTGCTTTGTTTAGCGCTCGCTGATTTTTTCGCAACATTTCCTCTGGTGTCATTCGTTTTCCAAATAGCCACTCCATCATTTCAAATTTTTTCTTTACACTTTTTTACAAAAAAAAAAATGGAAATTCTATTTAATACTTCAAGTTTGCACTACGAAAAATCACTCCAAATATCAATATAACGAATCGCAAAATATTTTATCGTTTTAATTGGAAATGAAATTGTCTAATGAATCTATAGAGTCGAAATAGAAAAAAAGACGATTCAAAACAACGAAATCTTTGTTGCAAATGTATGTGTCAAAACAAAATGTATATATGCGTTCATATGTCATTTTCAATACAGTGACGTAATTCGGGTTGCCAGCGACTTCGTAATACTCAATGTAAAAACAATAAAAACTTTTTATTCTTTTATTTGTTTGTATAATTGTGCTGATATCATGGTCTTTGTATACGTATAAATAATTATGTGTTGTAGGTGTTTTTGTAATACCAATATGCCACACAGTAAATTTTGAATTAATTCAGTCAGTTAAGGGGAATGTCTAAGTACAATTTGTCGAATAGAACAAAATCATACGAATCGAATTGAAAAATTTCTTAAAATTTTGGAATTAAAGCTATTGTATTGACTAGTTGATTCAATTTGCTCCACAAATTAAATGCTTATGAAGAATGGATGTTCTTCGATTTCATCGAGTTTGGTTCGTTGGACAGGATCAATTTGTAGCATCTAGAAATTATTATTTTAATTTAGTGAGATTGTTCGTAATAAAGATGAAAAAGAAAAATTGAAAAATCTCCTACCCCTTCAACTAAATCCTTGCTGTTTGAATCCAATTCGACGTTCTCGGGATATTGAATATCGAAATACGATAAAATTCCATCTGGATGACACGATTGAAACGAATAACCGGTGAGAAGCTCATAAAATATGACACCAATGCTCCAAACATCCGATTGTAATGTTAACGGTCGCTCGGGCGCAATGTATACAATGGGATAGCTTGTTTGATGCATGTCTTCGCCAAAGATATACGGATTGAACTCTCGCCGATAGAAATACGAAAGTAAGATCTCGCCATTTTTGCCCAGTAACAAATTATGTGACTGTAAGTCGTAGCAAATAATGTCATTCGCATGTAAATGTTTTACCGCAAAAATAAGTTCTCGAAACCATTTCTTTATTATGGCTCTTGGAAGTTGATTTACTTCGAATAATTTAAATTTATCAAAATAATTGTCAATTCTATTTGTTGCGCTTAAAGTCGGCGATATTATATTCACATAAACATCGTCCTTCTCATGAGTCTCATCGTGGCTTTGATTCAAGCTTTCGATGGAATTACTAGATTTTGAGAGAATTTCATTGCACAATAAATTTGGCTCTGTAGTGATTTGGACTCGTTTCAATGTCGTAGACACGGACTTCAATAGTTTCTGAGAACAATTTAGAATATTGTTTACATCCAAGTCATTTGCAATTAAATTGAAATGAGGAGCTTCATCAAATGCTTCTGGACTCTCAAATGCAGTGGTTTTCAATATTGATGAATTGTCAAGTGGAACATCTTCATAGTAGGATTGAAGTAGATCATAGAAACTAAAACTATCTTCTTCGTCGTTAGATGATTTGGCATCGGACGTCTTTACTTTGGCAACAGGTGTATCAGGTATTGATATCGGATTGCTTTTAAAAATACTTTTAACTGTTTTAAATTTGATCGGTATGGATTTTGTTGTTTGGGTTTTACACCGTGATGACGACGATGAATGACGGTTATACGATCGTATATAATCGTACAATTTTCCCCCTCTGAAAATGAAAGAAACAGCAATGATATCATTTTATTTTTTTTTAATTTGAACAAATACTTACGTCGCTTGTTCTAGAAGCAGGTAGACATTTGAATCAGATATGTAATAAGCTACCAGTGACACCATAAATGGAAAATTTGTGGGCAAGTAAAATTCTTCGGGTTCATTGAATATTTTATCAATTGACTGAAAGATAAGAAATTGATTGTGTTCGCATGAATTTCACAACGTATAATAAAATTGTGGCCAATCATACCTTCATAATATAAGTTTGTTTTGTGGTTAGGTCTTGAACTTGCATCACCTTATCAAATGCTTTTAAAACTTTAAATTTTGACAAGTCTTTTCTTTGGTTTGGGACACAAGGTGTGTCAATTGGATCTCGAAATACATATTCGCCACTGTGATAAAGATAGATTGCATTAAGAAAAAGTTGAACATTTAATATGATAAGAAAATGAATTACTTTGAATACTGTCTCGTTAGAATAGCAGCTGATTGATCTGACGAACTTGATCTTATTTTAATGGAATCAGTGATGATGATATCATTCTCCGATGACGCCTTATAACCATCATCCGAATTCTCAGCCGGTGAATCGATAATTGGTGTTGATATCGAACTTGATTCGAACGATTCGTTCAACGATGATGAGGTTGATGGAATTGGCGTTTCATCTGGATCCACTAGAATTTTACTGGCACAATCCACTGTGTCTTCACTTGCAGTTTTAATGTCGTCGGCTTCGAATTGAAGGTTTTCATCGTTCGGCATCGTTTGACTTGTTGCAAAGAATTCTTGAAATACACTGGATTTATATAGCACCGGATGTTGTCCGATAAAATCAAGTAATCGAATTATAAAGAGTTTTCGTTCAGTAATTACGTCGGCTTCGAAACGTTTAAAAAATGTATGATTATTCAACGTTGGTACGATTCCATTTAAGCGTTCGTCCTTGTGGCGTTTCTTAACAAATTTCAACAATGCCTTTACATCGTTGAATCGTTTCCATACTGTGAGACATGTGAGTGCTTCTGGGATTTCAATTGGAAAGACCTTTCAACAGAAAAAAAATGATTTTTTTCATTTTGTATGTGCAAAAATATACATATAATTTATCGATAAGGTCTTATCAACTCATACCACTGAGGTTATTTTATAAACGGTAAACTTTTTTGGGTGTAAACACACGTCAGTCACAGCAAAACTATGTATCCACTTTTCGTCGACTGACGAAATTGACTTGGAGTTAGACATTCTGCGATTTATCTGTTTTTTTTTTATTCAAAAATTCGAAACAATGTTTCTCGACTTTATTCCACCATTTTGATTGTAAAGAGATTAATTTTCCCTCTAATTTTCAATAATTTTACTAAACATAATGGTCAATTCTTCACTTTCATTGTTCACACTTGTTTTCACTTTATACGTAAACGTCAGATTGAATGTATGCAGGCAAAACAAACCGCTCAGCACACAAATACATTTGTACGTTTTTGACATTTAACAATAACTGTGTTTATTCGGGAGTATACAATTTTTTTGTCTGTAAATCACTCAACATTGGATAAATGCTCAGTGCGCAACTGCTCGTTAAAGGGTTTAGTTGTTCATTGTTTTTCTTTTTACTTTGACGAAAGCAATTACTTAATTTTGTCTTGAATTTTTATTATTATCTGCTTATGTTCGGCAGTTATAGAGAACAATAAATAATCTAGAGCCATGGAAAACTTTGTGAATTTAATAGAAGGTGATCGTTTGCCTGATATGGGAAAATATTGGCAACCACTTATTCCATATAAATTTGAAAATTTACTGACGCCGGAAACATTAAAGACTACCGTATTGCATAGCGAAGAGGTCGACCGTATATGTAAATTCTATAGCGATGGTGACGATAAAAAAGAGGCTCAATTACGACGTATAATTAAATTGCAACTTGAAGAGATAGGGTTTAAGCGGAAAATGACTGTAATTCGTTTTTTGGGAATTATGTTGAATAAAATTTTGCTACAAATGACACATGGAGTGTATGTGAACCGAAAATCATTAGAGCTGGTGAAAAGAGAATTGGCTCAGAGCCGGTGCCCTGTTTTATATTTACCAACTCATCGAAGCTATTTGGATTTTATTTTGATGTCATATATTTGCTTTGCGCACGATCTTGAAATACCGGCAATCGCAGCAGGCATGGGTAAGTAAAGTCATGGCATTTGAATACGGTATAATTTTCACTACACTGTGCGACTCTGTATAAATCACTAGATTTTCATGGAATGGTGGGAATGGGATCAATGCTGCGAAATACTGGAGCATTCTTTATGCGACGGTCATTTTCGTCCGATAAAATGTATTGGGAAGTCTTTCGAGAATATGCTCGTACATTAATTTCACGATATCATTCGGGGGTTGAATTTTTCATTGAGGGCACAAGAAGCAGAAGCTGTAAGGCATTATCTCCGAAAATTGGTAAAATTATGAATTTTCATAAAGTCAAAAGTCGTTTTCCGGCAATAACAGTTGTGTGGATTACTTTCCTTTTTCTCTTGATATGTTTCGCCGCCTTAACAGGTCTACTCTCAATGATGCTTGAAACGTTTATGAAACGAAAAGTGTTCGATATTCTTGTTGTGCCCGTCGGAATTTCCTATTGTCGCCCTTTTGAAGAAAAGCTTTTTGCATACGAGCTGCTTGGTGTACCAAAGCCAAAAGAATCAACTCGTGGTTTATTCAAAGCATTTGAAATAATGGACAGTTGCCATGGAAAGATGTTTGTTAATTTTGGAAAAACAATTTCTCTGCATGAATACTTTGAAAAAGATCCGTCAATATATTGGTCTCCAAATGAACCATTTGCACAAAACCTAACAAAGGAGCGTCTGCAGTTGATAAGTGCACTGTCTTGTCACATTGTTGACAAGCAGCAGCAGCTTATTGTTTTAAACACATTCAATTTGATTGCTATTTATTTCGCTTATCGTTCTATGATCAATGAAAAATGCAATCGTGATCAGTTAAAATACGGTATGTAACACTTTTGACACTCACATCATTCCAATACTTATCAATGGGATTTTTTCACTAGGTATCGGCCTCCTCGTTAATTTCTTGAAGAAATTTGAAGTTTTGCTAGCGCTTGAAATTCCATCAAAAAGTGATTCAGATATAACTGATTCGTTGGAAATACACGCAAACGTACTACAATTTAAATCGAAAGAAGCTAATGCACCATTGTCATTGGTATTTGGACCGATCGTTGCTTCAAGTAACATCGACCCATCAAATCTAAAAGGACATAGTTTGTCTCCGCATACGATGCAAAATACATTACCCTCTTTTCTTTTACAAATTTATGCAAATCCATGCATGTACTGGTAAAATTATGAATTTTCATAAAGTCAAAAGTCCTTTTTCGGCAATAGCAGTTGTGTGGATTACTTTCTTTTTTCTCTTGATATGTTTCGCCGCCTTGACAGGTTGCATCAGCCGGCTTTTTATGTATTAGTTCGAAGATTGGGTGGTCGTTCCCAAGAAGAAGTAGTCACCGAAATCGATCAATTGAAGCGGATATTTTCGTCTGAATTCATTACGAGAAAATGTACCCAAGACACGAAGAAAATAGTTGAAATTATGGATTCAATGAATATCTCAGAAAATATGGAATTGGAAAATGTACTACTTACATCAATCCTTCCATTTGTTTTCTGTTATTTCAATGTCGTTCAAGTGATCAAGAATCAGGTATAGATTTACACATATGTTATGTATCACATTTGTCACTCTTACAAGTATTTCTTTCATTTCTCACTTAAACGTAGTTGTCATCGAAACCATTCAAAGATAAGGATCTCTTCGTAAGGGCGCAAATGTATGTTGAAGCACGTCTAAATGGTAACGCTGAATTTGTTCATCCATATTGTTTGTCGTTGGATTCCATTTCAAATGCGTTGCATTCACTTGTTGCAAATAACTGCGTCACAAAGAAAACAATCACCAATGCTGTTCAATACACGGTGAATTTGGATGCAATAAATCAACTCGACGATAATCTTCGTCGATTGTGTTCTATATTAAGACATTTCAACGGGCTTAGCAATTATAATAGTAGAGCAAAACTTTAGATTAACCAGATAAGTCATTGTGCATTTGTATTATTTTAAAAGGTATTCGATCTATTTCGGGTGGTTGAGGAAATTGATTAATTTTAGACAGAATTTTTTTATTGTCATGTTCGAAAAATCAATAAAGATGATGCTTTCAAATATATTAATCTTTCAACTCTTGAATATCGAGACTGGAACATAATAGTAAAGATGAGTAGCTATTAAGATTTGATTTCTCCAGGTTAGTATTGAGAAAAAGTTTCACGGTTTTCAATGTTATTTTTGAGCTAAAAATTTATTTACAGATGTGTTTTTAGTAAGTTTTGTGGACGCTTAAAATCCGTTGTATACACTACAATTACTTCGAGTTACAATAGTTAAGATCCATTAAGAACCATTTATATCGTCATTTCAAACAAAAAAAATTACTTGTTTTGCATGTCTTAATGTTCAATTTGAGCCGAATGTTTTGCTAACATTTCACACACACGAGTGAAAACAATTCTATTGCTAACGATTCAATGTATGTCATTATTTATGTCACAATTTGTTGATTTTCCTTTGTCTAAATTAAAGTTTATAAGTTATTGCTTACTATTGAATTTCAGCTATAAGTACTGAATCGATTTGGTAAAAATATTAGCTTATGCAAATAACTTAAAATTTAAAAAAACAGATACACGAACAAAAAAAAATTAAAACGAGTTGTTCAACATTTTCACGTTTTGTCATCTCATTACATTGGAGCAGCACGTTAATTATGTTGCATTTGAAAGATTTTTATTCAGCAATAAATGTGTACGCAGATAAAAAGTATGTTTTTCTAACGTTAATACTAATTAGTTTAAACCATATAATTAAATTTTGTTGTTATTGTTGTGTACGTTTCCTTTTTTCACTATCGTTAGTTTGCGGAATCTATTCGAATAATTTCGATTTTGTATTTCCATTTGCTGGCTGCGTTGAGTTTATAGTCTCTTCTTTAGATTTAATTAATATAATTGTTTGGAGAATGACACCAAGTATATTTGCCGTTATTGAGATGATTATCCTCGGTGAGAAATATTATGAAAAAACTGTATGTACCTATATGAATGAATTTATTTTTCATGAAATGACGCCATTTAGCTCAATGGCGACCGCGATGTTCACGATCGTCACGACGGTCACGGTCTCTGTCTCTTGACGATCGATTGTACCTTTCATCATAATAGCTGCAATTTAATTAAAAAAAAAATCAATTATTACATAGTGAAAAAGCATTAATTTTATCGAATTTCAATACCTTCGTTTCGATGATTCACTTGGATCACCCGTATCGGGGGACTTGTTTCTTGGACGATTCGATCTATTCAAAAATAAAAGGACATTTATTGTAAATTGTCAAAAAATTATTTATGGTGAAATGAAAATGTTGTATACCTTTCGCTATAGTGATCGCCACTGCTATTTCCAGCACCAGATGTACCAGAAACATTGCGATCGCGACTTCTAGATCTTGCATCTCTATATGAACTTCCACTTTCATAATAGCTTCGTCCGCTTCGTTCACGTGAACGTTCGCGATATCGTGACCTATCTTTTGACGTGCTTCTTTCACGCGATGAACGCCGTGGACGACGGTCCGAACCTCCACGATGTGATCGATCTCTTGATCGACTTCGCCTGTATGATTTACTCTCGATACCTGTCATTTTGATATTCAGTTATTTGTTAGAATGTCATCTATTCACCATAAAATATATAATGTACAACTAACCATTCAATGTGTCTTGCAGTGAACTGATTAAAATCTTACAACGTTCATCGTGAGCAACTTTTGATTGTTTAATCAACGAAATGGCTGTAACGAGCGTTTCGATGGCGCTGAAAATGTGCATTTAGAATTAATGAAATGTATTGAATGTCATTGTGATTATCGTTAAATTTACCTCATAGTTTCACCAGCAGCTGCATCCGAAACAGCTCGTGCGATAGCTGAACTGCTAACAGTACGGTTACGTGTCATTATTTCTTCAAATTCAGCTTCGCTCATTTGCGGATGTATGGGTTGTTCGGGGAATTGATTTGTTGGTGGTATCGATTGTGGTTTTACCGCATCTGATTTTCGCGAGAAAACAAATTATTCAATTAGTGTGTTGATGACTTGATGAGTTATGGTTTTTGTCTTAAGTTAATTAACTTACTGTGGAAACGTGGTCCATTATCCATAGGAGGGAAATGTTGTGGGCCACTATGTGGCATATTCTGTGGTGGCTGATTCATACCTGAATTTGGATGACCATGTGGATGTCCTTGCGGCGGACCTGATCGAATTAATTTATACATTTATTTTCAAAATATTGAACCATCTTAAATACATAATGCATTTACGTGCTGCACTCTACACTGTGAATATTTTATCTGCGCATAAGTTTACCTGAATTTTGATTGAAGAATGCTGGATTCACGTGTGGTGCGGGCATTTGTTGTTGGCCCATGTTATTTGGGCCACCAGGACCCATCTGTTGATTTGGTGGACCACGTGGTGGACCTTGCATATTCATATTCGATTGATTTGGCATACCTGAAATCGATTTAGAAAATATATATTTACATTAGGATTGTTGGTTAGATGGCACAGAAGCATAATATTATTTTAGTATTGTTAATAATAAGATTCATAAATACCTCTCCGCATATATGCTGCATGCGGAAAAGTTAAATAATTTGATGAGTAATGGTGTATAAGGTGATTGATGGTGTAGAAAAAATATATATACATTATACATATCTATAAATAAAATTGAAAAACAGAAATTTCTTACCTTGAAAACCACCTTGATGCATGTTTCCTGGCGGGCGATTCCAATCGCCCCTTGGACCTCTCGGTGGCATGCCACCTGGCTGAAACTATAAATATGTAAATATTTTGTGAAACAAACAAGTACTGATAGTTAAATAAAACTTTAGTTCACTAAACGATATTCAGATCGAAACAACAAAAAAACAATTGCTTACTATGATGCAAAAGTCTACTATGCAATGGGAATGAAAAATGTATTACCATTGGTCGCTGAGGCGGACCATTGCCTGGGGGTCCGTTTGGTATTGGACGTGGACCATTTTGACGTGGATTCCATTGGTTTTGATTTGGAAATCGTGGCATTCCTTGTGGTCCTTGACCTTGTGGACCCATTGGTCTTCCTTGCATCATTGGTTGCTGAAAAAGTAATAATAAAAGCACATTTTTTGTACATTTCAAAAAAAATAATTTTACATTTCTGGTCTATCCTATTTTGCCGTCTATCAACTAACTTATAACTTAAATACATTGAGCCCCATTGAACAATAACTAAACACCACCTGACATAGAAGAAAATAACACATGAAACCATATTACATACTTACTTTGAATGAATCATCGTTTGATCCAAATTAGAACAACTTTGATTTTAAAACAAGAGAACGATGAGGATAGAAAGAAAATTTCAGATAATAATTGAAAAGAGGCAAACATTGCTAAAAGCGAAGTTCATCCATCCCTTGGACTATGACAATTAGAATAAAAAAATGTTGTCTTTCTTTTCGTAAATTGTGTTGCTTTTATTGACACGCTTTTCCATAAATAAATATTCTTTTAAATTTATTATGTTTTTCCTTTACGTCTTTAACATTATTGTACAATAAATGTCAAATGTTCTACGCATTCTATAACTGAATTGAATGCCAACGAGAATGAAAATGTGCTTATGCATAAATTAAGTCATATTTTGTACAATAAATTGAAGCAAATCGTAGGCACAGCAAGTTAACGAGAAAATATTAAGAAAATTTATGTTTATTTTATCAATTGTCGGATAAAAACAAGAAAATTGTTAGATATTCATAAAGTAGTCGATCTAAAAAGGTTTTTCATAGTCCGAATTTCACAATTATTTCCTTTGAATGTACAATTTTATGTCAGAAATGATTTTATGGAATACAATTATGTTGAACAGCAATTGCGTATTTAATGCAGAGATCCAATATAAAGAGACATTTTCATTGAGGGCGATTGCCCCACAAAAAATCAAAAATTGCATTTAATAAGTAATCTTATGGTAATTTTTTTATCATATCATTTGTACAACAATAGCTTTTCAGCCCCAGAAATCTAATAGTTTCAATGATTACAGCCATTCATTTATTTCGTTATTATATTTGAACATTTTCGAATAAGATTTAAGGTAGAACAGTTTCATACAAAGAGTATGTCAATCTTTTCTTCTCTCATAAAATTTAAGGAATTCATATAATTTCGACGTCTTTTAAACAAACAACGCTAAAATACAATTGAAAGGATTGAAATACAATCATACGAGAAAATTCATGTATATTAAAAGAATTTTTATAGAAAATAACTACAATTTTTATGATAAAATTTCATAAATAAAACATTCGAAATCGAACACTTTAAATTTAAACGAAGCTAATGGTTTTAATGATTAACATTTTTGTTAATTTGAATGAAAAACCGACGATAAAACATTTTTAAATATTTGACATTTTTCAGTGGTTTTTGAAACAATAAATGAATAAATATAAATCGTTGCATCCACCATATTATAAAGTTAACCTTAACGTATCAAAATCACAAGCCTTCAGGCTTTTAATTGTTTGGTATCTCTTTAAAATGCCTTTAAAACATTGAAAACAGTATTTACTGTACATAACATTATTCTAGCTAAGTATCTTCAGTGCTGAAGAGGAAATTTGTAAAAAATATTCCCATTAATCATTCGACGAAATATATATACAATGAGTGTCCAAGTTTAAAGTCTTTTCCTCAATTTTACAACAACTCTTACAATATTTCAACACAATGATTCATTCGCATTAAGAAAATAATGAAATATTCTAACTATTGGGACAAAAACATCTTTCTTTATATAGCTAACCAAATTTTGGGAGATATGTTGATTTAAATAATCAATTGAGGCGATGGATATCATTTTTAATAAGCTAATTGCAAAATCCAGATTTCTTGCGAATTCAATTCAAAAATTATTTTGTTACTTTCCGGAATTCAATCTGTTTTTTTTTTCATGCAATATAAATTGATGGTTTTCTATGGAAATTTATTCTCCTAAATATCAAACATTTCGCCATTATTATTTGTAAAATTCTCTCTGTATGAATCCAAAAGTATTTTATCAGGCAGATGAAGGTAAATAGCAAAAAAATCAACCAATCTGAAATCGCTTTGAAGTATATAGTCATATTCTACAAAATCGTCAGAGACTACCACAAAATAAATCTAACATACAAATAAGTGCATTTACCATATGAATTTCGTAGATAAATGGTATTTTTGTATTATTTTAACAAATATGTGATTCGTCATTAGGCGTGAAAGTTGAAATAGAATTGCATTCAATTGAAGGCATTTGGATTTAAATTTAATTTGTTATACAAAACATACATTTAAATAATGTTTTGATAGGTTGAACATACAATACAATTTATCTGATGTATTTACTTATTAACGATTTTATTTCATGGTATGTTCTGCCAAAAACTCTCATTTTCTATGCGCTACAAAAGTGTTGGAAGTAAATCAAACAGTTTTTTGATGAAATTAAATCAAATATATCACATGTTTTGGTTACACAGAAAAAAATCCTCCATAACTTAAACCAAAAAAAATCTTTCATTTAGTTGCTTTGAGATTTGTATAAGATCGAAGAAAACAGTGCTTGTTAAAGTGTAAAATTAATTTAAGTAATTAATACATCTTTTATAATGCAATCTTAGAGTGGTATAGACATAGGCTGCTTTGAGCAGATTAAGTGTCGAAAATGTGTCGTAATAATGTTAATCTTTGTCAAGCTTGTCAATTTCAATTAGAAAAAAAAAACTATACAATTTCCAAATGATTTTCAAGAGTTCAATTTTGTTTGTACAAAGTTCATTGAGTCTATTAAAATGACATACAACTAGAGAAGCAAATAAAATTCAGAAAACAATAAGTTCATCAATCATACAGGATTATCATTATTCTAAATAAAATTATTATTTGGCACTTAATATATGAAGTCCTTACATAGGATAATTTGTGTATTAAAAAAGAGTAACTAAAAAACGCACCTAATTTCAAAATGCGCAAACATAACAACAAAAAGTTAAAGTTATCAAAAGAAATAACAAATAAAATATAAAGTATTGAAATTAAAGAAGAAAGTAAAAAGATGTACATCATCAGAAGAAAGAAGCGACATATATTTCCTCATTCAGAAAAGTAAAGACTGACAATGTAGTCAAATAAATCAGATTCAAAGAAGAATAAAACATTCAACAAACTTATTGATCACAAAATACATCTTTTCGTCAGTCAGTATTTTTCTAAAAGTGGATGTTCTTGTACGTTTTTAATATTTAATGTTAATGATATTTCTTATTGTACAATATATATTTTTTCGATCGCTTCTTCTGTGTTCAATATTTTTACTTAGCTTCATATTTTAAACAAAAAATAGTAATATGTACGTCAATTTTATAAAGGTATACATCACAGGCAAAAATCACAAGACAGACTTTGATTTAAAAAAACAATTAGCTAATTAAACACTTTATGTGTCAAACTTTCATTGTAAACTATTTAAAAAAAACTCAATTAATTGTCGTTTGGATTTGTTTGACATCACAAACAAAGTATCAGATTAATTCGATTATTTTTGCAATGTGGGACATTAGATCATCGATTGATATTTCACTTATACACAGAATGTTTTTTTATAAAAAAAATCAAATTACTATCAATTATTTTAATTTTCTTACTATTTATAGAATTTATGTTCTTCGTATGCCATAAAAAGGAGATAACACATGAACATGTTTTCGTTACATTGTATTTTGATTTAAAATCAACAAAGATGTTGTGATCTCTTTTATGTGGTAACACGAAGTATTATAACATGGTCAGAGACAATATCCAAAAATATGCAATATTTAAAATCATTGGTGCTTTATCATATAAAAAATATTTGGAATTGTCATTGCTTTCGTTTTTTCCTTTTTTTTCATTTAGATTTCGAACATTTTTCAATTTCAAATTAAATATATCAATGCCATAAATGTAAAGGAAGAACCAATCTCACATGGTTGTCAAGCTATTTGAGATAAAAAAAACAATAAACTCAAACGTTCTATCTCATGTTTGTGTTGATTGTCTTTTTCCGCTCTCATTTCCAGATAAAGTATATTTTGTTCAAATTTAGTGTTAAAATTAATATTTAAAAAAAAAAACAAAATTTCCATCAACTTTGAATTCTTATAAACGAAACCTATCTCAAAAGTGTACACTTTTAATTCTGCTGTTAATTGTTTTGGCCATCATCTTTTATTTGGTTCATTTCTTGTGCTCAATGAATGATTGAATTAGAATATAATTAGAAGTGTACACCGATGATGAATGCTACATGGATTCTTCGTCCAAAAATGGAATCAAACAGGATGTTTTTAATAGCTACCTGCATTCGAGGTGGGCCTTGATTTGGCGGCATTCCCATATTTTGTGGTGGCATATGCTGAGGTCGAAAACCAGGTCCAGATGGTCCATTCGGCATCATCATACGTGGTGGCCCATGAACTTGCGGACCTTGAGGGAAGTTGCCTTGCATTGGTCCCGGTTGCATTGGTGCTTGTCCCCTCGATGGATTTGTTGTTGGTGGAATTGGACGAGTTTTTTGTTGACTCTCAAATTGAGCTAGTGCCGCTTTCGTTGGTAATGTGACAATCGGTTTCTGGCCATGCAGTTCATTTTTTGGAAGTCGCTCTAAACACATGCGCATGCTCGGCTCCGAGCCAAGTGTTATCACACAAAATCCTTTCGATTGGCCGTTTGCACGATTCTCGAAAAATTTCACCTCTTGAAAATCAGTAACACCAATCGTATTAACGGCATCGGTTATATCCTGATCCGTTGTCCACTGTTCATAAATGAAGTTAAAATGTAATTAATTCGTGCATAGTTAAGTTATAAATAAATCGACTAGTTGCAATGTTATGCTAACCCATGTTAAATTGCCGACGTATAATTGATGGCGGCGCCCAGGATGATTTGGTGCAAATGTGTTTCCCATGTGAGAATAACTGCCATTTGCATCATTTCCATCGGAACGTTCAGCCGGTGCAATTGAACCATTTTCATTTTCATTACGCTCATGCGGTTCGGATGAAGGGGCTGCAACTACGTCATCATATAGATCATCATCTCCAACATAGTCACCTTCCTACAAACAAATAAACAAACAAAACTAAAATACACTAACAATTTTTACTTGTGGTCAATAGGTGAAATGGTGTAGGCAAATCCAGCTAGCTACTAGCAATTTTGCAAATTATACTTATTTTATTTTTTATGAAAATGTCAATACACTTTTGCAAGCTACGCAAAATATGGTTAGTAACAAAATATCGATAAAATAATTCACCGCACATACCTTCATTTGCGTAAAATTTTGATCTATATCATCAGAGTATAAATCAATATCTACACCATCGGCCATATTTAAATGTTTTTTTTCCTCTTACTATGTCTTTTCTTACTGAAACTGGTCTTCAAACACACTAATGAGCGATGAAAATTTTCTACACGAACTAAATTAGTAAAGTTCTTGTCTTTGTCTCACGATAATGCACTTTGTATCAGTAAAATAAAATATTTGTTATACGTAACCAAATAAAATCATTCGATTAAATTCTAAATGACGATGAAAAAAATAAAGTGGATGCCATACTTTAATCGCCGACAGCCGCCATAAGAATGAAAAATTTACAGTGAATGAGAGTCAGTAGTACCATGATGCCAAATGATTTTGGTGTGCGTGTGATTTATGTGAGTGTGTGCGTGTGCATTTGTACGTATAGCATGAATACAGCGCCAAAACGATGTTAGCGTACAATTTGTGGTTACCTGTAGAACATACCCATACATATACACATGGCCGACACTGTGGCGCTTCATTCAAAAAAGTGAAATGAATTTTATTTAAAAAAATATAAACAAATTATTTTTTTACTTCAAATTCAATGTAATCAACTCTGTATATTGTATAGGCATTTGATAGAAATGCTCAAAGTATCGATACATAAATATTCGCTCAAGAAACGTTGACGCATCGAAAGTTCTTTTGTATTTCAATTTGACAGTGTATACTGTATAGACGATTGATTTGCTTATCAATTTGACAATTCGCATCGAACGAGATTAACTCGGAGAGAAACATTGTCGATAGAATACAGGTTGTGTGTTTATGTATAAATGGGCGAGCGCCCACATACGCACGCAATGACGAAGGATGCGGTTGATAGATTGCGGTAGTACAAAATGCTTGAGCATCGGCTGTGAATATTTAGTTAGTCGTCGACCAAGAGTCGAATCTTAAGCGCGATTCCATTTATTGTTGCTATCACTTGCTCGTGTCATTTCATTCAGTTAAATTTCAACACTGTTCTCTTTATTTTTGAACTCTGGTTAATCATTTCGTTCGGCATTATTAGCGTCGAGGCAGTATAACTGTGACCTGTGAGCCATATTAAATCAACTGAAAATAACATCCAGAAAAGGTCCGTGTTCAATTAAAAAAAAGAGTATCATTCATTTGTGCGTTGGGATCTTATTAATTTGGAGCATTGAAATAAATCTTTATTCGGATTAAATTACCAAATAATTCAGTTAATTGGATTAACATTAACATTTTGAAATGTGTTGAGCTGTCAATTTATAAATTCAAATCAGAAGATGATAAATTCTTCAATTAAAATATTAAACTATTACTTCAAAATAAATAAAAAATATACCGAACTTTTCGAATATCAATATAAGCTGTATTTTAGCAGCAAAATTCTTATCTCATAATTATTATTTAACAAACGATAATATTTGATATGAAACGCAATAATAATTTCGCGGACTTATATAGTGAACTTGAAGAAAACCAAAACAACAATCATTTAGCTTCAGCTGAATGGCATCTAGGACTAGTTAATGACCTTTATTTGACATCTATTTTAGTGCTCTCTGCTAGAGGAAAAAATTGAAAGAAGTACGAATTCGGCGACACCGCTTGCATTCCGTGTGTCACATCACACTCGTTGTTGCTAATGTGCGTACATTGAATTCTCAAGTGCGTGTTTTGACCGTGAACGTGTTGTGACACATGAAAAGAAAGCAGGAAAAACTCGATAACAACGGCGTCTTCAATTGAAATTATATACATACAAAGATGTTGAGTGCATCTTGTTGGTGGTGTTGTTGTTGTAATAATAATAATATAATAGTTTATTTTTCTTTCGTTGGATGCTCTCTGCACTGCGGTGCATTTGACGACATTATCGTTAGTTCAATTTCATTACAATTCTTTTCTTTCATTGCAAATGACGATGAAAAAAATGCCTGTTTTGCATTAAGTTGTTGGGCTTCATCATAATAATTCAATATGCGGCAAGTTACATCTCTATTCGTGATAATGATTATTTTTTTCTCGCACATTTAAAAATGGAATTGTAAACAATCCGTTGCGATAGTAATGAAGAGCCATTTAATTAAGAGAGATAAATGGTTTTTAATCTTTTATACTCTCGTTGGTATCTCGTCGAACCAGTTCTGCATTTCAAACTAAAATATTTAAAAAGAATTTCAATTTGTTATTTTTGCTTAAGAAATTCATTAAATATAGTTAATAATATCGCGTATCATCACTTATATTGTATTGACCCAGTTATATTTCAAGTTTTATTGTCATTGTTTTGTACAATGTATATGCACAGAGTTCACCTCCCAAGAAAGAGAGTAGAGAAAATACTTGAATTCGATTTAGGAAGTTTTTTTTCCTTCTGTTTCGTATCGTTTCGTTTCGTTTATCATTTCAATTCAGTATTCTGCGCACTATTTTCGATACATATTAAGCAAAACGTACCGTATTCTTATTGTATAGTTTTACAAATTAAGTTTATGTGCGCTGAAAAGAGAAACGGTGTATTCTCAAGGTCTTCAGAAAGCCTGATCAACAGATTCAAATGTAAAAATAAAGTAATGTAGATCGGCAAACGCTACGCATGTATGTTGAGTGATATTATGTATGCAGCGTGATAGTGTAAATCGTATGTAAATCGCGTCATCGATTCCGTACTTCTGCTGGCGCGTCGGCATTATTCAATCAAATGCCGTTTCTTATGTATTGAAAATTGGTTGACAACGACGTCAACGTCGTCGCCGCCGCCTTCGCCGCCACACAGATCCTAAACCAGATTATTTATAAATTTTGATTGAAAATACAAAGAAAAAAGAAAAACGAGAACTATAATTTTTCCTGTTGACACCAAATACATATTTAGCAATTAAAAGCGCATACAGCTATTCTTCATTGTTGTTTGTCTATAGCATTTTTTCTTTTCCTTCTTCAAATTATTTTTCAACATGTTGGCAATAATTTGTTGCATAAATAGATGAGCAAGAGATATTCGCGCGCTGAGTCAAAATCCGATTTGTTGGACTTTCTTGATCGTGGACAAGCGGCAGCGCGTGAGAATCGATGGACGTTTGAAGTTGCATGGGAAGCAGCCAATAAAGTAGGCGGCATTTATACCGTCATTCGTTCAAAGGCATTCGTTTCCACCGAGGAATTGGGCGAATTTTATTGTTTATTTGGCCCATACAAAGAGCAATGTGCACGCACTGAAGTTGAAGAATGTGATTTTCCCACCGGTAATCCATTGCAAGGCGCTGTTAATAATTTACGTGCTCAAGGATACAGGGTTTGTTAATCAAGCTAACATCTATTCTTTTTTTGTGGTTTCACAACATCATTGAGTGATATCTTCTTTTTTTTTTAAATAGATTGTAACAGGAAGATGGTTGGTCGATGGCAATCCACAAATCATTCTGTTTGACATCGGTTCGGCTGCTTGGAAAATGGATCAATTCAAAAAAGAATTGTGGGAAACTTCACACGTTGGAATACCGCATTTGGATGTAGAATCGAATGATGCCGTCATATTGGGCTACATGATTAGTGATTTTTTTGTAGAATTTAATCATTGTGTGAAAGGATACACTGAACAAAATGGATATGGTCCACCGAGAGTTGTCGCTCAGTTTCATGAGTGGCAAGCGGGTGTTGGTCTGATTGCTTGTCGAACAAGAGGAATCGAAATTGCCACTGTATTCACAACGCATGCAACTCTATTGGGTCGCTATTTGTGTGCTGGCAACACAGACTTTTATAATAATCTCGATAAATTTTCGGTCGATGAAGAAGCGGGAAAACGACAAATCTATCATCGATATTGCATCGAACGGGCTGCCACGCATTTGGCACATATATTCACGACGGTATCTGAGATCACCGGTTATGAATCTGAACATTTATTAAAGCGTAAACCGGACATCATCACACCAAATGGTCTCAATGTTAAAAAATTCTCAGCCATTCATGAATTCCAAAATTTGCACGCCATATCGAAAGAGAAAATTCACGAGTTCACGCGTGGTCATTTCTATGGTCACTTCAATTTTGATTTGGATAAAACACTCTACCTATTTATTGCCGGTCGTTATGAATTTGGTAACAAGGGTGCAGATGTGTTTATTGAATCGTTAGCTCGTTTGAATCATCTATTGAAAAGCCAATTACCGGACGTCACTGTAGTTGCATTCTTAATCTTTCCGACAAAAACTAACAATTTCAATGTTGAGAGTCTTCGTGGACATGCAGTAACTAAACAACTACGCGATACCATAAACTCCATACAACAAGAGATTGGAAAACGCATGTACAATACATGCCTTGGGTAAAAATAATTTAACTTTATTTTATTATTTCACGCATTGAACTTGACATTAAGTAATGCATATTACTTTGAAACCATCATTTACTTAGTGGTAACTTGCCGAACTCATCTGAATTACTTACAAAAGACGACATTGTTAAAGTTAAGCGCTGTTTGTATGCACTTCAACGTAATGGACATCCTCCCGTTACTACTCACAATGTTGTTGACGATTGGAATGATCCAGTGTTGTCATCGGTGAGACGTTGTCATTTGTTCAATACAGTCCATGATCGCGTTAAAATCGTTTTCCATCCTGAATTTTTGTCGTCGACGAATCCACTCTTTGGTCTTGACTATGAAGAATTTGTGCGAGGTTGTCATTTGGGTGTAAGTATTTGTGCATTTATTTTCATTCCAACAAAGTTATTTGATGATGAAATTCTTCTTATTTGGCTTTATCAGGTCTTTCCTTCATATTACGAACCATGGGGATACACGCCTGCGGAGTGCACAGTGATGGGTATTCCCAGCATAACCACGAATTTGTCTGGTTTTGGTTGTTTTATGCAAGAGCACATCGCCGATCCGAAATCCTATGGTATCTATATTGTTGATCGAAGATATATCGGTTTGGATGAAAGTATCAATCAACTGTCTACATTCATGTTTGACTTTGCCAAGATGAGTAAGTAATCAAAAATTACTATTCCATTATTGAAGAATGCTATCCATTCTTTCAATTATTTTTCCATTACTTCCATTACATTCCATTACATATTGATTAATTTCCATTCTTTTCTTTGTGATTAACCCTAGGCAGACGTCAGCGTATCATTCAAAGAAATCGAACAGAGCGTTTGAGTGATCTACTCGATTGGAGAAATTTGGGAATTGTAAGTACACACATATTTAGAAATGTAGTCTAATTCTCTTCGGTAAACTCATTTTTAATGTCGTTTGTGTTTTTGCTTTTTCAGTACTATCGCGAAGCACGTGTGAAAGCATTACAAGCTGTTTATCCAGATTATGTCGATGAAAGTGGTTTAGACTATGTGCAAAATTTCAATTATCCACGTCCACTCAGTGCACCGCCAAGTCCTTCGTCTTCACGAGTCACCACACCACATGGCTCACAACATGGTTCTGATGATGAAGATTCAGTTGACGATGAACTTGAACTCAAAGAACTTGGAATACATAATCATCATTAAAGAGTAGTTTATTAAGTCCAATGCGGAAACTGAAGGAATCCTTGGCGCAAGCCTGATATTGGTTCAAAACTCACGTTATATACAAATTGGATGCAAATTAGAAAAATATTTTTAAAAATAGAAACATTCGCGCTATCGCTCGTTTGAACCAATGTCATTTACGTCAAATAAATAGAAAGTTTTCAAAATCAGATCCAATAAAATAACACTTTTTTAGTGAAAAATAGAAAGAATAATTGTTACATATTCATAAATCTGTATTTTTGATTCTGTTAAAAATAAATAAATAAATAAATGAGTGATTGAGGAATTTTATTCAATTTCTATAGCGCTATTGAAATGAAACGTTATATATTAAACATTTCTCTTTTGTTGAATTGTTTACAACTTCAATAACACATTTTTTTTCTATAGCTGTGCGGCAATCGCTGCATGCGCAACCACCATAAGAATGAATGATTTTGGGACGCACCCTACAATTTCAAACGCACCCAACGTTTGATTCATATATTCAAGTCGATATGTCACATGGATGTTAGACACTCAATTTGAGAAAATTATATTCTTGACAGACAGTATCGCAGAACACTTCCACCGTACTAATAGTGTGTAAGATTTCATATATCCACTTATTTTCTCTCTCATTTTCTATTCAGTGTGCGATTGATTAGCTCATTGCTATGCACCGAACATAGTATTTTTGCAAATTTTGATTTAAATTAATTATTCAACATTTCTTTTCATATAAATAAGTTGCAGAAAAATATTGGTTTAGCAAAAATGGCAGCCTCAGCTAGGATATTTCGGCACGTGAAAGGTAAATAAGTTTAAAATTATATAATATCCATTTCGATAGAAAATCGAATCCGGGTGAAGTTCGAACAAAAGGGACAATGGTTATTATTTTTTATAAAAAAAAGTGATGATTGTTTATTTTTTTCAACTCATTTTTTTTTTCATTTGGAATTCAAAGTCCACAATCGTGTTATTGTCACATACATTTGACAATATATTCTATTAAACTCATTTATATACATACTCATTAGAAGAAGAAAAAAGTTTATCGTGAATGTCAAACACATACACGCATGATTTATTTTTGGTAATAGCTTGATATTTGTGTTATTTTTCTGTGGCATTAGCCTTTTTGCAACTTGCTCTGCTTTTTTGTCATTGAACTTATTTCGTTGTGACGAACGACAGCATAATATAGGACAAGTGTTCACTTTTGTTAATTTTTTTTTTTAAATGAAATCCTTACGTTTCATTTTGATCAATTGATCAATTTACTGATTAAACAAGTTGCTTTAATCAACCGGCGTTTTTCTAAATCGAAATATCGGAGCTTAGAAGAATTACGTATCGTGAAACTACGACATCGATAGAATTAAATGAGATTTTATGTTTTATCCTATTGAAATAATTTCATATTCTTTATTCCAGATGGTTTGAAATTGTCATCAGTCCGTAACTATAGTGTAAATCCTGATATTTACCAATCAACACGGCCAAACTTGCGCTTGAATGCCAATACAAAAGTGATTGTGCAAGGATTTACAGGCAAACAAGGAACGTTCCATAGCAAACAAGCTTTGGACTACGGAACAAAAATTGTTGGTGGTGTATCGCCCAAGAAAGCTGGCACAGAACATTTAAATTTGCCGGTATTTGGTTCGGTTCGCGATGCAAAAGAAGCAACAAAAGCCGATGCTTCTGTTATCTATGTACCACCACCGGGCGCAGCCGCTGCCATTTTGGAGGCAATTGAGGCTGAAGTGCCATTAATTGTTTGCATTACTGAAGGTATTCCACAACACGATATGGTTCGTGTTAAACATGCATTAGTTCGTCAATCAAAGAGTCGTTTGATTGGTCCAAACTGTCCAGGAATCATTGCTCCAGAACAAGTGAGTGAAAAACCAATCAGGTTTATATGTTTGAATAAATCTAATCTCCTCATCTCAATTTACAGTGTAAAATCGGTATTATGCCGGGTGCTGTTCATAAAAAAGGAATCGTTGGTGTTGTATCACGTTCAGGTACCTTGACCTATGAAGCTGTCAACCAAACAACTGAAGTTGGTTTGGGCCAAACACTCTGCGTTGGTATTGGTGGTGATCCATTCAACGGAACCGATTTCATTGATTGCTTGGAGGTCTTCTTGAAAGACCCAGAAACCAAAGGAATCATTTTGATTGGTGAAATTGGTGGAAATGCTGAAGAAAAGGCTGCCGATTATTTATTGCAACACAACCAGGTAACGTTTTCTGAAAATACGTTATTCATGATTATCGTATGAAATCCGAGAACAAACAATATTCAATTGTTATCATTTTTAGGGCATTCGTGCTAAGCCAGTTGTATCTTTCATCGCTGGTTTGACTGCACCGCCAGGTCGTCGTATGGGTCACGCCGGTAAGTAATCGTTTTAAGATAATCTATCTATCTAATTTATGTGCTCGAAGTAATAATTTTGTTCTGCTAAATCTTTTGACTGAAATAACAGGTGCTATCATATCTGGCGGAAAAGGTGGAGCCCAAGATAAAATCGATGCGCTCGAGCGTGCAAGTGTAATCGTTACTAGAAGTCCAGCTCAAATGGGAAGAGAATTGCACAAAGAAATGAAACGGTTGGAATTGGTCTAATTCCTAAATATTTAAACTAATATGATATGTTTTAATGAAACAACTCATCATGCAATTTGAACACATTTGTTGTTGACACTCTTCAATCTAAAATTATAAATTATGCAAAATTACATAATAAATGTGGATTTAATCGCTCTATGTATAAAATAATCTTCATCTCATGTATGCCATGAAAATATTTTTAAAAAAATCTGTCACCATCATTCGAACTATTATTATGATTGTTGAATGCGTTAATAAAAAAAAGCACCAATGCACCTTTTAAAATCATTTTATGCACTATCCATTTCTGTTTCATTCCATCTTGTCTCTCTGTTGAAAATGTCTTTTTTTAATTACATGAATGTGAATGCAACAAAATTTGGAAAAATTGTAATAATTCAAACACATTCAAATGAAATAGCCTGAACACGAATAATGCTCGTTGATTGCAATATTTTCATGTTGAATTAATCAATTGAAATTAATTGTACGTTTTCTATTTATTTATTTTTTTTGTGAAAATCAAACAACAGACAGGAAATGATATAATTCCAGAAAATATGAAAATAATGTCCACGGAATACAACACACTTGCATATTAAATTGAACAACATATTATATACAGCAAGAAAGATCTCTTCAGAGGAAGACATATTTCCAAAGAAGCAATGGGTATATATTCATGTAAGTCGTATAAGAATATAATGCATTGCAAGGTTCATAAATAATTGCAATTTTACTTTTATCCTTTCTTGGTCTTTGATATTTTTCTCGCAGATCTAAACCATTAACCGATATTTTAGAAAAAAACATTTGACTAGTGAGGATTCAATATTATTGGACACCGAAAAATTCAATCAATATCTCTCAGTAACTTATCATCGTATCAATTCTACAGTTTGCCATAAAAAGGGGGATTGCTGAAAAAACTCCAATTATGAAAAGAAAAACAAAACACATAAATTGTATCATACATAATCAAAGTATAGATATATTTTCACATTGAATAAAACCACTAGTTAAAAGTGATTTGAATCTTTCAATTGTTTTTCATCCTCTTGATAAATGGATTTAAAATAAAATTTTAATACACATTTACATTCAATTTTCATACACTCACATACAATTTCGTGTGAATAGTTTTTCACTCGTGCTTGTTCGCATTTTTTACTATACAATATCCCGTTTTTTTTATCTTCATTTATTAACTTTGTGATTCTCTTATCGAATATATTGATTTATAGATAAATCATCTTAAAATCAGATGTATGTAAAGAAGGGATCCTTCCATTATCATTCTGTTTACACAAATTCGTTGGAATTCCGGTTGTACATTATAGTACAGCTACAATTTTAAAAACATAGATAGAATTCATTTTCAAAAAAAAAAATGGGTGATCAATTGATCAAAGTTTTAAAGCTCAATCCGAGGTCGAAATTGTAATCGAAGTGGTGGATCCCGAAATCTCCATCGTGTGATATATACGAATTTAAGAGTATGATCTTTGCCTATTTTTTTTTTTTTGAAATAAACAAATAATTGTAATAAATAATTTTCAATAGGAATATAATCTATTTTAAAAATGTTACCTAATAGTTCATCGTTGCAGAGTATGTCCACTTCTTTGTATCTTTCAATCCCGTTTAAAACTTTTTTCGCAACAAATTTCTTGAGATGTGTAATTGTTGCTTGTGAGCTGCACCGTAAGAAACGTCGTTTCAATGCACTTAAATTGTTGCTCATGCACTCGAGACAAACATTGACTTGCTCGTCTTGTCGATGATAATCGGATTCAACGTGTGTGTTCTCATTTAATCGATCAAATGCATCATCTTCAATGTTTTGCGGTTGATCTTTTGGATTCGGTAAATTGCGGCTCTTGTAAAATTCACGTTCACGTTTCATTTCGTCTGCAAAATCATTTGAATTTATCAGTAAAATAAAATTGAAAATTAAAGAGACTAATTACCTCCTTGTAAATTTGGTACCAATTTATAAACGATATCTTGCATGGTTCGATCAAAACTAATGTACTGAAGCGGATGCGATTGATGAATTACATTCCCACATCTCGGACATGTATTATTCTCCTCCAAATGTTTCACCAGGCAACTTTTACAAACTAAAACAATACAAAAATGCACACAAATAAAATAAACATCACAAATCAATTTAAATTTCAAGTGTTTGAAGCATGATAACCTACATGTGTGCAAGCACTCCGTCACTGTAGTTGCATCAATGAAGTAGCCGCTGCATATTTCACAAGTGATGTGCTTATTTAGCGTATGTAATTTTATTCGTCGTTCCATTATTCGATTATTAAAATTATGAGTGCAATAAATCTTGGTCGGTGAATTGTTTGTTGGTCAATTCAAAACAAGCAATTGGCCACCTCGATTATTATTTGCAATTCAACAAATGTGTTTTTCACTTTTCTTTTTCACAGCAGCAATAGCACATAAAAGTTGCCGTCATACACAAAATTAAAGTGGAAAATATTCTATTTCAAACTGTATTTGTAACTAAAATAAGTAAAATATTTGACTGAATCACAATACATGTGAATTTCCGAAAAAAATTGGGAAAAACAGAAGAATTCAAGATAGAAAAATAAAAGTTGTGTACCAAACAAGTACGAGACGATAAATAAATTACTATCGCTCGTAATGTCAAATGCACATAATACATGTACAAAAAAACACATACACGCGTATGGAACATGTTAACGACGGCCAAGTTGGCAAGAATGCTATTCACCGTACAATTGGATTTTCTTTTTGTTTACATTCATAGAATCTCATCATGTACGTGTATATTGTGCAAAAGTGTATGTATCTATACGGCACGTTGTGTGTGTGTGTGTGTATGAGTGGCAAACTATTTTTCTATGCTTCAGATGGCACCACTGTACGGCATATATACAGGTGAAGCAAATGCAAAGCGGTATATTGATCGTTTTCTTTGAGTTGAGACGAAATGCGATTCTACGCCGTAATATTTGATGATTTGTATTATGTATGTTTAAAAATGAAAGAAAAATCATCACTACATCTCCTTCATTCCTTCACAAAGTATCGGTTCGATTCATTTGTTATGGGCATGTTTTGTGAGATTGAAATAAAATGCTGATGTAAATAAATAAACCGTTAGGATAAACAATACGCCGATACCACCGATATTGGAAATTCTGAATTCGATGAGAACGATTGTGAAATTATTTATTTAGCAATCACATGGCATAGAATCTCGTTTACTATACGTAATCGATGCGCAAACCAAATCAAAGACATTAGATTCAATTCAATCATGTTCTCACAGAGGTATAAAAGATTTAATTTGTTTTTGAATTGTTTTTATAAATTAAATAAGCACCATTGATTTTTTTGTTTATGCTAACTAAATTTTATTCAAGTGAAACATGGTGGTGTACAGAGTATGCTGACAGCATTCATGACATTTTACGTAAAAGAGAAGGTGATCGTTTGTATTTTGAAAACAAAGCACCACAAATCAAATGGCGAATACATTTAATTCAGCTAATCCTGGATATTGCACGGAAACATAGATTTTCGAAAGAAACCGTTCATTTGGGTAAATTTAATTGAATTGATTGAACACGATTAATTGAATTGATTCTAAAAAAGGGTGTTTCGATTTTAGCTGTATATTTCACAGATATATTCATGGATAATCACATGGTTCGATTGTGGCGACTTCATTTGGTAGCTTTGGTATCGCTTCGTATTGCGGCAAAAATCGAAGAGAAAATTTTTGCACTGACTCGGATTGAAGCCCTTAATGCGACTGCCAATTATTCCAAAGAAGATTATAATATCTTAGAAACAATTATGTTAAGAATGCTTGACTGGGATCTGACTGTGCCGACGGCCATTGTATTCGCTACCTACTATGCCGAGTTCATAATCACCGAAGTCGATTACAGCAAGTCTTGTGATTTTGACAGTTTTGAACATTTCAAAAACGATTTAAAATCGGATGTCATTGATTTCGTAAACTTAAGCTTATTTGGTAATTGTTGTAAATACACATTTTGACATCTTCCATTGCAATATAATTTAATTTTTTATTTATTTTTATTCAATTACTAATCACGATTAAAATTACAATTTTTACAGATATATTCATGACACATTCAATTCAACCATCGAAGTTGGCGGCAATGTGTTTGGCGGCTGTTCGATTGAAACGCAATATATTGCCAATTTGGCCATTAAATTTGATCAGACTCACCCGATATCCATGGGATGCAATCAAACCTGATTTCAAAAAATTATTTGATATCAAATTGCTGGCAAGCAGCGAACAACTAAGGCTAGAACTTGAAGTTGGCATCAGCCAAGAAGCAGAGTTAGAATTCGACTAAACTTTAAAATGATCAAATTGTAGCAACTGTTCCATCTGTTGATTGGCTCCTATTTAGCTTTGTATATAGTTAATGACATTGTAAACATAAGATAAACACGTGTCGGCTGTTTTGACATTTTGAAGATTAGCATAATAAACTGCTTTAGAACGCCGGCGCAAAAAACTCCCCATGCATTATGATATGCATACAAAATTTGAACGACTACGTAGATATCATCGATTTTTCAAATGTCAGTGAAAAGCATTCATATAGAAATTTATTGTCATTCTTATCAGCGTAGTTTAATGGAAAAAGCTCCAATATCCAGACTACATTTTCAATGTACAAAAAATTTCGCTTGGATTTACACGAAATGAGAAGAAATTCAATATAAATACAGAAAAAAGTGAATTGAATTGTTACTTTTATTTGTAAGAACGAAATTCTTGCTGCATCATTTTTTCTAGGTAGTTTGGTATTTACTTTAAATTTGCTGCAATATGCTAAACATGAAGCCATATGTGCCATCGAGTGCAATTGCTGTTCGGGAGAGTTATGATGATGACCTTAGTGACGACATTGAAGATGATGTGTTCATTAGAGACGGAAAATCAATTAAAGTAAGTATCAGATATAAAAAATTAAACGTATTTGAAATGATAATTTGCCACTTTTGCAGGCGTACGAAGAGAAAGGACTGAAGCGACCATTGATGGCACCTCGACGTCGTAACAGTAGTAAACCACTACTGAAATCATCAAAAACACGAAAAACTATGGCAGCAATATTTCGAAAGCGTAACCGTTGTTGGAAATTTTGCGAACCATTTTGCTATGCTTTTGCCGCGTTGCTTGTTCTTTTCCTTCTATTCATATTGGCCATATTTTTAATGGCATTATTTCCTGTGTCATTGCAAAAATTTAAATCATTGTTTCACAACACCAAACTAAGTTTTGCATTGAATAAAGTTGGATTTGATGAGATGGCAATGGAGGAACTGTTTAAGGGCGAACAAACACCATGCACACAAATGTCGGTGGAAAAGGTATGGAGCAAAGCATTTACACGACTCAGCACAGAGTCGCCAATTAGAAAAACTGATATAAATGGCGATGGGAATGCCGATATTATTATGGGCTATTCAGTTGACGATAGCATACAGTATCAGTCAGAAAATCATGGAAGCATACCAAAATGTGAAATTGAAAATGGTGGATATCGTGAAATGGTTCCATGTGAAGGAGGCATTTTGGCGTTGGATGGCACTACGGGCACGACCTTATGGCAAAGATGGACGCCATCAATTGTATTCTCAATATTTTGCCAAACCGATTTGAATAAAGACCAGAAAATTGATTGTGTTGTGTCAGGCCGTGGTGGTGTGAGTTTTTTTCTCCTCAAATATTTTTCATGTGATTGCAAAACACGATTTTTCATATCCCTTTCTTTTTCAACATTCAGTTGGTACTTGCGTTGAATGGCGAAAACGGAGAAGTTCTGTGGCATCTTCATCCGAATCAAAAAATTTCAGACATTCCGATACCAATACCATCGACATTAGTCGTTGATTTATACACCATCAATGGAATCCGTGATTTAGACGAAGATTCAGTGCCTGATGTATTGGTAAGTATCGCATTTAAATCAATAAAAAAAAAACATTAATATTGGAGTTTTTATCTTCCTCTAGGCCGCACGAGTTGAAGAGCATCGTTCAACAGATTTGAATATAATTGCAGGTCATATTGTAATCATAAGTGGCCGTACTGGAAGGATTATAAAGAATTTTTCAGCTCCAAATCGCGAAGAATTATATGTACCAATACAAGTTCATACGCAGATTGATGGCACTGAATATTTATTGGTTTTAACTGGTGGTCAGAATTCGCCAGGTGGTGTGTATTTGATTTCATTGAATACAATTATGGACCATTCAAAAGAGAATGAATTCATTACGGTGATTCGAAGTGAATCGTCTGGTTTTATGGTGCCAGCGATTTTAGTGGATTTGAATGAAGACGGTGGAGAAGACATTGTTGTATCTTCGTTCAATTCAACGGTTTATGCGTTCAATGGACAAACGCATGCCACACTATGGAAATACACATTTGCTGATTCAGAGAGCACGAGTTCAATTGTGCCAGGCCATTACAACAACGACAATGTCACAGATTTTATGGTTAAATACAATTGTGGTCCAGGTTTTCCCGTTTATTACTATTCTCAAACGCAAATCATCAATGGCAAAGATGGCAGCTCGTTACTTGATCAAATGATAAATGATTCGGGTGGTGCCAACAGTTTATTGGGCGGCATATCAATTTCACAGACATTCGGTGGAGATTTATTCTTACATTGGCAAACGACATGCCGCGGAAAGTATGAGGTTAAAGACCCGTATCAATTTATTCCGGACAGTGATATTCTATTACAATCTCGTGCAGACACATGTATGCTTCGCTATAATGCTTCAACCGTTTTAAAATTATACGCAATCACGAGACACATTCAATCTCCGGGAGCGGTTATATTTTCCACAGATGACTTATTATTACAATTGAATCAAACGGAATTGAAGCAACTGGAAAAACAAATGGCGGTCTCACCGCTGAAGCATCCCAAACTATTGAAAAAGCTACTTAATATAAATGATGTATCTACTGATTCGGAAGTAAATTCGAGTATTAATAGCACAAAACCCGATGTCAATACTGTAATGAACGTTACAAAATTCATTGGTGAAGAGAGACTGAGACCATCGGAAATTCCAAATAAATCGAGTGCATTTGATAAATTGAAAAATAGAAAGAAAATTATGGAAAATACCAACAAAAATATTGCACCAAATCAAATGCGAATCAATTCAAATAATTACGAAAAGCCATTATTTAATGAGCAAACAAACGAAGATGTGCAATTGCCATTGTCACCAAATGAAGAAAATGCAGAGAACGAAATAATTAACCAACGCAAAAAGCAAATAAAAAATTACATAATTAATAACATTAATCGAGTTGAGGGTCGTAATCAATTTGCAAATGAATTAATTCAGGAGCAACAGCAAGAGCTAAATAATCCCGCTGGGTTGAACAATCCTCTTGAGGATTATCAAAATTACTATGACGACAACGATAAGCGAATGGCCATGGCAATAGCTAATAACCGTGATGTACGCGACTCAGATGTTCACGTCGATGAGAATATACCAGGTGAAATGAAATGACAACTCCGCGAACATTTGTTTTGTTTTTTTTAGGAAATTATTATTCTAATATTTTGTCTTTTTTCAGTTGTTGAATTCCACGATGGTAGTTATAACGATTCATTTTCATCGCACAATCGTCCAAATGATTTCTCCGATTCATCCGAATTTGTTAGTAAAACACGAAAAAAGGATCGTGCTGAGACCTTGTGGGATATTGAAATGGAAAATGAGAATGCGGATAAAATCATTGAAGAGGCACAAATATTGAGTCCAAACACCGAAGAAGATCGTGGTCGTCGCCAATTGCCTCCGGATCTCATCCAAATACCAAATAATCAAAATTTATTAGCACAAATTTCCTCGACGGGCGTTTTATTGAAATCACTTAATAACGCACCATCCACGTTGGACTTTGTATTTGTATTGAATGTTCGTGAATCTGAACTATATCCGCCACTTTTACTGGCCGAAGACATGAAATGTTTGGAAGATAAACTGGCAGTTTATAAAGATGAATTTACTTCCGGTGAGTTAAAACGTACATTACATCAAACAATTACATATTAATGATCATTTTCATTTTTAACCATTCATTGCAGAGTATGCAAGAAACAATGTGGAATTAGTTGAAAAACAATTTTTGAAGGAGTGTTTGATAAAAAGGATGCCAAACTTAGCACCGCATATCTATCAATTCGAATCGCAAATTGTTGTGACACGAATTTCAATAACATGTGCATGCGGTGATTTGAAAGCCGGCGAAAAATGTTCAAAATTCAATTCAATTGATCGGCAAAGATGGACCGAGTTCATGGGGAATTTGAATAGTGGTGGCGTTTACTTGTCAGACTAAGTATTTTTATTGTGTATTTAGTGTAAGATTTTTGGGCCCTCGTTTTTGGCTCTTTTGCGTCATTTGTTTTTGTATGTAAAAATATTACCGCTTTCTTTTGAATTACATAAATAAAAGAAAAACATGTACATATTTAATGGGATTTTGATTGTATTTGAATTCTTTTGAACATTGCGCCCGAAATATTTCACCGCAAGTTGTACGATAGGGATATGGTTGAATGCTGACACACATTGAAAATTGATAGTCCGCGTAAATGGTTTTGACAAAATTTTGACACATGAAAAATACTCGTCGTCAATATCGAATGCATCTGGAATTGATGTGAAATTTTCCACTTTATAAAATTCGTAACAAGTAAAACATCTTTAAAGGTCACAATGGGAATTCTTGAAAAAATTTCGGAAATCGAAAAAGAAATTGCCCGTACACAGAAAAATAAAGGTAATTACACATATCTGAACATATAAAGTGTTTATTGATGTACATCTGTGCTGAGGTTATAAACATCATGAATTATGTCGCATATTGAAAATTGATATAAAAATGTGTTGAAACAGCCACCGAATACCATCTGGGCTTGTTGAAAGCAAAGCTTGCCAAGTATCGATCCGAGCTACTGGAGCCTTCCAAAAAAGGCGAGAAAGGTGAAGGGTTCGATGTGCTCAAATCAGGAGATTCTCGTGTTGCGCTTATTGGGTTTCCTTCCGTTGGAAAAGTAGGTTCAAACTTCACCAATCACCATCAATATTTTATTTTGAAAATTAAAAACTCGTATATTTCACTTTTAGTCGACATTGTTATCAACGCTGACCAAGACAGAAAGTGAAGCAGCAAACTATGAATTTACAACATTGACGTGCATTCCCGGCGTTATCGAATACAAAGGAGCAAATATTCAATTGCTCGATTTGCCGGTAATAAATAATTTTAATGTTTTTATGTGTGTTTTTTTTTTGTTAAAAAAAGCAAATTTAATATGGGCATTTTTGACTGCAGGGGATCATTGAGGGTGCTGCCCAAGGTAAAGGTAGAGGACGTCAAGTGATTGCAGTCGCTCGAACGGCTGATCTTGTAAGATAAACACAGAGATAAAAGAATATTTAGATTTTCTTCTAATAAATATAATAATTTCAATGAAGGTGATTATTATGCTTGACGCGACAAAGCCCAATGTTCATCGTGAGCTTTTGGAGAAGGAATTAGAAGCTGTTGGAATTCGATTGAATAAAGTAAAACCGAACATTTATTTCAAGCAAAAGAAAGGCGGCGGATTGAGCTTCAATTCAACATGCAATCTAACCAAATGCAATGAAAAGATGGTTCAAAGTGTGTTGCAAGCATTTAAAATCCATAACGCAGAAATACTATTTCGAGACGATTGTACTGAAGACGATTTTATAGACGTTGTGACAGATAACCGAGTCTATTTACCTTGTCTTTATGTTTACAACAAAATCGATCAGATTTCCATTGAAGAAGTCAATCGATTGGCCCGTGAACCGAACAGTGTCGTCGTTAGTTGTAATATGCAACTGAATTTGGACTATTTGCTCGAGAAGTTATGGGAAGACCTTAACCTCATTAGGTAGGTATCGCATTAAAATCAGTGAAAAAAACATTAATGTTGGATTTTGTATCTTTCTCTAGAGTATATACCAAGAAACCCGGTATGCCCCCAGACTTTAGTGACGCAATTATTTTGCGAAAAGGCGTTAGCGTTGAGCATGTTTGTCATTCAGTGCATCGTACATTAGCATCGCAATTCAAATACGCACTCGTTTGGGGTACATCAACAAAATATTCGCCGCAGCGTGTTGGTATAAGTCATATCATGCACGATGAAGATGTAATTCAAATTGTTAAAAAATAATGTTTATTATATTCCAAACTATTCTCTAAATTGTATGTTTTGCTATTTGAATAAATGAAAGTTTTACATCAAATAAATGCAATAAATGAATGTGAAGGTATTTTGTCCCTATTGAAAAAAAAATGTACGCTGTCAAATACATGTCATAAGCCGGTGTCAAATAATTGACAACAAATTTATGTATTTGAGTAAACAATTCTATCTCAGAAATTGCATCAAGCAAATCAGTCTCAATTCTACTTTGCGATGAGTTTAAAAACAAAGATTGAAAATGATGAAAATTATTTCATTAAAAAGGCAAAGCTTGCCGAGGAAACCGACCCATTCACAGCCAAAGCATGGATTCTGACGGCAAAAAGTCTATCACCAAACAATTTTGATGTTCAATTTGAAGTATATAAACAGGAGAAAGCGGCAAAAAACTATGCAGAGGCTGCAAAATGTTTCAGTTACATTATGTTAACATTCCAAAATCAACCGCCCGAGCTATTACGCCGTGAAATAATTCAACTTACAACGGCATTGCGTGCACCAGAAACCGAAAAGAATCCGAAAAAAGAAGAAGACTTTTATGTCGAAATGTTTCAGCACATATCTCTCGAGGTTCAAAATCGAATTTTGCTATCACTCAAACGCGATTCTGACAACAGTTTGGATTACTGTCAATTTGTATTGTTGCTGATGAAAAAATTCCCACAAATGTTGAATGTAAATTTGGTAAGTTTCAAAGTGTGTCAACAGTTTCAACCAATGACAACTGAAAATATCTTTCTTTCAGCCACATCTGCTTGAAGCTCTTGTTCAGAATACATCGTCCGGCAATCAGAAAAATTGCATCAAAATGCTGCTTTTCGAAGTGGTGCCAATCATCATTCAAAAGCCACCGTCAGATCTTTCTGCAAGTTTAGTACATCGTATCCTCACGCTTGGTTTGGAGTTTTATACATCGCAGATCTTTTTATTACTGCCGGCAGAGTTTAGTGACACCGTAAATTTGACGCCACCCATTTGTTGGTCACGCATCTTTGAAATAGTCGATGTATGCGGTCGCATTTTGAAATGGGAACCATTTTTGCCGTATAATTCGAGCTGGAGCAAAGATGTCTATTGGCAAAAACTCTACCACATAGTTTCACTGTCATCCACACGCCCAAGCGAGAATAAGCAAATTTTATTCTATGGCACGTGTCTCTTTATTGTGTCTCTTCATGACTACATAAATAGTATGAAACAAAAAGTCGATGACAATGAAATTCGATATATTTTGATAGAGACGATGAGAGGCAAGTTGCAAAAAATGTATTTAAAACCGTTTTTTTTGTATGTATTAAACGTTGTTTGGTTTTTCAATCTTTTTTTCTTGTAGAAGAAAATGAACCGCCGATTAAGCCTCCTTACCGTGAACCAAATATAATAACAAATCCAAGATGTGACAAAGAAGTGGCCATTCTATTTCGTACTGCCGTTCAATGTTGGCAACTGCTTCAATCTAATGAAATCCTACAAATTGATTTTAAGCAGTTACTTTTATCACTACCATGTAAAAAGTTGATTGAAATTTTCTGTTTTTATTTATTCAGTAACAATATATTTTTTTTTTTTTAATTCTAATAGGTTCACCCTATGTGAATCAATTCCTCGTTGATTTGGCATTCTATCTCGGTCAGCCGGAAGAATCTCAAACGCTTATGAATGATTCAACATTGGGCACAAGTAATTTGGAGAAAAATCTACGTTATCTCAGTTTGACGTTGCATCAACCAACATTTCAGGTTTGATTTTCAATTTTCGAATCTACCATACGTATTCTTTCATTGCCTTTGAAAATAATTTTTCGAAATAGGTGCCAGCTTTTGAACTGATGATGAAAGTTTTAGCAGATCTACCCAGCCAAACAGACAAATATGTGAAGAACATAACATCGAATGTTGCTGGCCGGAATATGGTTTTTTTGCCTTTAACAAAAAGACCCATTTTACAATATTGCATCAAAATCTTGGTGAAAACATTAAAGGTAACGAGTTTTAATTGAGGTTTTTGGTAATTTAAAAGGTAAATAATTCGGTAATTTTAGGCAAAACTGGAAAATGAAACGCAACACTATCGTGATTCTAATTCTATATTGGGCAGCATGTTAGTGTTGATTCAACTGAACTATCCGTCAGAGATAAAAACCGCTGAATTCATTTTTGAACGAATTCGTTCAAAGCAAAGCTTCAGTTTTCCGGACTTTTCTACATACATCATTTGTCCGGATTTTCTCGAAGAATTTATGTATTTGTACACAAACGAGAGCTCAAAAATTCAATTAGAATTAAGCCCACAAACAGCAACAGCATTAACACGACGCATTGGAACGCGTGGCTCTGATCGTGGCATCAAAGATGAATTCAAACAGCTGATTCGAAAACAAATGGCTCGCTCGAACGAAGAGATTGAACCACTTATTTTACATTTCATTACACAAGAGCGCAATACTTTGATGCAGTTGATTTTCGATAAGTAGAATACACATTTAGTGATGGTAACAAAAATGTGTTTTTTATTTCTTAGCTTTTAAATAAACTTTGGACACAATGAAGAAAAATGTTTTTTTTTGTCTGTATGTTCGTCTGTCAAAGAATCAATGGGCGTTTATTTTTTCCGAAGACGAAATCTTTTCAGTTGAAAAGTCTCAAATATGTGAAAAAAGAAAAGGAGGTAAATCTATAAACCGCTTCGTTTGATTGAAATTCACTTTTCTCTTTCACACCTTCTTACAAACTTTACTTGAAACAACTTTTAAGCGAGTCCAACCCTTTTTCTTCACATTTAAGCGAAACTTATAAATTATCATTTATTTATGACTTTGTCTGGAAAATCCAAACTTTTAGAGTATAAATACAGGTTAAATGCAATACTAGATTCCGATTACTTCAATCGTTAGAAAGGTGTCACTTCTACAGCCTGAGTTGAACTATTTAAAATTAAAATGAATGTGCTGCAATTAAGTAAAATATTGCAAAAATTTATTGGAGTTTATCGAGAAAGTTCAGCTAGTTGGAAGGATATCAGTTATATGTCTATAATGAATATTGTGTACGTTTTCGGAATGCTCTCGGTTCTTGTAATAGGAAGTTTTGTCTTCATTTTCATTAATTTTATGGATATGGAAAAATCGACAAATGCGGTGATCATATCCATGGCAGGTAAATATCCACCATATATCCATGAGTCATGGACCATGACAGGTAATGAGTTCATTTGATTTAGTTTTTTCTATCACGTGGTTTTGAATCTGTTTTTAGGTGTTAGTGGTGTTAGTTGTTATTGTGCAATTGCCTCCAATCTTAAGTCAATTCAAAAACTTTATACAATTCTGCAAGAGCTTGCCGATGAAGGTAATATTCACTATCATTACAAATTATTTTACAACTTGCAATAGTTTAAAAAAAAATTCTAGGTTCAAATTACCGAGGTTTCATTGGATTTCAACAGGCTGAAGAAAAAAGTCATTTTTTGTGTAAATGGTTTACCATGTTTATGATGTTATTTTTTACTTTTGGAACTATTCTTTTATCATTTGCAATGTCACTGTGGAACATTTACAAGGGAAAATTATTATCGGAAGAATGGTTTTTGCCGTATCAAATAATCTTACCTCTTGATAAATCAAATATTTTTGAATGGTATTTTGAATTTGTTTTACAAGCTTACAGTGGCTATGCGTTCGTTTTAACTATAACATCGACGGTAACGTTTTTTGGTGGATGCAGCTATTATATTGAAGCATGTCTCCTTCAATTCAAGCATATGTTTGAGCTAGTTGACGAAAGTATTGAAAGCGACAAAAATATCAAAATAATCGAAGAAAAAGTGTTCAAAACAATCATTTTCCACAATAAGATTATTGACTTGTTCGAACTACTTGCTGATGTATACAGTGCTCCAATATTCTTTCATTTAATATCGAACGTACTATTTTTCGCGGGAGCCATCTATCAAACAGAAAAGGTTTCTGACATGAAAACTGAAATAATAATTTTTACTCACACTTTTTTTCATATTACATGATTAGACTTTAGGCCATGTTGGCTTAGATCTGCTTTTTAACGTTTTGTGTGTGATTGAAGGTTTGTCATACACATTTATCCTATGCTACTTTGCCAATTTATCAACTTATTCGATGGGTGAGATTCAAGAAATCAACACTTAATAATTACTACTCCACTACGTTCCATTACATGATGAATAATTTCCATTTTTTTCTTCTGATCGTCCATAGGTGAAATTGCAAACGTCGTGTATAACTCCAATTGGTATTATCAATCACCAAAAATTCAGAAGCTATTTCCATTGATCATTGCCCGCTCAAACAAGGGATTTATATTCATGGGGTTTAAGATAATTTATTGCTCATTAGAATCATTCACAAAGCTGAACAAAAATGCGATGACATATTATATTCTATTCCGCAATATTTCCCAAAAATGATAAAAAGATATCTTTATACAAAGGAAATAACATAAACATGATGACTAAAAAAATACACGCATACATTGTACTATTTCCTAATACATATAATGTTCATAATTTTCTGCAATAAATGAGCATGTTGCACATATAAATATATGCAAACCTATTTTTTTTATTATTTAATTAATAAGAAATTAATATTCTAAACTTGAATAATAATTTCTCGCTTCTTACATTTTCTGATTATAAAAATTGTTAAATCGACTTATGATCGTGATACATCAGCATGGTCAAAAATTAAAGGAGGGATCCATCGACCAACGGAAAACCCCCAGCAAATCGAAAGAAATTTTGCCTAACAAAAAAGGGGGTTTTCATTCCACTCCGGAGTTTGTTCGTATCCATGTATGCTTATTGCTTATGACTCAAATTCGATTTAGGATCTCTTCAAACATATAAAAGCAAGCTTTCCATAACTATCCGTAATTATCAGATTAAAGCAGTTTGTTAAAAATGAAACATAAAATATTTGTAGAAAAACTTTACATATTAGAAATAATCACATTTTTACTAGATATTTCACTTCCGTTTTCTTTTGAATAAATGTGTTGTTTAAAAATTCAATCCATTTATTATATGATTCGATCTAATATTTGAATTTCCATCATTGTAAAAATGGGTTTGTTTTCAAATGGTCTCATGCTAAATTGAGTTTAATATTTGTACAGACATTTTTCGAAAACGACTTGGAAATTATTCACAAAAATATACACGTAAAATATCCACAACTATTTGTCAACGACCATATCATGTAAAAAGCACCAGTTCTCGTCCGATCACTGAAGTTCAGCTGCATTGAGCATGGTTAGTACTTGAATGGGTGACCGTCTGGAAACACCATGTGTCGTTGGCATTTTTTTTTTAAATTTAAAATCCTTCTGATAGTTTGCCTCGTGTTCTTAAATAGAAATTTTAATTCTTTGGAATTTATTTTCACGAAATACATATTGTGATAGGTTTCAAAAAAAATATTATCAAAATTTACTTGAAGGAATGACATCACAGATAATGTTCCACGCATTAAAATAACTGAAATTATAAGTAATCTACATTGATAAAAATGACCAAAAATTATGTGAATGAACATTTACGTTTCGCTCCTCACACCAGAAATATGCAAGATAGTCTGATAAACAGTACATACTACGTATATATGAGGGATGTGATGTTTTTTGCTGTATATTGTGATATCAAAGCGTTTAACGTTTAAATCTATTTTATCCGTGTAAATACATTTTTTCTGTTCATTGCGTCTTGATTATTACTTGTGCTATGCCTTATCCGCCGTTGGAGTATGTGCTGGAGTGCTTAATGTACACGCTTCACGATATAAACAGTGAATGGCCTGAATCGTAGTCACATGGATACTACATCGTTTCGATTATTACACGAAGCGCACGCGATTCTTATATGTGTGTTGTTTGCTATGTTATTGTCGACACATTCAATGTAAAACTACAAACAAACCGACGAATCATCGAAGAAAATAAAGTAAACGAAGATACGAACATGTTTATAAAACCGCTGGAAATCGTTCGAGCCCATTCAGTTCATCGTAACCGGCCTGAGTGAACGGTAGTGCAAAAATTCAGCTATCAACCGTATCTATCGAGTGTTCAAAAACTCTTCTGGGAATTTGCCCCATCATCTTTTTTTCTAATCATTTTTTTACTAAAAACAGACTTAAACTGGTTGTCAATGTTTAAAAGAATTTATCATCGAGTCAAGAAGTACATTTTTTGCATGGTGCAACTTAATAAATCGCATGAATGAATGAACAAACATTTGTTTTTTAAGTGTCTTCGTTTCAAAAATTTAAATATATTACTCGTGGTCAAACAATAAATTTGAAAAAAAAAAAAAAATAAATAAATAAATAAACATGACTAGTGGAGTTCAGACCGTAATAAAGTTAGTATATTGAATAATTATTATATTTGATTATCTCCAAGTTCACAAAAGCTTGAAAAAAGTGCATACAGATCTTTATTCTATTGGTTCATTAAATAATTTTTGTGCCATTTTCGGTACCTTTTAGCGCCACATTAAATCAATTCACTTGGTATAAATCACATCAAATTATTCGGCGTGCTTTTGTTATCATGCGTGCAAACATATTACTCAAGTCCATTCAAGTAGATGAATTGCGATTTTAATGCTTAACAATTTACCACTTAAAATGTTTCAGTTTGTTTTGCGCCTTCGATTTGTTTTGATAGCCACAAATGTGATAAACAATGTTTGGAAAGTAAATTAATTCATCAATCAGAATATTCATATTCGTTCCATCTATCGGGCAGAGCGAACAAATTTGTTCGATCGTTGAACATTTCTATGCAGAATCCATTTATTTTGGTTATTTTTATGTTAATTCAGAAAATTACCATATGCGCAATGTATCCAAAAAATTTTTTAAGTATGGATAAATTTGCATGTTTTATCTGACTTTTAAAAGAAATTAATTCAATAAAGAGTTCATTCCACATAGCAAATTATATATAATAGACAAATTTACTGTCATACAAAAAAATAATTCAGATAGTTAATATGCCGTAAATGTATCATTTTCATGCTCATTGAATGAATACAAATTAAATCTCAGTTTAAATAAATGAAAAAAAAAAAAAAAACTTAAATAGAAAGAGAGACATCATAATTACAACAACCGTATTAAATGACATGGCAGCTAGTAATATAGCATATTCCGCTAACGAGATCGTTTATGTTTTGGTGGAAGTGATGGCGACGAATCGGAAATGGTAAAATAAAATTCACTGACTTGTGATCAAATCAATCTAATCATCGATCTAACTTGTTGACTCTTACTTCGTCGCATCGTCGTCTTTGTCATTCCTTTTCTGATGTCCACTTCTTTCTATCTCAATTAATTTGATACATTCAATCATATGTTCACGCTTTTAATTTATTTATGTACGGTACTCAAGTGAAGTCAAAGTCGACAATCACAATTTAATTGAAGAAATCAAGCATAACATGAATTGCGGCATTAAATGCGTTTACATATGCAAAGTGGATACATGCTACAACTAAATAGACTGAAACTGAGCCGGAGCGGTCATACCAAGAAAAAAGAAGAACTACAATTAATGAATAAACACAACAAAAAGTCTCATAAAAACAACGAGTATTTATACCATATACACATGGTGTCTGGTGTTTGGTATCTTCCAGCACAGTGTCAGAGTTTGTCGTTTCAATGAATCGTCTTTCAACAAAATAAGTAGTTGTAATTTGTAAATTCACACGCAACGACCGTTTATTTAACTTTGTTTTTTATTATTATTATTATTATGGCTTAGTTGTTAGTTTTTTTTGCAGTCCAAACTATGCGTTATCAAAAAAATTGTATGACCTAGATAAATTATAATTTGCACACCGTGACTGTTTTTTTTTTGTTTTTCGTCTACGTTTATTTGTTTTTTAACGTAGCCAAATATACAAAATTATTCAAGCGGATGCGAAACATGGAAGTTTGTAGTAACACTGCACAGAAAACAAGAGACGTGCACACTGCACAGTAATTATTGCTTACAATTATTTTTCCATTTACATTTATGATGCTTGAAAAAATGTCATAAATGAGTAGATTGAGCAACTGATTGAAGAGAAAAAATGAAGTTGTTGATGTATACATGTGTGTGTGTGTGCACGTTTGAATAATTCCATTGAAATGATTAGTATCAGAGTGCAAAGACCAAACGAGATCTGATCTTGTGACAAGATTGCATAAGATGGTATCGATTCCAATAAGCGGCACACAAATCACGCTTCGTGTAGACCACGAAACGTGTTTGAGGAGAGCTGGAAGTATTTCGGAAAAGATAAAAAGATGAAAACACGTTTTAAACACTTCAAACCTTATTTTCGTTCGGTCAACTTCGAAATTCTTCTATTCTACAAAGTGGGTTCCCAATTTTTAGTTTTCCGCTCTCGTTGAATATATTATTCACTGCGAGTCACATGAGTCTAGAAGAACCCATCATTTAGCCTCCGTATAACTTATACGTCGGACAACTTGTATAGTAATTAGGAAATTCATTACGAGTTGTTGTTGTTGTTGCTTTTTTATCGAAATCGACATTCTACTGATGAGACTCTACATGGTTAGATTGCATTTTTGTGCGTTTTTGCAACATACTTAATATTTTTTTCAATTTTATTTTATGCCTTTGGCATTCGTTTTTAATTACATCCCATCACTATGTATATCAGCTACCTGCACACTTGCTTTGGCCAAGTCATTTGCTGCAAACATTTTTCTTCTTTATCCGTATTTCCTTGATTTTCTTACACCTTCTCGGTCGTTCACATTGGATATATTCACTAAACTTCAACTTCTTTTTCTTCTTCTTCGTCGAATACATACTTTGAGTGTATGCCATTAATGAAAGTATCAACGTAAGATAATAGGCCGGTTCCGTTATTGCTTAATTGCATTGATTTTTAAAATATTTATTGAAATAAATTGGCAAAAATGCCCATTCGTTTCGTGTTCCACTCAAATATTGAGCCTTCGTTCATTATAAATCATATACATTATTTTTCAATATTTAACATTGCTCTATTTATAACTTCCGTTATTCTGTGATTAATGTTTATTTATAAATTCGAGATTGCAAATGATTTTTACGAATATTGTTTTTTTAATCATTCGACCATTACTTCTTAAAACCTCTATTATTTTTACCTACGTAAGCGAAAACACTCAAGCAGAGAAACAAATTTTTTCTTTTGATGTCAAAATTCGCTTTATTTGAAAAACTATACAAAAACAAACATACTCGTATGAATGTTCAGGAATAAATGTGAAATTTCTACACGCAACATACATTTAATCAATTTTATTGGGTTTCATTGAACACACTGTGAATCTTCTCCCCAGGATTATGTGTTTGAAAGTCTCACATTCATTCTCGGGCATTCACATATATATATTTTAAAATGAGATCGTGGCTCAGCAGGTATATGCTTCAACCTAATGTATGCTCTGAAACGATAAAAATTTAAAGTGTCTCTTGTTTGTTTGTTTTTCTTCTTTTTTTTTGCTTATATAAATTGGTTTTTACTTTGATTCCTTTCTAAATGCAAATCATGTGTTCTGCGTTAAATGAAAGCGACTTAGCAAACGGGTCACCAAAAAAAAGTATCAATACGATTTGGTTTAATGGATATCGCAAAATTCAAATCGATGAGTAGTGAATACTAATTAAGTAGTACCGATTGATGCTCGTAAACCTTTCTTTTTTTTACGCCGTTTGTTAAATATATGCCGTTTCTTTTGACAAATGATCAATGCCAAGTGTTGCGTTGAATGAAAAATCCATTGCGCGTTACTTTGAATATGGCGTCAGTGTTAATAAATTTAATGAAAATATATTCCACTTTTTGTAATTTATAATAGTTGGCATTTATTGTTTGTTCAATTGAATGCGTTTTGTTCTATTATTATTATTATTATTATTGTTGGAATTTCTCCCCGTTTTATCACGAATCTAGGGGGCAGACACGTGGAATAGGATTAGACTTTTAATGTAAAGATTCGAGAAATTGCAATGAAATAGCAACGCCTGTGAATGGATTCGCGTGGAATAGCGAAACAGTGCATGGAATAGAAAAAATTGTTTCACTTCAAATCCATTTAACATTTCTTTTGACGTTTATTGATGGATTAGTGGAATAGTGCGGAATAGCAGAATTAACATTTTTGATGGAAACAGTGCATGGAATAGGAAAAATATTTTTCGATTTCACATTTGTGTTTTTGGATTAGTGGAATAGCTGGATTAGTAATTTATATAGTGGATTCAGAATTTATTCTTGGTGTCTCCCCCCTAGTCACGAATTTTAGTAATTATATTTAAAAGATCCTGCAAAAAATATTCACAAAACAAATTCTTGGACGTTATTTTTCATTTAAACCTAATTTACATCTTTTTCCGATAATGAAATGAAATAATAAAAATACCAAAGAAAATCGTGTTTCAACACCGTCATTCTCAGACATAAACGAGGAAATGATGCACTCAGGAAAATCGCACTTTTTAATTAAATTAATGTTATTAATTAATATTCGGCCAATTATAGATTAATAACAAAGTTTAAGCTTTGAAAACGTCATAATTGTCACTCCGTATGCTTCGAGAATTCCAAGCTTTAACTTATTCAAAATCTATTCTGTTATAGAGAGAATGTTTTGGATGGACTTTTGTAAAATACGCATTGATCAGAGTTTATTGGGAAAATTTGTGATATTTTACAATATTTTGTCACATGTCATATTGCATGTGATGTGTTTACGTTTCTTTGGTGCACGTTTTAGTCCAGTTAAGAACAACATCAACATCTGATGAAAGTAAAATAGTTTTTATCATTTCTCAGAGTACATCAGGTCGCATTTGTGATATGATTCTTATATAATGTGCGAACGTTTACTTTTTATTTTGAGTGCGTGCTGCAACGTGGATGTTCGAGTGAATTTATTGAACGCCAACATTTCCGTCAAATGTTTATTTGCAATTTATTTAAATCGCTTAATATTCTAACTAATTATGCGAGAACAAGCGCATGCTATAAAATGCAAAAGTGCAATGAATGACATTAAGTACGATTTATTTATAAAGTAAATTGTTATTCGGTGCTTCTGGATGAAACCTTTTATATGTATATTTAAAAAAAAAACTCGACATTCGGATTTTAATTTTCAATTCGGATGAGATACTTTGTTACTAATTTAGTTATATTAGAGCGAGAGAAAATGACGAACGCACATATACTCACAAAAACATATGATATATAAATGTATTCTTCCTTTAGTGTGCGCCCTTGATATTTAATTCAATGCCTGTTATTTATATTGCACCACAATCATTTTTCTCTATTGAATTTTGTCGTTTGTCATTCGCGTATAATTTCACGATAATTTCGACTATTCATCAAACGAAAGCTTGATGGGATAGTAACAATGCTATTTGAAATCAAATTTTTTTATTACTAACCCAGCTGTCTATCGTGGAATTTTAACAAATCAAAACTATCGAGAATAAACCAATTGTCCATATACTATTATTACTATTATTTTATGCGTTTTTTGTGAGATTTTAATTTCAATTCGCACATGTAACACAAATCAAACAAAAACCAAGTTTTGTGATTTATGACTGTACGGTTTGTCCCTCGTAAAACAGTTTATATTTAACATTTTATACAAAAAAAACTTATGTTTCTTTTGCTTTTTCTCAGTTATTCCGAACATTTGCCCTGACTCAGAATATACATTTTTCATGATCATTGCTTACGGCATACGCTTTATGTGTTTATTATTTTTTTTTGTTGAAGCGACGAAGAGAGAAAAATAAACAAATTTTTGCGGTTGACAACGATTCCGCATCTCATGATGGTATTTTTGAAAATATATGTGACATTTCACACTGATTCGATTTATCGATTTGAATTTTATGCACGTACAACACATTTATATACAGGCAGTAAAGAGTCAAGAGTAAAGAGTCAGCCATTTAGTCAGTTTTATCGTTAAAACAAAAAAGAATAAACGAGCAAGGAGAGAAAACTTAATTCAGTGTGCAACCACTTGATGTTCGGCTGTTCAATTTCATTGAATAGCCCGTTGTTGATAGCACGACCTTATCGTGTGCGTGTATACAATATAAATATCCTGGCACGAAACTGTACGATTTCGGAAACGTGTAAACGTTTGTCTCAGAAGCATTGGAAATAATCAGACAATGCCATTGTCACACAATTTTTGCAATTAAAATTCAATTACACGCAATTTGAAATCAATTTTAATCTAATAAGCACTCTTTTCCTCGTGCGTGTGTTCTGCAGTCTGCACACTTAAATCACAGAATTAGCGGAAAGAAATTTCATTCGTATGTTAAGCATTGTATATTTGGTTTTATCATTAACGCAATGTTTTCAGTCTCGTTTTCCACTTAAATTCGCAATTTGCGCGTCGAATACATAAACAATTGTTTGCTACCATAGACGACGATGACGAAGCATTATCTTTGTGTATGTTGTACAACTCACTCTCAGACCTTGCATCTGTGCGCGATGGCTTGAAATTGATTTGATTTGCAAAGCTGCATGAGATATCTACTTCCAGATTATGCACATTTTTTCAATCAACATTTTCTTTTTTTGCAACAGATATAAGATTTAGATCTTTCTTTAGAGAAATTGAACGAAAATCGCAGATACATAATTCGCGTATGTGTGTGAATTCAATCAAAAAGAATTGCTTTCTCGTTGATTAGATTTTTTTCAATGTGACGACGTTTGCGTGAACGCAACACGGTTCTTAGATTCATTCATTGCATTGTTCTCAAACAACACGTATCACATCAGCGGAATAGATTAGCTAACTAAATTGAGTGCGTCTTGACTACACTACTCTAAAATTAAACATATTTTCCAAGTAATTACTCCAAAAATGGACCTGTTGTTTCGTTGTGCCGTAAGCCCGTTATCCTTGACCTGAATTTGATCACTCGCAAGACTAAGTTCTAGTGTCTAATCACAAAATCAAAGTCAATGTAAGTTGTGGAATGTATTCGATGCAGTCAATCAATTGAAAGTACAATTGAAATTTAACGGCAAATGTGTATTGAATAAATCAAAACGGTGATGTCAAAGTTAAAAGATCTTACTACCAATATCAAAATTGGGCACATAAAATCTGCATGAAGGATATATATTTCGCAAACAGCATTTGATAACTAACTAACCGCGAGTCTCTTGAACGGCCGTATTTTTGCCAAACTAAAAAAAACACGTAATAATCAACTTCAAGGTTCTGTACTATCTATTACAAAAAGTCTATGTCAACACACCTTGCATAAAATATTTTTTGCAAGCAAAATATACGCGCATCATGTTAATTAAAATCTAAACTCTGGTATCATTTTGTCATTTTAATTACAATTTTTATGGTTAATATTGGTTACCACTCCCAACTTTTACTTCTGATATAGTTGTATCATTTGATTTATTAAAGAAATAATATCCATCAACTTATTCAAAATATTTGCAGAGGCTTGACTTTTACCACAAACAATAGATCGCGTTGAGTCACAATTTTTTTTTATTATGTGTCATTATGGTAATCAATATGTTTTGGATAGAACAAAGAATGAAATCTCTTTGATATCGACTTATAAAACGTGTCTGCTATATACAAATCATTGTTTATGACGATAATTTCCATTAAAAGGACCATAAAATCGAAGTTAAATTGTGCAAAAGAATGCGAAAGAGTAGTTAGAAATCACCAAATGGCCAAATAAAATTCTGCAAAATTGATATGATAGTAAAATCAAAATTGTCGAATATTACCCGTGCCGTATTGGTTATACTCATTTTTATTAGCCAGCCACAAAAAAATAATAACGGATTTAATTTCAGTGAAAACGAATTTTAAGTCATACAATATGTTCAGTGTCTTGCGAAAAAGGCATACATTGTTTGCTGTAAATCAGGCAATATTTTCGTATGTGTTGAAGATGTGTCTACTTGTTTGTCAAAAGCAATTGCTTTGAAAATTGAAAATCAGTGCCATTGAAACACAATAAGTAACATTTATACACATTTCTACAATGTACAGTACACACTCATACTATGAATCTCACATTTAGTTTCAATGTAAAGTGCGGCCGATGTGTGCAGCTGTGTGAAGAGGTTTTAACGGTTTGTGGTTGCAAAATAGCAAGTGACTAAATGAATAAAAAAAAAATCGGCTCTTATACTTTTCGATTCGGATTATGAATATGAATCAAAATCAAAACATTGTCAAAATATTATGAAAGCAAAAGTATTAATCATACGTATTATAATTTTTCGAAGATATACTATTCACCAAAAATGCGGTGTTTTGAAATGAATACCGGTAATGAATGCCAAATTGATGCAAGCGATACTCGTTTCGATAAAATTGACGCATGAAATATTGTAGAATTGGACGACACTTCTTCATCACGTTTGCTTAACTTTCATTTTTTGATCATTGAAGTCTATCTGACCAACGACGTTTTCAGTGCGTTGCAAAAGTGATTTCAAAACACATATGGTGCTATCACATGTTATATTATTTATTTCCCATTCTTGACCCATTCACAGCAGATCTTATGATAGAAATATTTATTGATTTTACAATATCTCCAAATGATACTCACGTGCGGTATTCAGTAAATGTCATCAAGCGGCACGTTTCGTTGCGAACATTTGATTTGAATCGAACACACGGAATAATGAGGTGAACAATATCATCTTTGTATTTGTCCTCCGTTAGTAGATATAGGCGTGTGAAATATCGTTACTGACTGTTACTGAGAATTTGTTTAAATGAAAGAGAGAATAATAAAAACAGCTATTCGTCTCCTCGCACACTTGTAAACGTACTACATAAATTCTTGTTTAAGTGTGCGTCATGTACAGCATTCAACGATTTAACACAATACTTTTGGAGTTTCGATTTTAGCGTGTATCTATTTAATGTTCCGTGCGGTATTCAACAATTGCTCATCTCTGTGCAATTGAGATAAAAAAAACGCATGAAGTAATCAAACGGCATTCAATGAAACGAGGTAATTGACCATATACATTTCGATCGACTTTGTCTGTTTGTTAATTAAATATTATTTTTCTCTCATTACAAGTCGGTTGATTTTCTGGAATTCAATTGTTGAAAAATTTACAAAAAAAATTAAAACGTATTAACGCCAAGTAGCAATAAAAAAAAACGTGCCGATACAATGTCAGTCATCATTTCTCAGCAATACAAGACGAAGCAACATAATGTGCGGAAAGCTGGTAATATCGAACAAGTCGAGGTAAAGAAACGTGTACAATACGAAAATGAAATTATAAGGGGTAAATCAAGAGTGAAAAACGTGCCAACCGCTTATGGAGATCGATTCATCCCTCGACGTCGTCAATCGGCCGAACAAATATTCTACAATTCATCTTTCAATCGTGAAGAAAATGAGAACGACATTTTCTACATAAAAGCACAACCGTTTTATTGGCGTCGCACCAACTATCGCATAAATATCAAAATGCAATTAGGTATTAATTTTGACAGGGATTTGTTGAACTTTCACGATCCGACAACAAAACAAATGTGTGAACGGTCGTTCAATCGAAATCCAACGCAGATTGAATATAACGTGCCAAGTAAAAGCACCGAAGAACTGGATTGGTCATGTCGTCCACGATCGAAGCCGCTATCATACAGTGATAGTATACATGATATGCCTGGATTTGACAGGTACGAAAGCGGTAACAATATCGTAGATTGGAGTAGTGCCGGTGAAATTGCAGCGGTTTTTGATTCATCTTTAGTTCTGTGGAGTCCGGAAACCAATCCAATCGAATTCGAATTAAAAAACATAAACGCATTGAAATTCGGTCCAAATGACAAACTACTAGCATTGGGAACAAAAAATTTTACACCATCATCATCACTACTACAGATTTGTGAAATTACTAGTAAACAATTGATTCGAAAAGGTGCAAAGAAATTTTTGGAAATTCCGAAGAATATAACAAGTATTGAATGGGAGAGGAATGGATGCATCATTGCGTGCGGTACATCAACAGGAATGGTTTTTATAGTTTCGTATCCAGAAATGAAAATAGAACATCGATTTAAAGCCCTTAAAACTGCGATAAGTAATATGAAATATTCAATTCGTAATACATTTATTGCCATAAATAGTAGTAATGACGGAAATCTATTGATTTTATACAACAAGAAATTTAATTTTGAGCAATATCTCGCACACGAAAATGTTTATTGTATAGCATGGCATCCATGGATTGAAACAAATCTGTTCATTGGTTACAAGTCGCCCGCATCAATTCATCTGATGGATTTGAAAACCAAAACAATGATTGCACATTATCGTCGCAATGACTTACAATATTCACTATGCGCCATGTCAATAAATCCATTATCGGCCGAATTGGTTGTATCGTTTTCGCATCAAGAAAATGACGTCACCCACAGTGATATTCTCGTTATGGCATCAATGAATAGCATCGTCGACAACATATCAGCTCATCAAGAAGCCGTTTATTTTATATTATGGGATCCAACTGGAACAAAAGTGGCTACAATCGGTCAAGATGAATCGCTGAATATCTGGCATTTTTTTGGTAAATCTCAGAAGAAAGCGGACGAACTAAAGAAAATGAAAGAGAATAAAAACCAACCAATGTGCAGTAATTTTAATTTGAATAATGTAGTTATGCAATCACGGTGATCATTTATGATCTGATGAAATCTTATTATATTAATTTATCTCTATACTGTAGAATCAGATTGTGTGTGTATATACGTATTTTTTGACAAAATATTGCTATGTTGCAATTATATTATCTTTTTTTATCATTTTCAATTCAGATATATATATATATTCTTAATTCTGAAATGAATGTAAATTTTTACAAAACTCACTTACGAACGATATATGAAATGTATTATCCAAATTACCGGCTAATAATATACAGAAGAATTTTTGAAAAAAAAAAGAAAAGAGAAAGACATTTTTATGTGCATTTATTTTTGAGAAGAAGTTTATACAACGATGTCTTGTTGGTAATCTTGGTATCGACGAATCAGTGCATAGTGTTGGGTGATACCCAGCGGTCGTTGCCCCGCCATTTGTTTTCTTTTCTGCTTTTAGTTTGTCTCCGTATCTGATTGTAGAATATATTATGGATTTTTTATATTGAATGCATTTTTTTCATTATTAATTCTCATTCCATTTTCGCGCTTTTGTTGTGAGAAACTGTTACTAAAGAGTCTGGTTTATGGATATCTGGTTTATCAAGCGTTGCCTCTCTCGATTTATTTTGAATTTTTTCCTTTTCCTATACAAGCAGTGATAAAACTTATAACTTGTATAAAGATTTATTCATCCATAAACAATTATATGATATGATTGATGTTCAATAGACACGTGAGTTATTTGAAAATCAAGGAAATTGTTTTCAAACGATGCTTTAAAGTTAACTTACATTTTAACGATTCTGTATATGTACATTGTATAATAATTTAAGAGAAACGGAGAAGTGCAATCGAAGTAGCAACTAGAAAATTGTATGAAATGTTAATACAATCATTAAGTTTTTCTTTAATGCTATTTCAGAAATCCAAACTGGTGGCCTCGGCGTACCTGTTTAGAAAAATCTTTAATCGTCATTAGTGTACTTTCACTAATTGGTATAATCGCTCTAGTCTTATCACTTTCTGGTGTTCTGGTTAAGAAAAGAGAATGTGAAAGTAAGCACAGATTTCATATTTTACAATTATAGATTTAGTGTCACGACTTTTCCATCTTTTTTGTTCTTCCAATATTTTGTTTTATTTCCATTAATGTAGCTCAGATAAAAAAGGCCGGTGCCGAGGCACTTCAGAGTCCACCAGGCATTCATATCAATCAAAATACTTTACCGGCCGTAAACAAAACAAAAAAGAATGAATACGATGATGTTTGTCTAACACCCGGTTGTATCCATGCAGCGTCACGTATTCTTGACCAGATGGATGACACCGTTGAACCTTGTGATGATTTCTACAGGTAGTAAATCATAAAAGAGATACTTCAACTTTTTGTATTAAATCGGAATGTAGATAAGATTCGTATCATAAGACGATGTGAATTATCTACATTTTATACCAGAATTTTGCTCAGCGCTGAGAAAATATCTTGCTGAGAAAGCGTTGTCCGTCGCATGCGAATGTGCGTGGCAGTTTTAACATCACAGCGAACAGCAATACATGCATTGTTCTCTATACAATTGTTTGAATGTTTTGAGTCACATGAACTATAAACTGCCACGCACATTCTCATGCGACGGACGACGCATTCTCAGCAAGATATTTTAATATGCTGTGGATGGCAGCAGCGCTGAGAAATACTCTGTTTTATACTCTCGTTTTCATACATTATATCTACTTACTTTCGGTGCACCCTTTCTACAGTTTTGCCTGCGGAAATTTCGTAAAAGAGACCGTCATTCCTGATGAAAAAGTATCGGTTAATACATTTTCAATAATTGGCGATAAACTTCAGGAGCAGTTACGTTCATTGATTAGCGATAAAATCGATCCAAATGATTCGGCACCATTCAATTTGGCAAAAAAATTGTACAAAGCATGCATGAATAAAACACTAATTGAGGAACGTGGATTAAAGCCATTATTCGATATCACCGATAAACTTGGCGGTTGGCCCGTTGTCAAGGGCGATGAATGGGATTCAAAATCTGAATGGAGCTGGACATGGGCCGTTAAAGAATTCCGTAAAGTTGGCTACTCTATGGATTATATTTTCGATTTCTCTATTGGCATCGATTTGAAAAAGTCAACAGCTCGAATCATTGATGTAAGCTTTGTCATTCAATTTCATTACAAATTGTTGAGTCGTTTAAATGCCAAAATAGGAAAAAATGCTTTGAATTTCAATTGGGAATACTTACAACTTTAAAGGTTATTTGAGTGACCAATTTTTATTTCAACGTGGATTTGATTTTTGTATTGAACATTTTTATCGGATTCATATTCAATGCGGATTTGTGTCACAAAATTCTATTTTTTTTTTCATGATGCTAATTAGCAATAACAAACAATTTTTTTCTAATTAAATATTGAGTGCTAATTTCAAGCACAAACTTTACGTCATGCGACAGAAATTTTGTTTTCTCAAGAAAACGTGATTTCTTATCGTTTGTCATTTGTATTAAAGTATCTTCCTGAAAATGTGAGAAAGAAAAATTGAAATTACATTTTGAAGTCGATTTCATCAAACAATAAGAATTGTTGCAAAATAGGTCAAATGAGTTTTGTTGACAAATCTAATAAAAGTCTATAAACGTTCTTAATTCAATATGATAATAAGACTTTACCACAAATAAATTTGTACAAACACACACACACACCACTTATATTTCACAGATCGATCAGGCAGCATTGGGTTTAAGTCGTGAATATTTGAGCAAAGGATTTGAGGATAAAATTGTTAAGGCATACTATGAATACATGGTTGACATGGCTGTTATTTACGGTGCCGATCGCAGCCGAGCTGAACGAGAGCTTAAAGAATCACTTGAGTTTGAAATGAAATTGGCCAATGTAAGTATTCACTCACCTACTTAATTACAATCATTCGTTTCATTTCAAAACTCGTTCGGAATAGATATCTTTGCCAAATGAAAAGCGAAGAAACGCCACAGCTCTCTACAATCCACATACATTGCGTGAAGTACAAAAGATGTATCCATACATTCAGTGGGTTGATTACATAAATGTGTTATTGCCGCCACCTCATTCAGTCGACGAGAATGAAGTTATTGTGGTTAGTGTGCCATCCTACTTTGAAAGTTTGGGCAAATTGTTGCAAGATACCCCAAAACGTATCATCGCCAATTACATGATGTGGCGCGTAACAGCCTTTTCATCATTCTTCCTCACAAGTGAATTACGAAAAAGGCAATTGGTTTACAGTACAGTCGTTAGCGGTAAACAAGATTATTTTCCGATTAGTTTCGATTATTTTAAATTTTATTCTTTTCTTTTGTGATTCTCCCCTTAGGTAAACAAGAACAAGAAGCAAGATGGAAAGAATGTATTGATATCACGAGTGGCAGGTAAAATTTGTTATAAAGTTTATTTTCACTAAAAAAAAAAGTTTCGGTGGCATTACGATTTTAAAATTTTCCATTGTTTAGTCTTTCAATAGCCGTCGGTGCACTATATGTGAGAAAACACTTTCGCCAAGATTCAAAAGCCACTGCACTGGAAATGGTGAATGGAATTCGCAAAGAATTTGAATTGATTTTGAACGAAGTCAACTGGATGGATGATGCAACACGCCAATCAGCTCTCAATAAATTAAAATCAATGTCCACCCATATCGGCTATCCCGATGAAATTATGGACAATTCCAAAATTGAGAAATACTACGAAAATTTGGAAATCGATGAAAACAACTATTTATCATCCGTGTTGAATATGAATGTATTCGGTACTGATTATGCATTTAATAAACTTCGTAAACCAGTCAACAAAACCGATTGGGTCACTCATGCACGTCCAGCAGTTGTTAATGCATTTTACTCCTCCATCGAAAATAGCATACGTAAGGATTTCATAAAGTTTGCATTAAATACGGAATTTAATCGATTATATATTTACAGAATTCCCAGCCGGTAAGCGATTTTTGTACATTTTCTTCGAATAAACCAATGTCGTTTTCGGTAGTATTTCGATTTCATTTTTTTAATCATGTATTTAGGTATTTTGCAAGGCCAATTTTTCTCATCCGACCGTAAGTTTTGTGCATTTTCTCACTGTCCCTTTTAAATTGTTGCAATTCTTCCTTGATTTTACCATATATTTTTTTACAATAGGACCCCGATATTTGAATTTTGGAGCAATTGGTTTTGTTATTGGACACGAAATAACTCACGGCTTTGACGATCAAGGTCGTCAATTTGGTAAAAAAAAAACAATTTTTAAATGTTTATTTACATTTACTCATTTATATCTTTCTATTTTCTATTGTCTTTGAAATATAAAAGATCTCAATGGCAATTTAGTTGATTGGTGGCAATCTGAAACAAAGTCACATTATTTGGAAAAAGCAAAATGCATCATTGAACAATATGGAAACTACACTGAACCTACGACCGGTATTAAAGTACGTATTTTTGAGAAGTCCTACCGACCGATCCAATGAATAATTTAGTAGTGAAGCCAAAAAACGGTCAAAGGTTGATTGAAAACCAACCTTTGACAGTTTTTTGGCTTCACTACTAAAGTACGTATTTTTTTCCGATTTATTCCAACAATTTAGTTATCATTCTTTGTTTTTTTTTCTTTCATCAAATTCTTAACAGTTGAATGGTGTCAATACACAAGGAGAGAATATTGCTGATAATGGAGGTATCAAAGAATCGTATCTAGCTTATCAAAAATGGCAAGAAGAAAATGGACCAGAACAAAGATTGCCAGGATTAGATTATACACCGCAACAATTATTTTGGGTTGCAGCCGCACAAACGTGGTGCAGTATTTACAGACCAGAATCAATGAAAATGCGAATTACAACTGGCGTACATAGTCCAGCACAATTCCGTGTACTCGGACCATTGAGCAATCGGCAAGAGTTTGCTGATGATTTTAATTGTCCTGAAGGTTCTCCGATGAACCCTGTTAAAAAATGTGAAGTTTGGTAGTCAACTTTGTTCATACAAAAGAAATAAGAAGACAACCGTTCAAATTTCTGCAGCTCGTAGTTAAGCTGTTAATCCACTTAATATTCGATTCGATTGGAACAATTGTGAAAAAATATATTTTCAAGCATCTCTTGATATCTTCGAATGGAATTCAATTTTATTTTTATTTTTATTTAATGAGAAATTTCTTCCGCATTTATTTTTAATGTGATTTAAAATATTCAATTCTACAGTTGCTCTCGACAAATCACAACATTTTTTAGACTACTATTTTATTTTATTGATTATAATATTGATCCGTTATATTTTCCTCATCTGTTATGAATATGAAATCTCTATACCATAATAATTAAGAAATGATTGATAAAAAGTCAGATTATTATTATCACCTTGTATGATAAAGAAAAACAAAACTAGAAAAACATAATTTAGTTTTATTTAAATAAAGACAATTTGAAAAAAAAACATAGAACAATATTTGTTTTGTCTTAATTCTCAATTTCAAATAAAAACATCATACAAATCGTATTTGAAATATTTGATGTAAACATACAAAGAGTTTCTTTTACGTTCATAGAAAGAGTAAGTGATAGCATGAAAAAAGCGGTTAAAGTACCAACATCATGTTGCATACGACGAACATAGAATAATGCAGATGTAGTAGTGTAATGTTTTAAATTCGCAGCCTCCAATAATGTCATTTGTGTTGAACCCGTTATGCGTTAGAATACAAATGCGAGTGCCAATATTGTTTTTTTAGTAACACCAAACAGTTGGAGTGTACAACATAAAAAAAATTGTCACTCAATAAAAAAGGCAACATACAAATGATAAAATCATTACGCGCAGAAAACTCTTAAAGAATATTTTCTACAACTTTTTATTGAAGAAAAAAACTGATTACAATTTTGATGAAACTTATCGGATTTTTTGTTGTCTTCGGAGGTAATTGAATTGTACAATATGTCGGATTATATTGTGGAACGTTTGGATCGCATAGCGAAGGCGAATCGAAACAAAGTGCCAAAAGTTAACAATATCGGCAAATTCGAAGTGAAAAAACGCGCACAGTACGAAAATGAGGTTATAAAATGCGTATCAAAACTGAAAGCCATTCCAATGTCATACGGTGATCGTTTTATACCACGCAGATATTTTCGCAAGAAAACACCAACTCTGACATCAAAAAGTTTGCAGCCGGTGGACGAGAACGAAAATGATATTTTCACTGTTAAAAGTTTGCCATATTATTGGCGTTTGCACAACTATCGTATAAATATTGAAATGCAACTTGGCTTAAATGAAAATGAGAAACTATTGCATTTTCATGATAACACGACACAACGGAATGACGATCAAATGCCCAACATGAATTTAACGAAAATCGAATATCAAGTGCCAAGTAAAAGCACCGAAGAACTGGATTGGTCATGTTTACCCCGAGCAAAGCCGCTATCATACAATGATTCCACACACGACATGGTAAAATAAATCTTTTTTTTTAGTCGAAAGCATCTAGAAAGTTCGGAATTTCGTTTTGTTTCGTTCACAGCCTGGATTTGATGACTATATTAATGGAAATAATATCATCGATTGGTCCAGTCGAGGTCAAATTGCTGCCAGTTTTGATTCTTCGTTAGTTTTATGGGGCCCACCAACGAAAACGGACCGAGAAACTGCAACGGTGTTGTACGAAATAAAGAATGTCCGAGCATTAAAGGTAACATACAAATGACAAAAATTACTACGCACAAAAAATTCTTAAAGAACATTTTTTATAATTATAGTCACTAATTATCACTACCTTTTATCCATATTCTATTCAAGTACGCACCTGATGGTAAAAAATTAGCATTGAGCGTGAGTCACTCTGATTCATCACTTCTTCAAATATGGGATATCAGCGATAAAATGTCGATTTATACGAGAAAATCGTGTACCTTCCGCAAAGAGCGGGTATATGAAGCAATCCGATGCATTGAATGGGAACCGAATGCAAAAAATATCATTTGCGGCATGTCATCAGGAACGGTGTACATCATTTCATATCCTTCATTGAAAACATTACACCGTTACGAAAGTCATAAGGCTTCCATAAGTAACATCAAGTATTCCATAAACATCACATACATTGCGATTACTGATTTATTGGGCAATCTATCGATTTTGCGAAACAATGTTAACTACGAACTGTATCTGAAGAACAAAAAAGCGCATTATATTGCATGGCATCCATGGGTCGAAACAAATCTGTTAATCGGTTACAAGTCACCCGCATCGATTCATCTGTTGGATTTGAAAACCAAAACAACGATTGCACATTATCGTCGCAACGACTTACAACATTCACTATGCGCCATGTCAATAAATCCATTATCGGCCGAATTGGTTGTATCATTTTCGTATCAAGAAAACGACGTCACGCACAGTAACATTCTCGTTATGGCATCAATGAATCGCATCGTCGACAATATATCAGCTCATCAAGAAGCCGTTTATTTTATATTATGGGATCCAACTGGAACAAAAGTCGCCACTGCCGGTCAGGATGAATCGCTGAATATCTGGCACTTTTTTGGTAAATCTCAGAAAAAAGCAGACGAATTAAAAAAAATTCATGATAACATAAAAATTCCAAAGAACAGTAAATTAAACTTGAATAATATGTTCATGATGTGTCGTTAGATTTTGTACATTTTCTTTTGTTTAAATCGTTAATTCATATTGTTATATTTTGATGCAATTAATATTTGAGTTTTGTGATATCAGTTGTTATTTAATGTATTATTTCCAATTTGTTTAGTTTATGCAATTCCAAAGTTATATTGTCTAGATCTAAGTGAAGAATATTTCAAAATTTAAAACAAAATCCAGATGTCATTTATAAAGCAAGAGTCAGATATTGACAACATTTTAGATATTGTGTCCATTTGGATTTATGCTTGAATAAAGATCACTCAAAGAAATTATATATGAAAAAAATATTGTTGGTGCACTAGTTAAGTGGAATAAAAATAAATTGATTATTGTGTTAATTTCAATGGACTGATCTATGACACGATCAATTGAAATCAACACCATCCTTACATTTTTCAGGCGATTTTGAAATAAGCCCTTTTTTTAATTTTTCTATCAACTAAAACAAATTGCTTAACAATTAAAAAAATTCACCCGTTAAATTTTATCACATCTTTATTGAATAGACTGAAAAAAGAATAACAGAAATCATATTCAATTTCAATAAATATCTACAATTAAAATTGAGCGCCTTTTCAAAGCACATCTGTATATACGGCAACTACTTGTAGTCAACTTCAGGGCAAACATTGTTGACAGTTCAGAATAAATTGTCACTTTACGTTTTGGAATACACAAATAGTTGCGTGTTTCTTCTTTTTCAAGACTATTTTGTGAATATTTTTGTCTAATTAATTATATAAAATTATATTTTTCGATTTAATCATCACAAAAAACTCATTCTGTCACTTGAATCGTTGTAACAACGGAATAGGAAATACCTTGTAATCAAATCAAAACATTCACAGAGACATGGAACTAAGACGTCTTTCATAAACTCAAAGATAGAAATTGTTTTTATAAAAAAAGAATCACATTGTTTATTTCGTCGCATTGAAAATTGAATCGAAATAAATTAAAATGACGGAGTTTCTTCAGCCACCGCCAACCACAAATTTCAGCGTACCGCCGCCGCCTGTTCCACAGCAACCGATACATGCATCACCATCACAACCAAATCAATCACCGTCTGCACCACATTATTCGAGTTATCAAAGGGAGCGTCATTATCATGGAGGGTTTTCCGGTAAAAATACGCACTATTCACGGTCGTACAATAATTTTCGGGGTCCGAATAACATGAGCCAAGATGATTTCGACGGAAAACGATTACGGAAAAGCGTTATGAGAAAAACTGTGGACTATAATTCGTCAATTGTTCGAGAGCTAGAAGTAACTAAATTGCTATTTTTTTTGCTTGAATCAATGAAAACAGTGAATTTATTGTGAAATTTATTTTTAGAATCGAATATGGCAAAGAGATTATCGTGATCGTCGCGCTTTACAGCCTGAAAGCATTTACGTATCTGAAATGCTGCCACCTCCCAGTTATATGGATAATCCAATTAATGCAGTTACGACGCGATTCGTTAAAACCGCAACAAACAAGATGCGTTGTCCAATTTTCACGCTGGCTTGGACGCCAGAAGGAAGGTAAATGGAAACTCATACAGACTCAACTTCTTTTCTCTTGAATTCATTTTTAATGTGTACATTTTTTTTCATTTTCATTCATCCGGATTTAATATGTTTGTATTCAACTGAAATATGTTGATTTAGACGTCTCGTAACTGGTGCCAGTTCAGGTGAATTCACATTATGGAATGGGCTTACGTTCAATTTTGAGACTATACTACAGGTATAAATTCAGCTCGGTGGCAACATTCATTTTCATTTCAATTCGACTGACTCTGTTTTATGTGTGTTATAGGCTCACGACGTACCAGTACGAACGATGGTTTGGTCACACAACGACAATTGGATGATTACAGGCGATCACGGTGGTTATGTCAAATATTGGCAATCAAATATGAATAACGTACGAATGTTTCAAGCTCACAAAGAACCCGTTCGGGGTATAAGGTAAGAATATTTAACAGTTGTACCCAATAGCAACAAAATGAGTGTGATACTTATATTATACCATTATTCAATTTCAGTTTTAGTCCATCCGATAACAAATTTGCAACGTGTAGCGATGATGGTACGCTACGAGTATGGGATTTCTTGCGGTGTCAAGAGGAGCGAGTTCTTAGGGGTATGATAAAGAATCTTTTGAATTTGATGAGAATAAAGAGTATATTTCAATTGTTTCACACAAGGTTGCGAAATACCAAATACTTGAATTACTCGTAAAGCATATCCAAATACGTGAAATATACTCTTTCTAACCATAAGCAAGTTCTTTGATGAAACAAAAATATTATAAATGATATAATCTTTCTCAAGGTCATGGTGCCGATGTAAAGTGTGTTCATTGGCATCCTCAAAAAGCACTCATCGTATCCGGAAGCAAAGATAACCAGCAGCCAATTAAATTATGGGATCCGAAAAGTGGCCAGGCTTTAGCTACTTTGTAAGTTAAATATGCTTTCCAAGATTTAAAACATGGTTACGGTTATAGTATTCTCATTATAACCTTTATTTTCACTAGACACGCTCACAAATCTACCGTGATGGATTTGAAATGGAATGATAACGGCAATTGGCTGGTAACAGCATCACGTGACCACTTATTAAAACTGTTCGATTTACGAAATTTGCGAGAGGAAGTGCAAGTGTTTCGTGGCCATAAAAAGGAAGCAAGTGCAGTTTCATGGCATCCAATACACGAAGGCCTATTTAGTTCGGGTGGTTCAGATGGATCGATTCTATTCTGGAATGTTGGCACCGATAAAGAAGTGGGTTCAATCGATGTAGCCCATGACAGTATTGTATGGACATTGGCTTGGCACCCACTTGGCCATATCTTATGCTCTGGATCTAATGACCATACCATTAAATTTTGGACTAGAAATCGGCCAGGTGATCAAATGAGAGACAAATACAACTTAAACACATTGCCGGCTGCACTGCAAGGTGCCGAAGAATATGAAATTGATGAACATAATATTACAATACCTGGCATGGGCCCAGAAGATAAAATTGATTTCAGCGAAAGTTTAATGGCCGACAAAGGTTTTATTCCGGGTTTGGATTTAGACACAAGCAATTTGGGTGAAAATAAAAGGGATAAAGACAAAAAAGTCCCATACAGTAAACCAATTCCACGAAACTTTCAAGCACAATGGAATGATACTGGCTTCGCTAATGAGGATGCTTCAAAAGAAATTAAAGATGTTATCAGTCAAATAGTTGAGAATAAACAAGGTGGAGTTCCAATGCCGAAACCAATACCAACTGCCATTGTTGTCTATGGCAAAATGATTGAAGTGAAACGTAAGTTCAAACTTATCTTATTTCATTTTATATTATTTTCCTAATCATTTTACTATTAAACATTTTTGCATCATTATAGCCGGATCAAAGTTAGAGCAAGTGATAGGTGACGGTGCAGAAGCATTAAATGTTTTTATTGATTCTGGTCAAATTGAGGAGTTGTCTGATTTGATTCCGAACGAAGTGAGTGACGATTCCGACATCGATGATGAGAATAATTCAAATGAACCAAGAGAGAAACGTACAAAAGTTATCAAGAATCATAATGCGCAGATTATTTATAAGAGTCAAGAAACAAATATGTTAATACCATCACTGATGACAATAAACGTTCCGAATGTTGCTGAACCTGAATCACCATGGAGCCATCCACCACCTTCAAATGAAAATTGGAATAATGTGCCACCAATGTTCAACGCAAACACGCCACCTAGCCTACTAAATTTGAATGTGGCCCCACCATTTGACGATTCTATCAATCCACCCACCGGTAATTGGCAACAAGGCAGAGCCGACTTCAATAACCGCGCTGCGAAACAGGACGGTACAAAAAGACGCAATAGAGACAGCGACGGAAACAGAATAAGCCGTTTCGATAGGGGAGAAAGACCAAGTCGATTCGATAATAATGACAGCGCAAGAAATAACCAACGTCGAAATAATAGACGGATATGAGCAAATTTTACCAACAGACTCAATGTTATATTTCGTTATTGCTAACATTTAAAGTATAATAAGTTTAAGAGATTCAAAGAAAATCAAGAAAGCCACAGAAAAAAAATTTAATGCACAAAATCAAAGAAAAAATGTGTTTCATTTCAAAAACGAAAAATCTAATTTTCAGAATTAAAAAAAAAACTCTCAAAGAAGAGAATATATTATTAAAAAGAAAAAAAACAGTTCAGCAATAATTTCAATATTAACAATGCAAAATGAAAACAGCCACATTATAGCAATCTTTTTTTTAATTTTGTGTATTTCATTTTGATAAATTACGGCACTTCCCATCTGAAAGAAAAAAATAAACGTTTACAAACCTTTTTTCAAGCGTTGTAAAAAATGGCTCTTAGTTTGTAACAACCAAAAAGAGTTGATCTGCAGCATTGATCGCAATAAAATCACCGCAAAAATTCAATTACCTATTTACTCTTCTCTTCTTAAATTCAAAACGGAAAAAAGTAATAAAATTTAGCATATAAAACAATGAAAAAACGTTTTTTTTTTGTTTGTATTAAATTTCCATAATATCTGGATATTTATTTTTTCTTAACAATACACATTAAGCGGATTGTGTGGTTTATTTGCCTTTCTTCGATTTAATCTTTTTCATGTAGAATTCCAATTCTTTGCCTTCGAGAATGTAACCGTCGGCGCGACCGCTTTGACCTGGTCGTGAAGAGATAGAAGCTAAAGAAGACAGAAAAATGAATATTGGTTAATTTATTAAATCCATATTTTGTTCATGCAAAAGTAATGAACTTTTGCCATTCGGTAAAATATCAGAGTAACTATGACAGCATTATCATTTCCCAAAATGATTTGTTTTCTCAGAACGTGAATTCAAATCGAAAATTTATGGGTCGCCTATAATTTTTTCATCACTTAAACACTTGATAGCTGTTTACGAATTCAATGACTCACCCAAAAGACGACCTGAGCCGAATTGTTCTTCAAGAGCTGGTTCGACTTTGGCGTTACGTTGACGTGCAAGGTATTTAGCCATGACTGAACGGCATCGTTTTTTGTTCAATACTGGATCTTCGGCCAACTGTTGTTTGGTTTCACGCTTACGACCCAATGGCAAAATGTAATGGGCTTCATACCATTGACGGAATGGAGTAGCATCGATAACGATGATGGCATTCTTTACCAAAGTTTTGGTACGAACCAATTCGTTATTTGATGCATTGTATACGACATCGATGATACGAGTCTTACGAGTTGCACCCTCCGATGCCCAGGCAAAGTTTCCATGATCTAAACGAAGAGCACGTTGCTTGACATTTCCACCGCGAGTTCGAACATCATGAACACGTTGTTGTCCAATCTAAAATTTACGGTAGACAAAGAAAAGAAAACACACAAAACATTATTTGGTGTCAGCAATTTTCATTTCACTTGTATTGAAATTGTCTTTGGTTGTGATTGAATAATCAGTTGAAGAAATTCAAGTAAAGGGTATTTATCGTCAGAGTTTCGTCCGTTGACACGCTAGTATCATCATAGAAATTCAATGCACTGCTACATTTTGAACAATTTTCTTTTAATAAAATTAAAATTACCTTTGTATTGGCAGCTGGACGACCCAATTCAAACTTACGCTTCTTACGAAGCTGCTTGCGTTTGCCACCAGTGGCGCGTCTTTTGTGGAAGCTATCGCGGCTAATACCTTAAAAAATGAGAAAACACATTTTTGGTTAATTAAAAGATCATAAGAAATGGAAATTTGCATGGAAGTATTCGTTTTTCCGGTGAACAGAAAAATCAATTGTATACGAGTGCACACTTTATGTAGTCGGTGACTATTCAAAAGCCATCATAACACACGGTGTTTTCATTTGTTTTGCATTTTATTTACTTTTATTGATATTTAAAATGGATGGTACTTGTTTGAAAATCACAAAATATGATTTATTTAATGTTTAAAAATAGAAAGTTATAAGTCTTTTTAAACAATATTTTATCACACTCGTGTGCACCACATAAAGCTAACCTCGATTCGGTCTTTTGCACTGACTTCTATGGAAAGTAACAACTTTTTCAGATTTTCAACGAATTTTTGAAATTTTCGCAAAAAATAATTTGCTGAATCGTTATATTAGATGTATAAGCATAAATTTTCACCGATTTTATTAATTAATTTTCACAAATTTCGTTGATGATCGTCGATAAAATTGTGGAATAGTAGCTGACAAGCACTTACCCATTTTGAGGTACGATGAGAGAAAGAACTCAAAGGAAGCTTGCCAGTTGTCAAATCGCTAAACACACGATGTTTGCCATTGATAGTGTGTTCAATGCGTTCAATGACATATCAAGAGTACCTGAAATCATTTTAATGGGTGCGTTCATACATTCACTGGAATATATTCATTATTTGAATATGACAACTTTATACATTTTAATGGAAATAAATAAATAAAATTATTATTTTCAAAAAAAAAATCGTTTCTTATTTTGAAAATAGTTTCTTAAATGCATATCTAGGTAATAATCATAGGACAGACCTAACATCGATCAACATTGTCTTACCATGGTAATTGTTGTAGCAAGAACGACATTTGACATTTGTCGCCATTTATAAATTGTGTTTTCTCTATTGTATAGATGTAAATCAAAAGCCGCGTTTACCAAGTGACAATTTACTTTTTGGCTCATTGAAAATAGCCCATTTGTGTTTTAAGTTATTTTAACAATCTGAGTAATAGTTTGTTTAGTTTGAAAAAGGCTTAGGTACAGCGAAACAAATATGTCTGAAGAGAATAATGAGGACGATTCGTGGTTGTACGGTAGTTCGAATGAAAATCAAGAGAACCAAGAAGAACAACCACAAATTGATGAAAAAATAATAACAGAAGATCAATCTGCGTTGGCATTTTCAAATGATACAACACAAGATCAAGATGATAGTAGAAATGAAGAATATCAGGATGATGCAAACGTAAGTTTTCAAAAGGTAAATTTACTGTCAAATTTAAATTATTTATGTCAATTGTCATTCGTATAGGAATATAATAGTCAGGAAAATAGCTTTATAGCTGAAAATGCAGTTGATACTGAAAAGGTGAACGGTAATTCAGATGTGAATGGTTCGGTTTCACAAAAGAATGAAAACGACGACGACGATAGCGATGATGACGAAGATGATATTGTAGTTACAATTGGTGATATTACGCCTTCTTCAACTTTCAATATAAAACAACGTAGTGGGAATTTATTGGTACCAACATCGACCGCCGGTCAAGACAAGCCAAAAACCAATTTGGGTAAATTCAGTATCGAAGAATTTGAAAGTGTGGGTACCATAAGTGGCCAGTCAGCCGTGGAATATAATCTCGAGGCTATTGAGGATAAACCATGGCGAAAGCCTGGTGCAGACATCACAGATTATTTTAATTATGGTTTTAGTGAAGAAACTTGGCGAGCATATTGTGAACGACAAAAACGTATGCGACACGAAAGCGGCGCTGGTCTATCTGGATTGGGACCAAATCCTACTCAAACTACACCAATCAACAATAATCGTATGTTTTCTTCTTCATACCATTTGACTTATTGATTAACCAAAACCAATCATTCAATTTGTAGCAAATCGTACGTTAACTTCGCTGACAACATCTGATAATAGTAAATATTCGGTACCAGGAACAACAAACTCACATAGCGGGCCACCAAACTTTACAAATCGAGGATTCAACGCAACGCCAGGTTCGGAAGCTACATCTTTCATTCCAAATTTCTATAAAAAATCTTATGTCATTTTGTTAGCCATGAAAATAATTTCATTTAAATGTATCAAGTGTTCGGTTAGATATCAATTGTAAGTTTTGTTTTCTCTCAAAAGCACTCGCAAAGGAGAATGTAATCCAAGTAATGACAGCCGAAAGACGTGAATACAGTCGACCGAAGGGTAAATTTGATGTATCCATGTCAATGCCACCTCCGCCATTCAATATGGGCAATGAACAATTTTATCCCGATGACACTTATAGCTATGGTTATGAACCGACTCAAGAACAACAATGGAACAACGATAATGTTGGCGTTGGGTGGATGCCATCAGGTAAGATACGCTTTATTTTTTGCGTCTAAGATACGTTTTATTGAATAAATCTATTTATAGGAATCAAGGAACTTACACCTGGTCCACAACAAATGATGCCCCCACCGCCAATGAACATGAACATGCCACCACCAAGTAAGACAGTAAATTAATATTTTGTACAGACTATTATACTAATGATTTTTTTGCTTTAATAAGATGCTATGATGCCGCCAAATATGATGAATGTTCCACAAATGGTGCCACCACCACAACATAACATGAGTATAGGAATTGGTCCAATGCCTCCAATGATGCCACCGCCAGTAATTAACAACACTACAATTCCACCAAATCGCGGTAACGAAGATCATCGCAATAATCAGCCAATGGATAAGCGAAACGATTCAGCCCCACCTTCGGCATGGCGTAGAGATAAAGAACGTGATTATCGCGATAGAGAGCGAGGTAAAATTATGACATATTTTAAAACTATTCAGAAATGTTATACGACATTTTTTATGTTTCAAAATAGAAGAAGAATCAACATCAGATCGAGAGAGACGACGTGAAAGAGAACGATATCGTTCGGACAGAGATCGGGGCGGCTCATCACGAAGGTATTTCAACTGAAATGTTAAATCCAATAAAACCCAGCAATTGATGAATTGTTTGTGTTTTAGGGATCGATCACGGAGTAGAGAACGTTCTTCTCGTCGACGTTCCAAATCAAGAAGTCGCGAGCGTGAACGAAAATCGCGTGACAAAAAGAAATCACACAAGAAAGACAAAGATGATTCGGAGTAATGGAATTATATGTTGCTGCGAGTAAAGGTACTGCGGAGAAAGAAAATCGAATTCATTAATAAAAGAAGCAAAGCAAAATAAAACAGAATTAATCAAAATTACATTGTGTTTTTTTAAACCATCGTTTTAATTATTTTCTTTTTTTCCAAACAAAAAAATGTGTAGGTAGTTTTAATGAAAAAAATAATATGGATGCTTGTTTTAAATAGAAATCTATTCTCGAAGATTATGATAATTAGTTGGTAAGTATTTCGTTTGCTTTGGATTCGATGAGTTTTTCCATTGCTGAAATTGATTGCATCCAAACTTCAATGGTGTTTGCCATACTGGCTACTTGTGGCCGATTAAGAACACGCGGTTGAACCCATGTCATGTTGACAACGCCAGCAACTTGATCGATGTGTCCACGTACCAAACCTTGAGCCAACGCAGACATGATCAAAATTTCGACTTCATTCAACGGCAACTTGGTGTGCTCGGCAATATCTGAAAATGGTATCGATCGTTTGTCAGCCGATCGAACAAATGTCATTTCCATCAAACACAGCAATGCGACCTTTTTTCGTAGTTTCACTTCTTGTGCCAACAAATCGGGGATTTGGCTCCATTGTGGTTTCATTTGTTCGAATTTGTTGAGGTCACCATTGTTGAATGCATGAAGCAAAGCGATGAGCCATTCGTTTTCGGTACCTTTCAACGAATCGATTATTGGATGTGTCAATAGTTCACCAATGTTGTAAATGCCTTCGCCCAAAAGTGCGGCCAAACCAAGGAAAAATGCTTGCTGCGGCCATTCTGATTTTGGATAATCATCGAGAGCACAGCCCAAAAATTGTAAGCCACAACGATAATAGTCACTGTAGTTACCAACCCGGCGATAGTAATTCGATGCCAATAGAAAATATTTTCCGTGCACAGCTGTTACGTTACCCGATTCTTCAAGCACTTCCTTCAATTCTTCGATAATCTTTTTTGTTGCATCCAAATCTTGCAAATGTTCCAAATAGATTTGCCCTTGCAACACACGACAAAACCACACCGATTCTTCGCTAACTTTCACTTTTTCCGCTAATTTTTCCAAAAACTTTACAGCTTCAGTTTTGTCGCTGATGAATCCAACGACTACGTACAACATTTCTACCAATGCATATGGATTGATCTTTGTTTCAAACGATGATATAAAGTTGTGGTACAATGGCAGCAAACTCTCTTCGGATTGAAGGGACGGGTGTTTTACGAATGAAATTAATCTGATGGACAGTTCGTTCCACAATTTCTCGTTGTAAAGCTCTTCAAGACGTCCCCATTCTTCAGCCAATTCCTTGTTGGTTGTTTTCTTTTCTTCGGTTAAATATTTAGCAACATTTGCCGTTGACGCCATGATGACTATTTTGTTTCTATTCTGAATACCGTAATGACATGAAGTTGCTGTTACAGATGCACAATTTTTGTAATATCATCTTTCTGATTAGTTTGATGTGAGTGCGTTCAACACTTCTCGTCTGACAACTTCCAAGCGATTTCCATTGAAATTTCCCATAGGAATTCACGTGTTTCACATCAGTTTAGAATTTTTCTCTCTTTTAGAAACAATATTTTTATTGGTATATTCAAAATCGATTGTTTTCCAATGATAAAGTCATTTCATTTGAGCTCATTCAGCATTTGACCTTTAACCTTCAAAAAAAAACTTTCTTGTTTTTGTGTTTATTATCATTTTATTCAACATTTTTATTTATTTCCATAAATAATTTGAAATAATTCATTTTGAACATTATCAAACTATACCATGAAAATTACATTGTTTCTGTGATAAAATAGTTTCCCACGCAAAGTCAATGCCGATAAAAAAATTTGAATAAAATACCGCGTCATTGTTGCCAACAGAAGTTGTTTTCTGTCATTTATATGTGTGTGCAAAACAGGCACATATGCATGTATCACATGCGAGCGCTAGATAACATTGAAGAGTGAAGAGTGAAGAGAAAAACACTCTGAAAAACAAGCAACAACAGCAGCAGAGCAGCACCAGAGACAAATTGGAAAAATTCAATCCAGCACAATATAGTACAAAACCTGACCACCATTTTTCTTAATTCAAAATGGCCGAATAACTAAACGAAACGCAAACATTGATTATTACTATTTATTATTATATGAGTTCTGTAAACCAAACAACAATAAAAAAGAGAACGCATAAACTAAACAAAAGCGAAACAGTAGTATTGTAATAAAAAATAAGGTTAAACATTTAAGTGAATGAAATTGAAGCAAATGCCATAGATAAAATATTTATTTATTATAAATCATTGGTGTAAACGCCACTTCGAAAATGTGAGAGAGATGAAAAATTGTTGACTTTTTTTTTAATTCATTCGTTCGTTTGTGTATACATACAAAATTAAATGAATGTGAATCAATCAAGTTTTGTGTCTATTTTTTGCTGTCCGCTAATATGATGTCAATGAAGCATCTCAATTTTTTCTGTGTATTTTAAAAATCAGCATATCTGTGTTTGCTAAGCTTGAATCGCAATCATATCAAGCAAAAAAAGGAAATTGATCAACTATTTTAATCAAAAAGTGAACAAAATGAAAGAATCAATTTGCACAATAGCAAAAGTAGCAGCACAACAACAATAACAACAACAACATCACCATCAAAATCAATCCGACGAAATTTTGTGAAATAAAAGGTGCCACAAAAATTGCAATTAAGTGACGAAAATAAAAAAAAAATTATACCGTCAAAAATTACCGGGCTTAAAATAAAGTCATAAAAATCTCAACGAAAGAATAAATCATTTGTTTGCTTTATTTTCGCATTCAGTTCCATTGTTTGCCCTTTGTGTATATATTTTGTTCTTGAACGATTAAATGCGCATATACCGTGTGCGAGTGGATGTAAATATTTGTGGGAAAAAAGGCAAGAATTTAACGAGAGAGCCGATTCAAAAAAGAAAAAAATTCTGCGTATATACATATAATCATTCAATGTTCATGAATATGCGCTCGTGTGTTTCCATCTATAAAATATCGTTCTGTGCATATTCAGTTTGATTCGGTTTGATGTTTTAAACAGCCGTGACAAAAAAAAAATTATTCATCGCCACTTATGCAATTATGTGTCGCGCGACGCTGATTATTGGAATAATCGAGAAATTTTCTTGCAAGCCAACTAAATGATTGAATTGAAATTATCAAACAAGAGAAAAATAAAATGGGACGTTCAAAATTCCCAGGCAAACCGTCAAAATTAGTGACTAAAAAGCGTGTCAGTGTTTTGAATGGAAATAACATCAATGGTAGTAATAATAGCATTAGCAGTGGTAGTAGTCAAAATGTAGCCATAGTATCATTTGGTGCAGTGAGCTGTGCCATTAACGATGCAAGCAATGATATCGACGCCGATGCTGAAACACAGAATATTGCCGTCGAACAACAATCGAACAATAATATTGAACCGGATAGTGATATAGCTTTAAGATCAACAGCCGCTAAATGTGATGTTGTTCAGGTAAATTAATTTAATATCATTTACCTTCAATCATTGTGCGTATGTGAATGTGAATGAATACTGGTGTATTCAAATGGCCAATTAAATAATTTTTATCATATTTTCGATAAATATATGAGAAATTGAAAAAAATGAATGCTTACGCAAGATGAAGTTGCCACATGGACCAAATTTTTTTATTCATTAGAAATCAATGGAAAATAAATATTTTTCGAGAAAGACCTAAGCGAGTCAATAAAAAAAATCTCTGTAGTGATGCGGTACATAGCATTGATTACACATGCGAAGGAATGAGCGCGCGCGCATTCATGTTACTCATCAACGCCAAAATGCCTGAAAGTATTATCGTTTGCTTTACTAACTATTTCAGCTCGTGTACGACGATAATCAGCCGTGTATGTACACATAGCGCGCAAATATATACATATTATCAATATCAATATATAACATTTATCTGATGTGTTCAATCATTCACTTGGTTTTTTTAGGTGTTGTGTGTTTGTGTCTTTTTAATTCTCTTTTTGTTTTCCTCGTTTCTCTTTCTACTTCGGTGTACACAATATGGCATTTTATATTTATTTGCTTGATCATTGGTCGCATAGTTGCTGCTTGGAATCTCTTACAGATATATATTTCTCGTCGTGGCCGTAGTCGCTTTTTTTTATTTTTATTTAACTTAATTATAAAATGCGAACGTACCGCTAAAGCAAAGACAGAATAAAAATAAATAAAGCAACAATGCTAACAACGACCGAATCAATAGCAAATCAGCTCAGCAGCCCCGACGTACTTTAACTATAAAACATCAGCATCACCATCGACAACGAATAAATCATAATTCGCTATTATATCTCACTCGCTCCCATTGCGCTGATCTTTTGTTGTTGTTGATTCTTATTCGTTCGTTTCAATTCGTTGAAATGTTTTTTTTTCTCCTCTTTTTTCATTTTCAATTTTGTATAAACTGCCATGATTTTGTGCTCGATTATGTGTTTGTATGACCATCGTTCGCGCACGTCGTTTTGTATTCGATACGAAATTGAACGTAAATATTCTCGCGCTCGTGTATAGATTTTTATATTATATTATATCATTTTGAGTTCAACAAATCCAAATCTCAATTAGATCTACATTCATGTCTCGAGTAATATTCGTGTACTTGTGCATGATATATATATGAAACGGCTCAATGCCTACCTTAAAAAAAGAATATCTATAGCTCTCTAATAACACTTATGCCAATGAAATTACTCCCTCGCTGTTTTTTTTTGTTTAATAAGATAATCTTCTCTTTCCAATAACAACACAATTTTTTCGTTCTCAATCTGCTTTTTCGAGAATATACCCTACGAGTTAAAGAATAATTTGAACGCTTCAACAACGATAAAAAAATAAAATATACTTTTAATGAATATGATAATAGAACGAAATGACGTCACGAAATTACTTGGCTGCCATTCTTCAGTGGGGGGTTTATTCGCTTTTCAAATGTCTTGAACAACTTGTCAATGGGTTCTTGGCTTTTACCTAGTCGATAACATAAAATCATACGCATTATAAATTATTCATTTTTTTTTTTAAATAACATCGACTCAACAAGAATGAGCATAAAACGACAACCAAGGTGGCTACAACACCAACAACTACGACAGCAAAGCGATAAAAAAAACTCACGCGAAATACTTTTAATTACCTATATATACATTTCACACATTAAGCGAAATACGGCCGGCATCCATATATTAAATGTACATAATAAAAGCTAAACACGTTCGCATAGTTTTTTTTCTTCTGATATTGTATTGTCTGTGTCTTTAAATGTATGTATATTCAGAAATTAATTTGTCGTAGTCTCTGCTAATTATCAACTGTTTTCATGGATTGAATTACAGGCGAACAAATTCCATTTGAATATGAACAAAAACAAAGTTATGAGTGAATCCTTTACATGTTACGGCTATTGTTCAAGAGCTCAATTGCTGAGAGAGAAAAAACGAGTTCTCATTTTTTTTATTCTGATTTTTTCTCGTCTTTTTTTTCATCTTATCCTCTTGATTTTCTACTGGTTTGTTCTTTCAACGTGCTTTGTTTGTGCGCGCATTTTACAGATTGAATAATTGTTGCGTGAAGTCATTGACGATACAACATCCAAAAGAATATATAAAACGAACGAAAATAAGAAAAAACAAAAGTGAACGAAACCAATAACAAAGGAAAAAGAACACTCATAACTTTTAACAGAAAAAAAAACACACTATACAAACGAAATATAAACTATGCTAAATTAATGTATTAAATACGAATTAAACACTTTTATTTCCCTCGATAAATATACGCTTTTTGCGTGATGGCTCCTGTCTCTCGCTTCTAGGTGCTGTCGTTACAATTTATTGTTGTGGTGGTTGTTGTTGTTATAATTTCATTCCCTTCGTTTCTCGCTTCAGAGGTGTATGTCCGTAGCGATTGCACGCAGCGGTTGTATTACCTCTGGTATATTGTTTGAATATTGCCGGTTTTTGATCGTTTTTGTTGTTATAGCTGCTGTTGCATATATATATTCTTTTTACTAGTCATATATATATTATTCGTGTTCATGTACGTACATTTTTCCTGGTCGCTAGTTTAACGCATGCATTACTCGCTGTCAAGAGTGGTTTTTTATTCCTTGTGTGCCTCTCTTTTAAATACTTGTTTTTTTTTGCTTGCCATCAACATCAACATACCACTCTCGATACTTGGTTCTTATACTTCTATATCATACATACGGTGTACATTTGGCGCGTTAAAATTGCATTTTCAATTCGATTTCATATGCAACGACAACGACGACAATATCCACAACAACAACAACAACATGAATAACAAACGATGCTTACCTCTCTTAAATGCTTTTAAAGAGCTCCGAATGCCGATTCTACTGCATTGAACATACAATGTTCATTGTACAAGCACATACCGTACACGAACGGAGAACGTTCACATTGTGTACCGCACATATGCCAATTATGTATGTATGTCCTTTGTACATGCATTTTTTCCTCCTTCTTCGTCTCTGTATGATTTTCTTTTTCTTTTTATTTGTATGTTCTTCTTCTTCTTCTTCTTTTACGATTTGTTCCACACACAGACAATATACATGCAGTCTGTCGTCTTTTTTTCTTTCTTTCGTGGTATTTGTTGTTCGCGCTGTGCTGCCAGTAGAGAATGACTGCTGCTGTTATTGCAGTTGCTGTACTTGGTGCTCGTTGCAATGAAAACATGTTGGACAAAATCATCGAAAAAGTTTCCGCTTAGTTTCTCATTTTTTGATCGTGGTATGCATCACGCTTGTGAGCGGTCGCTATTTTTTTTTTTTTCAATGTGTTTACGAACCTTTTGAATTATTGCGTCTTGGACAGGCTCTCCTTCTCTCTTCCATTATGTTTCTGCATACTTGGTGCATATATTGTGTGCATTGCACATTGGATCGCATTGCACATTGTATTGTGTAACTTCCAAGCTATTTTTTTCCCTTTCGTTGTGTTTCTTTTGTCATGTCTGTCATTCTCGCTTTTTCGTTTTTAAATACACACATTTTTTTCTTCTTGGTTCTCTTCGTTCATTCGTTCGTTTCATCTCTTGTGCCATTGCGTTTGCCTATCGACTAAAATTCATTTCCTCGATTTTACTTGCCACTTATGTGTATGTCAGTTTGCGAGTGTAAATAAAAACTCTTGATGGTCACAGGAACATTTTATGCAACGAACATGAACCAAACCGTGTTCAGAGCATTTCATTAAAATGCATATTCAAAAATCCAAGGGTATACTTATCAACTATTTAAACCATCTACTGAATTTTGAGTGTGTACAGTACAACTTCACACGCACACACACATACACACTTTCAACTTGGGTGCTCTTCGTGTTTTTTTTTTCGTTTCATTTATATAGTTTCTGTAGCATTTTCCATGAAAAGTTGGTCGCAATTTATGTTTATGGTTTTACAGTGCACATTTTATGCTTGATCCTTGTGCATTGAGTATGCAATAAAACCAAACATGGAGAACTGAATGGGTGTTGAATCAAAAGTCTGTCATTATGCGCTTTAATTCATTTACGGTTTTGCAAATATTGATTTGCCCATGTGTCTGTGGCAAATGGAGATGGACACAGGACATACTCAATTGTAAAGAATGCACATAACCATTGTAACATAGTATAATATGCTCGAAAGTATGTGTACACTACATCGATTTGTTCCCTTTTTTATATGACTATCGCCTATTTTATACACAGCACTTATCTGCACATTCAAGTATTCTTCACACTTTTTGTTATTTGTCGTTTTTATGGTTGAAAGAATTTTCGTCTGTGAATTGAATTTTCAAGTTGTATTTTCTTTTTGTTGACATGAAATGAAATAGAAACAAATTTCAATAATCCTTCCGTCAAATGGCCTACGTTCGCAATTCAACAAACTGCATAAATAGAATATTTGGTATCATTTTGTCATGCATTGAATTCGTATTTTTTTCTCTTCTGAATTGTAAAATTGAAGAGGGTTAGATATGGTTCAAAACATGAGTAAATAATACAAGAATGTTTTAGAATCTAGATATATATTGACAAAGAAAATAATGAAACAATTTTTGTTTTCTAAACTTGTATTTTCAGGCGAATAAGTCGAAAGAATCTCAGTTAAATAATGCGAATGAGAATGGGGTATCAGAAGATGGGTCAAGTAAAAAGCCGACAAAAAAGAAGAAAGTATCTTTTAAATTCGGCTTTGAGACAGGTGATGATGCGCACATTGTTAAAAAGGAACCGACCAGAACGTTCGATCCGCCTGTATCAATAATTAAAAAAGAATGCTTACCACCAGCCATTCGAATTGCACGCGGAGAGCCGTTTCTTATGCCATCGCGATTAACAGGATTGACGAAAAATCAAGACCTAAACAAACTTGATAATGTTAATTCGTTAACATTCAAATCACATTTCGCTAAATGTAAACAGACTAGAGACGAAAATGTGACAAGTAACGATGAGGATCAAATTGATGTTGGGAGTAAAAGCAGTGAGAGTAGCCATTCTGAAAACAGCGATGAAGAGACTAGCCACAGTAAAAAAGAAGAAGCCATCACACATAATGAGGAGAAATCAAAGGCAGTTGCATTTCAATTACCGAAGCGCAGTGCGCATTCAAGTCGTGTCATAAAACCAAACAAACGATTTACCGATGATTCAAAAACGACCAACAATAAGAATGGTTTTGGTAAAAAGAAAGGTTCTAATTTTGAAACTGAAACGGATACAGTTGAAGCAAACAAAAAAGAAGGTAAGCATTTAATGTTTCAATTTTGCAATGAATGTATAATTTAAAACATAAATCGATATTTTTTTATGCAGATGATGACAATGTACTGAAAATTTCTGATCACATAAAAAATAATCCCTTTGCCAAAATCAACGATGATTCACCATTTGGTTGTTCGTCAATGTCGATACTAAGACAGTCTCGCTTACAATTTGCATCAGTCTTAAAACCAACTTCAACAATAACAAATACATCGATTGTGTCGGCAACCAACAAGGAAAGTCTATTTTCATCGAGTTTGTCGGGCAATAGCTTAAATTGTAATTCCATCCCACGTAAGTAGTCATAATTTTAATACCTTTAATTCTTCGCAATTTTCTTATTCTTGAGTGTTTATCATTGTTTGTTTTTCATTTATTTTCCCATTAGTATCAAATGCAGTATGTGGGGTTTGTGCGACGCCAGCAGCAATTACACATCAGACGCGCAAATATGGAATCAGCTCCTGCGAATCATGCAGAAAATTTATATCGAAAACAGTAAAACGACTAACACCATCGGATGAAAAATCACCGGCAGAAGTGTTTCAATGTAAAAAAGGAGATGGCAACTGTGTAATCAGTGTACGAAGTTTTAAAGCATCAAAAAAGAGATGTCAAGCATGTTTACTAAAAAAATGTCTTCAAACTTACAAGTTGCCATCGGAAATTCGATCACGAATTCAAGGATTATTGCCTCCCAGCATGAGAAATGGTGAAATTAAATCATTTTCAACAACTTTCCAGCTGAAAACCGAGAGCAACAATACAGATCCATTATCACCGAAATCAAGTGGGCTTAATAACTTGTTTGGTAGTTCACTGTCTTCGTGTCGACGATTAGTACCAACTTGGCCATCAATGAAGGATAGCACCGAAAACACAGAGTTCCGTTCGTTTAATTCGCTGAGTAATCCGCTCGCTGAAAACAACTCCAAGTTTGGCAGTTCACCGCAAATTGTTCCAAATATTTTGGAGAAACCAACAATTATGGCGGGAAGTCTAAATTCAGCCATCTCTCCAAATGGTGCGCTCAATAAAAAGACACCTGAGCTCAAGGAATCATCAAAGTCACCACCATCAACTCAAGCCGAACCAATAAGTACGTCAAAGAGCAAAAGTACACCAATTTCCAACGGAACAACTACAGAACAAGAAGAAACATCTCGATTACGCTTGAGAAAGAAAGATCGTGTTGAACCATCGACAACAACACTAACAATAACAACAACATCAACATCAACAATAACATCGACTCTGGCACAAGCCGTTACCGTTACAACGGCAGGTAGTGAGCTTGCAACTCGACAACGAATCGATTTGAAAGGACCGCGAGTTAAACGTGTATGTCGAAGTGCATCAATTGTTCTTGGGCAACCAATTGCAACGTTTGGCGATGAAAATCAAATCCTCGATACATTGGACACACCACCCCGACCCGAATCACCAAACGGTATTGTTGATTTCCATGATCCGGCAACATCAATATGTGGCACTCAAACTGACAAACACAATGATCAAAATGAATGTGCCGATAGCACACGTCTGAGTCCACCAGCAACGCCAATCATTAATGATTATGACAGTGAGTCGACATCAACGAAAGAGCAGTTAGGTGAAAAATCACCAGGTGAAAATAGTAAATCGGATGATGTAAGTGTGACATCTGTTGAAAGTTTGAAACGAAATGAAGAGAGCAAACCAGTAGTGACACGGAAATTATCGCGACCGAACAATTTGGCATCGAACAGTATTACTGCGGTAAACAGCAAAAAATTAAATTCATTCATACGCAAACCAATTCAAAAACCGGCTCCAAAGAATTCACCGCCAATGATATCGATTGATTTTTGGGAAAATTACGATCCAGCTGAAGTGAGCCAGAATGGATTCGGTTTGATTTTTTCCGAAGACATTCAGATTAGCGCAGCTTGTTTCTTGTGCGGTAGCCAAGGCCAAGAACCATTGATATTTTGCTCTAGCTGTTGTGAACCATATCATTTGTATTGTGTTGAAGATGAATACAATTTAAAGCAGCACGTATCGCTCGATGATACAAATGTCAGTTTATTGGATGCCAGTATGATAAGTGGCATTGGTTCAGATGCCCTAAACTCACCGGCAAGTCGATTGAATTGGTCGTGTCCCCGTTGCACAATATGTCATTCGTGTCGTGTGCAATACGGATCAAAGGTTAAGTGTCAAAAATGTCATAAAAACTATCACTCAACGTGTCTGGGCACAAGCAAACGTCTATTGGGAGCAGATCGACCGCTAATTTGTGCTAGCTGTTTGAAATGCAAGAGTTGCGGTACAACAACCGTTTCAAAATTTGTTGGAAATTTGCCAATGTGCTCGCAATGTTTTAAGCTTAGGCAAAAAGGAAGTTTTTGTCCGTTGTGTCAAAGATGTTACGAAGACAATGACTTTAACATTAAAATGATGGAGTGCGGCGATTGTCATCGGTGGGTGCATTCAAAATGTGAGGGTTTAACCGACGAACAATACAATTTACTGAGTGTTTTGCCAGAAAATATCGAATTTATTTGCCGAAAGTGTGCAAAAACCAATCCAACAGCATCAACATGGCGAGATGCTGTACTGGCCGAACTTAAAACGGGCCTGTTAAGTGTTGTCAAACAGTTGAGCAAGAGTCGACAAGCATGTGCTTTGTTAAAATTGAGTCCACGCAAAAAACCATCAATGTGTCGCTTCTGCGTACAGAAAGCACAACAAAGTGAAAATCATGAATACGAATTGGACGACAAACTTGACGATCCATTTGATTTTGCAGCATCACAAATACGAGACGAAATGAATTGCTTGCCCGCAGCAAAATGTTATTGCAGCACATCTCTCACACAAAAGCCAAATACATCACAAAGTTTGATTGACATTAAACAAAAAATTCTTACGAAAAAATACTATTCGCTGGCTGATTTCAATTATGATATGAATGTGGTAATAAATGCAGCTGCATGTGACGATTTGATGACAGCCTACAAAGAAATCCTAAGCGAAGCATTTCCATGGTTTCAAAATGAAACGAAAGCCTGCACCGATGCATTGGTCGAAGATATGTATGACTCGTGTAATTTTGATCATTCAACGATAGAAAATGATGAAATTGATCAACAAGTTCCTATGATCGATGTTCCCGGTGACATCGATGAGTATTTCTATCAGCCTGTGCCATCCAACGATACAAGATCGTGTATGTTTTGTAAGGGATGCGGAGACGGTGCTTCAATAAATGAATCTCGTTTATTATATTGTGGCCAAAATACTTGGGTGCATGCTAATTGTGCCATGTGGTCGGCAGAAGTCTTTGAAGAAATTGATGGATCGCTACAAAATGTTCACGGCGCCATTTCACGTGGACGAATGATTAAGTGCAGTGAATGTGGAAATAAAGGTGCAACTGTTGGTTGCAATGTACGAAATTGTGGTGAACATTATCATTTTCCATGTGCACGAAAAGCTGATTGTGCATTCATGACAGATAAAACTGTATTTTGTCCACAACACTCAAAAAATGTTACAACTGATGGTAAAGTGTCAATTGAAACAAATTTCGAAGTATCACGTCCAGTTTATGTGGAATTGGATCGAAAGCGACGGCGACCGGTATGTCCAAAGAAAGTACAGTTTTTGATTGGTTCGTTGCATGTTAAACAACTCGGAAGATTTGTGAATGTACTTTCCGATTTTGATGACTTCATCGTGCCAGCCGATTTTCTATGCTCACGTTGGTATTGGTCAACAAAAGAACCTTGGAAAATTGTTGAATACACGATTCGTACATCGGTTCAAAGTAATTTAAATATTGCAACGGATGCAGGACGCAATTTTACTGTTGATCATTCGAACAGTTTGAGCAAAGTTCAAATTGGTTTGGCTAAAATAGCAAAATGGCATTCGAGTTTATTGAATGGCGATGAAAATGATGGCTGTCAACGGCCAGAAAGATCTCTAAAACTAGTTAATGGTCACAGCGAGGAAACAAATGAGGATGAACCACAAACTAATGTTTTGCCACCTGAAATCCAAGATGCTATATTGGAAGACATACCACTTGATATACTCAATGTATTTTCAATGCTTGATATATTCCCAGAGGATATGGCGGCTACAGCTGACACCAAAAATGAAGCAATAATTAATTCCGATCTATTACGCGACAATACAACAGACGACGATTTTAGTCAAGGCAGTCAAAAAGGTTTCGACATTGATAGCTGGACCAGTGTAAATCTGCATGCAGAAGATGCAATGTTATCGGCACGTTCAGCGGCCGGTCAAGTTCATCTGAAACGCAACAAATCTGATCTATTTACACAAAATGCTCTTGGGAATCGTGGGCAACGCACTTGGGAAAATGCATTGGATTCAACAATTTGTGCGAAACGTCGAAAGATTTTCCTTACACTCGGTAGACGAAAAGAGGAAATCTCCAACAATTACAATGAAATCAAGAGATTACAGTCTGAAGAAATAAAGAACAAATTCACATGGGAGGCAGCGAAAAAAATTTGCCAGCTAAATAATGACACACAACAGCAGCAGCAGCAACAACAACAACACCAAAAGAATAATACTGCTTTGAAGAATAGCTTTAAAATTCCACAATCGGATGGTATGGATGATGAGGTATGCGATCGTTGTCATTGCACATATCGTTCACGAGACGCGTATCAACGACATTTACCAACATGTGAGACATTTTTATCAACGAATGAAAGTGATTCGGATGCCACGTCAAAATCGCCCGAAATTCAGCAAGCCATTCAATCAAATATGATTTTGACTTCAATGAATGGACAAGATTACTGTAACATACCGATTTTACAACAGAATAATCAAAGCCAACAAATTTTCGGAATAAGCGGTGCTAACATTAATCAGCTTGCCATGCAAAATTCCGTACAAATTCACAACGGTCAATCCCTACCAATCGCTTCAATTCAAAATGGATCATTGCCGGTCCAAATGCAAGGAATGTTCATCAATCCAAACACGACTACCATTCAGCCACAGCAATCGCAAATCTTTGGCCAACAACTTACACTCGGTGCCCTTCAACAGCCCGTATTCAGTCCGATTCAAAATATTGCACAAAACGTCACATCACAAAATATTCAGTATCAACCACATATTATTACATGTTCAGCGGCAAATACATCACAAGTGCTAACGGTGACACCATCGCAACAACAAAATATTACAACCTCAAATTATGCTTCGATAAAAACTATACAAACTCAACCTCAAGTTAATAGAAATGCTATCATCTTGCCACAGGCCGATAAAAATTCACCTACCAAAAAGCAAGCAATTGCCAAACTTCAAATGTCACCAACACGAGCAAAGGGACGAATTGCTACAACTGCTGCACAAAAAACAATTCAAATCAAGAAATCAAATATGATTAAAACTGAAAATAACAAAACCGTAGCACAAATTACCAACACAAGTGTGACAAATATTCGACCAACGAGCACGACACAAATGGATAACAATAATATTATGATTCAGTCAACAAATCCAACGCAATCGCAACCGATTATCATGCAACAAGTGGCACAAGCAAATCAAGGAAATCTACTTCAATATGTAGCCACATCTGATTCTAATAACGGCCTACAATATTTCACGATGCCCACAAATGATGTTAAACCAATGCAAACCACCCAATACTTGACACCGAATCCATTGATTCCCGGAACATTTCAACTGCAAAGTGACAATAGCAATTTACTTCTGGCTAATACAGCATCTGGATTGCAAGTTCTACCAAATGGAACATTACAATTGGCGCAATCCCAGCAACCGCAGGTCATTGGCACGTTAATTCAACCACAAGCAACCACAATTCAATGTGGAATGATGTCAAGTGAGCAAATGGTTTTGGGTGCAACACCATCATTTGAAATGGTCACAAATCCATTACAAGCAGGTTGCATGCTACTAAATAGTCAACCAGTTTATTATGGATTGGAAACTATTGTACAAAATACAGTTATGCAATCGCAACAATTTGTTTCGACTGCAATGCAAGGTGTACTCAGTCAAAATTCCAGCTTCTCGGCCACAACCACGCAAGTATTTCAGGCTAGTAAAATCGAACCCATTATGGATATGCAGCAAAGTTATGTTGTACTGAATAACGATGGCACAATAATGACACCTCAATCACAGCAACCGATTTTAACAACGGCCAATTTATTGCAACAAGCTATTCCACAAATGTCAAATCAAACGTCACAAATTCAACCGGCTGCCAATACGGGCGGATGGCGAATTATTGACGCAAACGATAAGGCAACAGTATTCTCGACGAATCAGAATGCCACAATTTTGCAGCCGCAATCACAAGCAAACGTACAACCATTGCAAACAAACACCACAACAACGGTTAATATTCAACATCCTATGACGGCACAACAACAACCACAACAACAACAACAACAACAACAGCAGCAGCAGGTTTCAACAGTCACACCACAGCCAGTAGTTCAATTACAAAAGGTTCAGCCCCAAAAACAAGTGACCAAACAACGTCAACCAAAACAAACATACAGCGCAAAAACAATGAACAAACCAACATTAAAATCATCACCAATTATTGTAAATGAAATTCAGACAATGTCACAAAATGATGTTAAACCAGTTATCAATATAAATTCAAAGCCAATTGAAACGAAGATCGAAATTGGTAGTCCGAAAACTCCTATGATCACCACATCGTCTGGAAATGATGTGAAAATGTCGTCAAAGGTTGTTCCGCCAATAGTAACACAGCGCAAATTAAACACTACCAAGTCAATTGCCAGTGGGGTTAAGGTTTCAGCGGCAACAGTAAAACCAAAAATTGTCGGAAAAACATTAAAACAATCGAATGCACAAAATATTCAGAAACCATTGATAAGTGTGTCAACATCCAATGCACCATTATCAACAACAACATTACCACTACAGACATTTACAATAACTACGGCAAAGCCTACACTGCAAAATATTAATACCGAACTAGATCTTCAGCTGAAACCAATCGTTATTCCAAAATCTCCATTGCCCATTTTGAGCAATGAACCATTGTCAAATGAAAACAACATGATTATCGATGGAAAAATGAGCATCACAAATACCATTCCTAAGATTAATACTTCGATTGCATCACCAATGCAACAGAGTCCAACAATATCAAGTACTGGAAATCAATTTGGTGAACAATCACCGAACAATTTACAATCGTCACAATTGAGTTCGACTTTGTCGCCAACCAATGATGCACCAAAACTAACTGCAGCCCAATTCACTTCAAACTCAAGCAATCAAACCCACATCACTTTACCATTGTCACATTGCATTCAATTGCCGACAGCTCCATATGCAAACGGTAAGTTCTTTTTAAATTAAATTTTTATATGTTTGTCGTAAAAATAAAATTTCCCAAATAATTTTCAGGCATTCCAACGAACGTTAACGTAGTTAATCCAATCCAACAATACACCCATACAAATACTCGTCCCACGAATCGGGTTTTACCAATGCAAACCATTTTGCCGAAATGCTCACCAACCGAAAGCATCGAAACAAAACCAAACGATATTAAATTGAATCTATTGAAACTCGATTCGAATGATAGGCAAAAGAAAACACCAAAGAATACAGACTTTATGCCAACTTCAAGTGGCAACACCACACCTGAAATAAAGCTTAAGGATGATTCATCTCGAATGGACGATGATATGGAAGTGGATTCAACTGGAACCGGAGCTCTTGAAATCGATGAAGATCAAATTAGCGATTTTAAAATTGAAAAAATGGATGAAGACGATAGCGACAATTCATCGGATATGGATGCATTCAAAGATTCATTCCCGACAGGTAGTTCGGCCGAAGAAGTATTCGATAAGCTTAAAAAAGAGGAACAAGAAAAGCAAACGGAAAATATGGTAAAAGAAAATATTTCGAAAATCATTGAAAAGTTTGAATGTGATGAAAAATCCAGTATTGAAGAGGAAGATGATCTATTTACATTGGCAGAAGTAGATGTTCCTAGCGATGATATAACAGCTGTTGTATCGGATAATACCAATGAAACTGAGACGGGAATGCCAACCTGCGATGAAATCGTTCAAGATCAAAAAGAGAATGTAAATCCGATTTCAATGCCATTGACTCAAAGCTTTCCAACAATAAAAATGCAAAAACCTCCCAAAGAATTGAATGTTTCGAAAATAACCGGTCCACGATTGTTGTACGAAATTCAATCTCAAGATGGATTCACCTATAAATCGACATCAATTACTGAAATTTGGGAGAAATTATTTGAAGCCGTTCAAATTGCACGTAAAGCGCATGGACTATCACCATTGCCAGTAGGTCCGTTGGCTGACATGTGTGGCCATCAAATGATGGGTTTGAAAACGAATGCTTTAAAATACTTATTGGAACAATTGCCCGGCGTTGAACGTTGTTCAAAATATACACCAATTTATCACAAACGGGCCGAGAGCACTGTATCGCAAACATCTTCATCTGGATATTGGTCCGATTGCGAAGAAATCAAAGAGAATGCTAGTGGAACGGCTCGTTGTGAAAAGTATAAAGGACGATCGGAATACGATATGTTCAGTTGGCTTGCGTCACGACATCGCAAACAACCAATTCAAATCTGTGTCCCACAAAGTGGAGTGGAAACGGAAACCATAGTTCGTCGTGGAAGCGGTAGCAGTTTACCAAAGGCAATGCGTTATCGAACACTCAAGGATACGTACAAAGATTCGGTTGGAGTTTATCGCTCACAAATTCATGGTCGCGGTCTGTTTTGTAATAGAGATATTGAAGCAGGTAATTTTTTCGTTGCAATTATAAATACAAACGTTCAAATAGTTTTATTCAGATTTGCAATTTAAATATGTCGATTTTTCTATATATCTTTAGGCGAAATGGTTATTGAGTATGCAGGTGAACTTATACGCTCATCTTTAACCGATAAACGTGAACGATATTATGACAGTCGTGGTATTGGTTGTTACATGTTTAAAATTGACGATAAGTCAGTTGTGGATGCAACGATGCGTGGAAACGCAGCCCGTTTCATAAACCATTCATGCGAGGTAAGTTGTGAAATGATTTAGTGTGCAATTTATTCATCATTTGCAACAATTTCTTATATTCATTCATTATGTTATATCTTTTTTAGCCAAATTGCTATTCGAAAGTCGTTGATATTCTTGGTCACAAGCACATAATCATATTTGCACTGCGTCGCATTGTCCAAGGTGAAGAGTTGACTTATGACTACAAATTTCCATTTGAAGAAACCAAAATTCCGTGCTCTTGTGGATCTCGAAAATGCCGCAAATATTTGAATTAAATGGAAACCAATGAAGTGCATCAAATTATCCACAGGTTTTGATTCGACTGAAAACTCTGTTCTTCATTTTTTTTTTTTTACAAAATCAGTCCTTTCAAAAAGAAGAGAATTGAAATCAGTATCATCAGTATTTTGTAGAAAGTAAAATTTGCAAAGAAATGCAAATTAATCCAAATTCTGGAAGATTTCATTTGAAATTGTATGACACCAGACATTGTACAGATCCCTGTGACATTAACGAAAACAATTCGCAACGATATTTTTCTATCAAATTTATTTATGAAAAATCAGAAGAAAAAAAACAGAATGTTATGTTTCCTTTCGAAATTCTCTGAGGTAGAGCCTCCGAATGGGAGGTTAAGTCATTATATATCTTTGTCCCATGATAATATTAATTTATTTTAGATATTTACAAACTATGTTTTTTTACTTATAGTACGTATATTTTTCTTTGTAATTGGATAAGTTTTTTTTTAAATAACATATTTGGCTTTGATTGAAGTAATATCGATTCGAAGTCATTTTTTTTTTGCATGTACTGTCACGCTTTGATGAAGATATTGGCAAAAAGAAAATTTGATAATTACATTTCATATGTATAATGCGCCTAATGCATCGCTCCAATGCAGTTTATAGAGAGAATTTTTGGATAGTAGCCAATGATAACAATGTAAATATTCACATGTTCCATGTATTTATATGAAGAAAAAAATGTGTATTACAGGTAGCCCAGTTTTTTAGAATTAGTACATTACTGGCTGCTTAAAGAAAACATTTTAGAATATCTGTGTGTTTGTATATCTATGATCAAAAACTAAACTTAAATTATTATTCTTACCAATAAAGTAATAAAGTTCAATTTTATTGCAATCTCTTCAAAACACATTAAATCACGGTCTTTGATTTCCAAGTCCAGATTCCTATGGTGGTAACAAAATCCTTTTTTTTATAAAAACAAAATTGTTTTCCATATTCTTCAAATCGTAAGTGTATATTCTTTTATTTTACTTTCCAGTATTAATTCGCAAATTATAATCTAAATAACTTACATGCCCATAATGGCAAGTAAATCTAATGTAATGATTATTATAAACATTATGAGGAAAATACAAAAAAAAACCTATGAAAGTCACTACTTCGTTTTCAAAATAGTAAATCGTTAAATGTCAACTTTTATGGTTCACTTCCTTTAATTCATTATTAAAGATGTGCCATTTTCTTGGAGGATTGAAAAATTGGGTTTAAAAAAACATAAATGGATGTTTTAGCACTTGTAGTCATTAGGCTGTAGTAGTTTTGAAGCGTTCCAATCGTAATTTTGCTTTTTCAGCATAATCGGTGGCGGCCTGTGTATTAACCGGAGTTGTTGTTGTTGATGCTGCTGTTGCTGTTGCTTTCGTGACCGAAGCAATTGGTGCATTGCCAAATCTTTCTTGTCGCTTTAATAACTTTTCCTTTTGTTCGAGTTTGACCATTATGTTTGATACTGAACCTCCAAAACGTTCACTTCGTTTTTTCAACAATTCAACACTCGTTTCATTTTTTGTGGTTGTAAGACTGCTGGATTCTTTGTTCTCAGTAGTACTTCCTGAATTTGTTGTAATACCAAACCGTTCGGCACGTGCAAGTTTTGCTGCATCCGTTTGAGCACCAGTTGATGCACCCGTTGAAGCACCCGCTGGAGCACCCACTGGAGCACCGAATTTTTTGGCTCTCAATTCCAAACGCTCTTTCATTGTCAATTGCGACAATTTTACAACATTTTCGGTATTACCATTATTCGATTGTGTTTGACTTACATCATCAGCGCTCTTGTCATCACCAATTTTCAAGAGTTTGCTTTCTATGCAAGTTTTTGGTGGTTCGCTATCTGATAGCGACACCGACGGCAGAAGTTTTCGCTTGAGCACCACTTTTTTGGTTTGTGCTGTAGCCGTGCTGCTACTTTGTGGTAGATTTTCTGGTGATTTTGATGATGTACTTCCCTTTGGTGATGACAAAATTGCATCTTCATCTTGAACCGATGCTGAATTTAAATACGATTTGGTCTCTTCGTCCAATTCATCATCCTTTTTATTGAACACAAAGATTGAATTTAAATAATTTTGAAAACTTTTCAATTTTATTCGAAAACTTACATTTAATACATCATCATTGTCGTCCAATAGTTCTTCCGACATTGCAGTATCATCGAAAACATCACCCTCTGAATGAAAAAAAAAACATCGAATTTTGAATCGAAAAATGTGTTGATACAACAAAATCAAAGACAAAACTCACCAATCAATGCCGACTGAAGACGTTCAACCAGTTCGTTTTTGTTTCCAGTAACATTGAGACCACGAACTTTTAACTCTCTCTTAAGATCAGCCACCTAAACAGAATATGAAATAGATTATCGCATTGACGAACATGTTTATGACTTAGAAACTTGCATTTACCTTCATTTTTGATACATCCTGATCGGCCATCGTTTTATTGGTGTTTGATTTGATTTACTCTTTAAAATCGTCTTTTTCTATGTATCGTCAATAATTCAACAATTTGTTGCACAGTTAAATATATTTTATGAGAAAAAAAAATCTTAAAAAACATGCAAACAAAACGAAAATAACACTTTATACGATGTATTCTCTCGAAGAAACTCCGGCTTGCTGTATTTTTACGACTTAAATGTCAAATGTGTAGTGTTGCTGCTGTAAATTGAATATAGTGTTGTCCGATGTATTTACTATGATAAATGTTTGGCAAATAATTCTTTAATTGGAAGCAATTTAAATGAATTGAGAGAAACTTCGTCGACTAGAATTGTTTAAAAAATAATAATTCAAAATTGAATTTATTTTCAATGCGATAAAAGACACTTTATTGGTTGTTGATGTCAGATAACCGCTTGCACGCTGACAGTCAAATCCTCATGTTTATGCATTAAGAAAACAATCCAATCCAATGTGTGTTGTTTTCTGTTGGATATCGAATATTACATAGATTTTCCCATAAATCCATTGAAATGGCAAAGTCAAAAGGTGGTAGAAAGAAGAAAACTGAATTGGTCTTTGATCCAAAGAACCGGCGGTATGATTAATATTATTCGAAATTTATGTTATTCTTGTAATTATGATTTGGTACATGAAACTAACCTCCAAATTCGATATTGTTTACATTTTTCTAGCGAGTTTTTGACCGGATTTCGAAAACGAAAGCAGGAACGACGACAAAAAGCTAGAGAAGATTTAGAGAAGCAAGTGAAGGAAGAACGAAAACGTATAAAACAAGAGGTATAATCATTTTTCAGATATTATAGTTGGTTTTTCTCTAAAGCAATGAAATAATTTTTATCCATATGTAGATTCGTGATGGATTTCAGGAACAATTCAAAAAATCGTTCGAACCCATTGAGCTGGAAGGAGCTCTAAAAGAAGAAGAATATGACACAGAAAATGTCACTGTACAGATCGTAGAGTTATCAACTGATGAAATAGCTAAATCAAATAATTGGATCGGAGCAAATAGGCCAGTTTATGAAGGTGATCCAAGCAGTGAAGGAGAAAGTGATGACGATGAGGAAAATGAGGAAGAAGAAGAAGAAGAAATACCAGGTTTTACAGTCACATCAACAAAGCCTTCGAAGAAATCCACCAAAAGCGAAAAATCACAAGACAACGAAAATGAAAATGGAACAGTTGACGAAACTAAAGCCAAAAAGAAATTCAAGAAAATCCCGGAAGATATTAAATCAAAGCGGGCGCTTGGTCAATTTTTCGCCAAACGTGCAACCAACACATTAAAACATTCGAAAGCTTTTCAAATGAAAAATAGATTGGAAAGCAATAAAAGTAGGAAAAAGGCGCGCGTCGAAAAGGAGAAACGTATCAAATTACAAAATAAACGAGAAAAACACAAAAAGAACTCGACCAAACCTCAAAAGAAAAGTAAAATTGAGAAAAAGGGCAGAAACCACAAAAAATAACTATTATTTCGATTCTATGGTTTTTTACATAAACACATTTCAATAAATGTTTTAAATTAAAAATGAAGTTTTATTTATTTTTACTGACAATTGGTGAATGATGAAGGAATGGATTTTTATTGATTAAATTTATTGAAGGAGTACATTCGCAGTTAAAGATAATTGTATGATGTCGATAAAAAATGTTAAATTATCAAAGGAAATTAAGCAGCTGTTTGTTCAAGTTCGTTGGCTGGAATTTCTGGTTCTTCATCATTGTAAATATTCTCTGCCATTTGCCAAATTTGCATTATGTTGTCTTCTGAAACGGAACAGATAACCCATGGTTCATTTGGATTCCATGAGAAATCTGAAATCTTGGCCGTGTGACCGCCATGGATGAACAACAATTCGGGTGGACCATCTTCAGCATCTTCAGCACATTGTTCTTCACCGATTTTCGATAAATCCCAAACGTGCAAACGACGATCTGTTCCACTTGAAGCCAAAATGGTTTCGTTATGAGGTGACCATTGAACTTGGAAAATTTCATCTTTGTGCGATTCGAATGAATGCAATTTCAATTTCAGATTACGCAGATCCCATAGGGCTACGGTTTTGTCAGCTGAACCGGTGGCCAAAATGAACTCAGAATACGGATTAAAACTCAAGCAATTAACTTCGGCTACATGGGCATCGACAGTATGCGACGGTTTAGATGTATTATTGCATCGCGTGTCCCAAATCATGAGACGTTGATCATCAGCAACCGATCCGAAGAGAGATTCATGTAACAAATGCCATGCTACATCTTCCACGACAGCTGTGTGTCCGGTGAAAATATTTTTTGCATCAACAACACGATTTTCCTTTGGTGTAGCGTTAATATCCCACAAACAAATTGTATGGTCATCGCTCGCTGAGAGCAAATTTCCATTCAAATTTGGATTCCACGATAATCCATAACCTTCTTTTTGATGACCACGCAAACGTAAGTCCGGATGACATTCACCATTTGGATCTGGTTTGCTGGGATGTTTCGTGTAATCGAAAACAAGCACATCGCTTGATGGGGTTTTAGTTGCGATAACACATGGATTTTGCGGCATATATCTGGCTCTGTTTACTTCACCCTCATGATTGATCTTGATGTCAATTTCAATTTTTCCCGAAACTGTCCCGAAAAATCCAAATTCACCTTTGTCATTATCATAATGGCTGGCATCGAATTGAGCGTCTTCGTTTGGCAACTGAACATTGGCAATCAATAAATGATTTTGTTCATCTGATGTGTGTGTACCCAAAATGAGCCGATGAACAGAGTAATCTTTGCCTTCCGGCTTCGTGATATCGGGCAACCACTGAGCGGTGAGAGATGGCCACTCAAGTGCATGCGCCATCACCAAATCATACAAGAATGGAGTGTTTTTCTTCCATATTTTATAGTCTTCATTGATGTTTCGTTCTTCAAGTTGATCTTCATTTGCTATATTCGCATAAAAAACCACAAGACATTGTGAAATTAATATGAATGCTATAGTTTCAAGAAACACCAAAAGAATTTCTTTTCTGAATATATGTTTTTAAAAAATTACCTCCTTCAGCTCGTTCAGTCATCTTTATGTTATTTTTAATTAAAATTCTTGGATTAAAATACGAACGTTATTACTTCAATATATAGTCACACAATAATCGTCTGCGTTGTATTTTACCGTCAAGCGTAATCGTCACAACTAGAATATTGAAAGAAAACTACTTTAAATTTATTCACTAGAACTCAATATTTTACGACAATTACTTGATATATTTTGGGTTTTTTAAGTCAAATTAGTGGTATTTCTCAATTTCAAACGAACATTTACTGTTCGTTTCACACCAAAAAATTAGAAAAATGTTTTACTTACGTTGTATTGATGTTTGAAGCTTGAATATGCTATAAAAACGCGCTTTTAGCATGAAGTTGCCTGCGAATACTAGTGGCGCCATTTGTGTCAGATGTGCGGTATTGAGTGTTTTTTGTTTGAATTTAACCGCAAAAAAGGTTATTCAGAACATTTTTTTAATTCTAAGATATTTCGATAATTTTCAATTTATTTTGATTCGACTGTTTGATATATATTGTAAATTATCTATGGAATTGTTGTCAAAAGTACAATTATCGATCAATATGTAATTTTTGAGAAGAAACAGTGCAGGTTTGATAATATAATATTGTTGAAACTCCTTCAATATTATGCGAACTCTTCAGTTTATTTTGAATGGAAATCAGTCATTCAAGACAATAAAAATTATTTTATTCAAGGATATTGATTTGGATCAATGGTTGAAAATTGTTTAAATTTCTCAATCAATTCTTTGTTCTTAATGATTTTTTGAATGTATGTCAACAGAAATCAGCAATGAAACAAACAATTTATAGAAAACTCAATTCAACTTCATACTTATTTTTCAAAAAGTTTGAAAGAGTTTGTATTAGAAACTTTGTAATATTAATAGGGAGACTATAGTTCTATATTTTTGAGTATCCCACTAATATTACCTCCAACAATATAACAAGTAAAATTGAAGATGGCATAAAGCAATTGGAATTGAGAAGATCTTTTAGTATGTGATGAAACCTACCAACCAAATATAAATTGAAAATTGCGTACCGGTAGTTCTACTCATCATATATTTCCAATAAACAGACAACATGATAATCTCACGCTAGAAATTAACCAATTCGGCATCAATATTAAATCACAGCAACTATGAATACAAATCTATAAAAAATACACCATGCAAAAAATAATCAAGCTATAATATGGTTTCGCTGACTTAAAAAGGCATTGGATAAATAAACGGGAGACATACGTAAACCACTTGAACATATATTATGAAATAGATTTTATTCATCATCTCAAAAATACATGCAATATTTTTCTTACTTACTTCATTGAATTTCAAAATGAAAACAAAAAACATTACAATCAAATCTTTGATGCTTATTTCATTAAAGAAAAAAGAGAACTTCCGTAGTCATAGTAAAATAAGTGATAATAGTTTTATAATATATATATATATAGTAAACGAAACGAAAAGAAGGTTATGCGTTTAAAATTAGGCATTTGTTGATTCCAGTTCGTTAGCTGGAATTTCTGGTTCTTCATCGTTGTAAATATTTTCTGCCATTTGCCAAACTTGCATTATGTTGTCTTCTGAAACGGAACAAATAACCCATGGTTCATTTGGATTCCATGAGAAATCTGAAATCTTGGCCGTGTGACCGCCATGGATGAATAACAATTCGGGTGGACCATCTTCAGCATCCTCTGGACTTTGTTCTTCACCGATTTTCGATAAATCCCAAACGTGCAAACGACGATCTGTTCCACTTGAAGCCAAAATGGTTTCGTTATGAGGTGACCATTGAACTTGGAAAATTTCATCTTTGTGCGATTCAAATGAATGCAATTTCAATTTCAGATTACGCAGATCCCATAGGGCTACGGTTTTGTCAGCTGAACCGGTGGCCAAAATGAACTCAGAATACGGATTAAAACTCAAGCAATTAACTTCAGCTACATGGGCATCGACAGTATGCGACGGTTTAGATGTATTATTGCATCGCGTGTCCCAAATCATGAGACGTTGATCATCAGCAACCGATCCGAAGAGAGATTCATGTAACAAATGCCATGCTACATCTTCCACGACAGCTGTGTGACCGGTGAAAATATTTTTAGCATCAATAACACGGTGCTCTTTCGGCGTTGCATTAATATCCCACAAGCAAATTGTGTGATCATCGCTCGCAGATAGTAAGTAACCATTCAAATTTGGATTCCACGATAATCCATAACCTTCTTTTTGATGACCACGCAAACGTAAGTCCGGATGACATTCACCATTTGGTTCTGGTTTGCTAGGATGTTTCGTGTAGTCGAAAACAAGCACATCGCTTGATGGGGTTTTAGTTGCGATAACACACGGATTTTGCGGCATATATCTGGCTCTATTTACTTCACCCTCATGATTGATCTTAATTTCGATCTCGATTTTCCCGGAAACCGATCCAAAACCACCAAATTCACCTTTATCATTATCGTAATGACTTGCATCAAATTGAGCATCTTCATTTGGTAACTGAACACTGGCAATCAACAAATGATTTTGTTCATCTGATGTGTGTGTACCCAAAATGAGCCGATGTACAGAATAATCTTTTCCTTCTGGTTTTGTAACGTCCGGTAACCACTGAGCGGTGAGAGATGGCCACTCAAGTGCATGTGTCATCACCAAATCATACAAGAATGGAGTATTTTTCTTCCATATTTTGTACTCTTCATTTATGACGCGTTCTTCAACTCCATCGTCAAATGCTACACAAATTTTAAATACAATGTAAGTTCGAATGTTATTAATAATTTTATGAAATTTAAAATCATAAATTTATAAAAAATAAAATAAAAATATATCTCTAATGTTTTCAAAAACAATATTTACCTCCATCAGCACGATCCGTCATTGTTGGTGTTTTTTAGAATAACAAATCAAGTTAAAAAAAAACCGTATATTTGTGTTGGTATAACCTTAATGTGATTGTCTATGTGTGTTTTATTCTACCGCCAAGCGCCAAATACCACTGCACATTGATAAAAAATTATTGAAAAATCTATTTATTATGTTTTCAACACATTTTATGTATGTTTTTTTACTGATTTATAATTTTTATAAACAAAAAATTGTGGTTCATGGATTTTTAATGGTATACTTTTGTGTTTTTGGATTGAAAAGCCGCAAAATAAAATACTTACCTACTACGATGGTTGCAGCTTGAAGACGCTATAAAAAAAATGCGGTTAAAATATGAAGTTGTCAGAAGGTGCATTTGAAAACAATGGAAATATGCATTAGCGCTATTTTTTTCGAAAGAATGAATTCGAAGCCAACTTCATGTATGATTTTCAATTTATTCACAAGAAAATGGAATTTATTTGAACAAAATGTTCCAAAAGACGTTTGAAAATAGTTTTTTAATTAATATAAATATATTCAGACATTTACAAAAAAAGTTATTAGTTTTTCAAAAGATGAAAAACAAAGTTTTTTGTTTCAGAAGATTCGAGATAAATGGGCGATGTGACAAATGTCAAAAATATTTGCATCTCTTTCTGGTACTTGTCTCAACAGTCCGCCTTCCATCAAGTTTTCATTGGAATAACGTTCAGTGGACGAAAACTTAACCTATAAATCAGTATTTTTGACGGCTAGAAGCACGCGACTCATTGTCTTTTCTATTCGATTATATTTCTCTGCATACGGTTTTTTTTACAAAATGTTCGGTGGACAACAGCCTATATTGGTTTTAAGTAAGTAAATTTGGAAAATTTTCATAAAAACTTTTCATAAAAATGAATGTTCATTATGTTTTAGGCCAAAATACAAAAAGAGAATCTGGTCGAAAAGTGCAGCTGGAGAACATAAATGCCGGAAAGGTGAGTCACAATCCAATTTTGAAATGTTCATTACACAAAAAATATATACTGTAAATTAAATTTAATGGATTTTCCTTCGAACAATAGTGATGTTTTGGTATTTTGTGCTAAAATTATTGAAAATAAATTAAACTCTTTCGTCATTTTGATAGGCAATTGCTGATGTAATTCGAACATGCTTGGGACCACAAGCTATGTTGAAAATGTTGATGGATCCAATGGGTGGCATTGTAATGACCAATGATGGTAATGCTATCTTGCGTGAAATCACAGTTCAACATCCAGCTGCAAAGAGTATGATTGAAATTGCCCGAACACAAGATGAAGAAGTGGGCGATGGTACCACATCGGTTATCGTTTTGGCTGGTGAAATTTTAACCGTGGCTGAGCCATTCTTAACTCAACAAATCCATCCAACGGTAATTATTCGCCAGTTCCGAGAAGCTCTTGAGTACATCATTGAATTACTTGATGGATCCAAATTCAATAGCCTCAGTGTTCCGGTTGAACGTACTGACAAAGAAACAATGCAAAAAGTCGTATGTATTTTTTTTTATATTTGGAAATGTATTTTTTATATGGATGACTAAATATGTTTTATTTTTAGATAAAATCGTGTGTTGGAACGAAATTCATCGGTCGTTGGGCAGATTTGGCTGTTCAAATTGCATTGGATGCAGTTGAAACTGTTGCTATTAGCGATAATGGTCGCACAGAAGTCGATATCAAGCGATACGCTAAAGTGGAAAAGATTCCAGGTGGTTCAATCGATGATTCGTGTGTATTGAAGGGTGTTATGGTCAACAAAGATGTAACACACCCAAAGATGCGTCGTGAAATCAAAAATCCGCGAATCGTTTTGCTTGATTGCCCATTGGAATACAAGAAGGGCGAAAGCCAAACAAGCGTTGAAATTGTTGGTGATACTGATTTCACAAGAATGCTTCAAATTGAAGAGGAGCATGTACAACGTGTTTGCGCGGACATTATTGCTGTTAAACCAGATTTGGTGTTCACAGAAAAAGGCGTTTCTGATTTAGCACAACATTATTTGGTAAAGGCTGGAATTACAGCCATTCGACGTGTACGAAAGACCGATAATTTGCGTATCGCTCGTGCCTGTGGAGCTACTATTGTAAATCGTACGGAAGAATTGACCGAAAATGATGTTGGCACTGGTGCTGGACTATTTGAAGTGAAGAAAATAGGCGATGAATATTTCACCTTCATTACCGAATGCAAAGATCCAAAAGCGTGTACGATTTTATTGCGTGGTGCCTCAAAAGATGTACTCAATGAAACTGAACGTAACTTGCAAGATGCTTTGCATGTAGCACGTAATTTAGTCATTGAACCACGCATTGTACCAGGTGGTGGTGCCATTGAAATGGCTCTGTCATTGGCATTGATTCGTAAAAACAATCAATTCCGTGCAATTGCACAAGCTTTGGAAATTATTCCGCGTACATTGGCACAAAATTGTGGAGCAAACACCATTCGTACATTGACAGCATTGAGAGCTAAACATGCATCACAGCAATCTGGATTGTGCAGTTGGGGTATTGATGGGGAAAGTGGACAATTGGTTGACATGACTGAACGCGGTATCTGGGAACCATTGTCTGTTAAATTACAAGTTTATAAAACAGCAATTGAAACAGCTATTCTTTTATTACGTATCGACGATATTGTGTCCGGTTCCAAGAAGAAGAATAGCGACGGTGGTATTCCAACACCAAGCCAAGCAGCAGCAGGCGCTGAATAAATTCATAAATTGAACCTCAAATACTAATAACAATTATATTTTTTCCGCTTATTTTCACAAAAAATTCACACTTTTCAGCATTTAAAAAAAAACTTAAACACTAATGCATTTTGTTTCATCCATTGCCGAAACTCTTCTTCAATGTATTATTCCTTCATTAGTTTGATGAGAAAAAAAAACACGTTTTTGTAACTGAACAAATAAAAATAATAAACACTTCATGAGAGTTACAATTAAAATCGCTTTTGTATTATCCTTTATTACATATTCATTTTGGAATTTAAAAAAATAAATATTTGAAAAATAAAATCTTCACTGTTTGTAGCGCCTCTATCGGTAATTATTAGAAATTATTTGTAACACCATTGTTGCTGTCAGGCCAAATGTGATTCTTTTCAATACGCTGCTCCACGTGAGAGCGTCTCATAAAAATAACAAACATTTTTATTAACAAAATTAAATAAATTAAACAGTTAGAATGCGTATTGAGGTGTGTTATTTCTGTTCCAGCAAGATCTACCCTGGACATGGAATTCAATTTGTGCGAAACGACAGCAAGGTAAACGAAAAAATTCAAACAACATGATTGTTAATATCGAATTGTTTACAGCAAAGTAGAAAAACTATGAATATAATTTTAGATTGTAAGTTATCATGTACTTTGAATATTTTGGAAACACTTTTTTAATATCTTTTGAATTTTATTCATCATTGAATTGAAGTATAAATATATGCTAATATAATAAAATCGTAGATTTAAAAGACGTATATTTAAAATATAACCTGAAAAATAAATGTCAAAGAGTGTATACTAATTAAATTTAAATTTTCTTTGCAGATTTTCAAATTTTGTCGATCAAAGTGTCACAAAGCGTTCAAAAAGCGCAAGAACCCACGTAAGGCTAAATGGACCAAGGCTTATCGTAAAACCGCTGGCAAAGAACTTACGGTCGATCCAAGCTTTGAATTTGAAAAACGTCGCAATGTTCCAATCAAATACAGAAGAGAATTGTGGGAAAAAACGGTTGACGCCATTCAACGTGTCACCGAAATTAAAAACAAACGCACCGGTTTGTATGTCATGCAGAGATTACGCAAGGGCCGTGAAAAGGAAATCGAAATGGACGTTAAAGATGTACAGAAGAATATGTCATTGATTCGATCGCCAGCTGCCGGTTTGAAAGAACGTCAAGCAAAGGAAGCCGCACAACAAGCAGCAATGATGGATGAAGGTGATGACGACGATGACGAAAATATTACATACGTTGACGCCAAACAACTCGAAAAACAATTGGCTCAAAATTCAGCCATGGATTCAGACGAAGAAATGGTGGCGGAAGAGAACTAAACATACTTTTTTAACTTTAAGTTTCGTTTATACATGGCGAAAATTCAACTGTTTACTTTAAAATATATTTCCATCTCATTTTATGTCAATAAAAATGCAATGTTAATAGAAAAAAGTCAAACAATTTGAAAACCAGACATTTAAAATTGTGTAAAAACAAGGAAAGCATTTGTGCACACTTGTGTTCAAGTTGAAAAGTTTATTATTTATACAGCTTGGAAAAGATTATCAAAAATTAAAAAAATTCTATCGACGCCCTCTTGATCTAGATCTTTGACGCTTGCTTTTCTTTGTTTTCTTCTTATAATTGTGACTATCACCATCATCGGAACTATAGTAAGCTTTCGAAGTCTTTTTCTTGTGCTTCTTTTTCGATTTTTTGTGATGCGATCGTTTGTTGTGCCGGGAATCGTCGGAGCTATCGCTATCTGATGATGAACATCTCTTGTTGGGTGATCTTGATTTTTCGTGATGTCGCCGATATTTGTCGTCCGTTGATCGGTTTCTAAATCGATCTGTTGAGCGTTCTCTTCGAGTACTAGATGACGGTTTATTACTATATTTTTCTGTCGACCGACTGCGACGGCTGTCATATGGACTTTTATATGAATTATGATCAATCTCTTTGGATTTGTAACGATCATGAGATGGACTTCGTTGGCTTTTTTCTCGACTTCGATCATTGCTACGCTCTCTACTGCGGTGTCGTGAATTGCTTTCATCATTTCTGTCACTTTTCATTTTGCTCTCGTGTGGACTTGGTTCACGTCTGGATCTCGAAGAACTTTCATCCCGTTCGCGCGAAATGGACCTTGATTCGCCTCCTTCGTGCTTAACTTCTTTCTTTACCTCCTGTTTTAACTCTTTTTCATCATTTTTTCTTATGTATTCTTCATATTTGGCGGAGTCTTTGTAGAAGAAGAGAAATGGTGAAATGTTGATTTGAAATTAAAAAATGTTTTTTTTTTTAGATAATAGCAAAGATTGGAAGATTTTTAATTGTTTAACTTACTTATAACTTTTCCGTACTGTAGAAATTCTTGTTTTGAAACTGGTTGCACCATGAATTCGTTAAGGGCTTCCCTGGCGCCGCCAACCGCAAGTCTAACAATAACACGACACGCTTGATCATCTAATCCCTCAATTTGACCATATAAGTATTTGTTTTTTCCAGCCAAAATGCGAACGTATGCATTTTTCTTGATTTCCAGTTTTTCATTCTGGGCTGGCGCCACTAGTGGTTTAACTTTTTTAACAATTTTGTCAGCCCCCAAACCCATGCCCCTTGGTCGTAGCTCTGGATCCTTGTTTTTCTTCGAAATAATCTCCTCATCTTTTAATCCCATACCTCTCAACATGGCCATTCCAAATTTATCTATTGGAATGCTAGCGTAATCATCCATGGAGGACTGTTTAGCTCCATCGAGTGGTAGCTTATCAGCTGCCATTGGTAACGTCAACTTATCTCCATATATGTCAACATTTTCTTCGATATTTTTTGCTTCATTCAATAATTCCGTTACAACTCGTTGTTCAATGGTCATCGGAGCATTTTGTTGCGTCACTTCGGTACTTTTGGCATCCACTTTATTTGCGCTATTTGCATCATCATTTTGTTCTTCTTCGTTCAAAATGGTTTTAAGGTTTCTCAATGAAGCCAGAGCAGAAGATGTTTTTTGGCTATTCAGCAGCGGAATTACGAGTGGTTTCTCGTCTTCATTTTTCTTTTCATTTACCAATTTAATGGTTTGACCCTCTAAACACTGAATTAACTCAATGTCATTTTTCTTGTCTTTGTCATCACCAATTTTATTGGGCAACAGCACCGGTTGTTTTTTAACTTGTTTGAAACCAAATGAAATCTTCTTTTCCGACATTTTGAATACTTTAGTTTTGTTAATTATATGCACAACATTTGATGAAATAGAAATGTTACAATTAATTTATACAATAATAAAAGATTTTGTCGTGTGTCTCATGTAAATGTTTTGAAAACGTTTTAAAGCAAGCCGTTTTCAACGCTGTGACAGTGACAGTTGGTGAACTCCTCAAACCACTTAAATGTCAAACATGAATATTAAATAACCTCAAATAAACAAACAAAATTTTAGTGACATTCATTTACAGTACGTAGTGTTTATTTATTGAAATAAGTCGAATTTATCTATTTAGAATTGAGCTTTAAATGAAGTCACCTATGAAATTGGCTTCTTTATTTTCATAGCAGTTGTAAAGTGAAATTGCATTATGAGTGGTGTAAATGTTCCCAATCGTAATGAACATATAGTTCCGCGAAAGATTAAGCCACAGAATATTGTTTGTCATTTAATGAGACGCGAACATGGCATTGGTCAACGGCCTGGCACACATCAACATACGATTCGCGATTTTTACAAATGTATCCATCCAAATTTAACGGTGATAAATGTTGAAAAGCCCGCAGGGTTCTTGCGCAAATTTAGTCCAAATGGTCAATTTTTGATCGGATTCACTTTAGATCAGACGGCATTAGAAGTATATCAGTTTAATGGAGTCGCTGCTGCTGCAAAACTGGTCAATGCATGGAAAACTGAAATCGTTCCAAACGCAAACACAGATTTACCGTACACAATACGAAGTCAAATATTCGATAAATTATTCAAGGTATGCTTGTAATTGCTCGTTTGGGTGAAATAAATCATAGCTACTTTGGATGATACATTTATTTTAGTTAAAATGGACAGTGAATGTGGCAACTGCTGGCAAACAATTAAACAGAGAATGCAGTCTTTTCACAAATGACAGTAGATATGTTATCGTTGGTGCTGCATCATACATCGTAGATGAACAAAGGCCTCCTTTTTACGATTTGTACACAACAAACGATGGGATAACACCAACGCTTAGGTAAATTTTGTTTAAACCAACGTTTTCGATATGGAAAAAATAGATACTGAAAAGAAATTATTTTATTTTTCAGGTCGCCACTCGAAGATTACTCAATTTTTTGTCTTGATTTGCACATGGGACGCGTGACAGGCAGCATTAACTATAAATGTGATAAAATATTTCTTTCGCACAATCAGGGCATTTATTTGTACAATCATTTGTTCGCTGTTCTATCGGTGCAGCATCAAACAATATACCTGTATGAAGTTATTGACGGCGTTTTCTATAATATTTTAAAAATTGGTCGCTTTTGCAGCGAACAAGATGTGTATTTGTATAATTTAGTGAATGAAACACAAATTCCTGTGCGTGAGGCCACTATAGGGAGTCTGAAACATCGGTTTTTAGTTCATTTATATAGAACCGCCAAAGCTGAATCCGAACGAATAAATAATCAATATCCTCTGCGTAAATTTTATCAATTTTTCGATCAATATCGGCAACTGCGTATTTGGAAGATGCAATTACTTGATGAAAATTTACTCTTAATCAAATATGCCAGCGAAGCAGTTGTCACACTCAAAGCGCACGAACCAAATAGCCAACCCGCCTTTTTTGTCTTTTATAGCATTCGTGATAGTGAAGTTTTGGCCGTTTACGATAATCAATCGGATGATTTATTGTAAGCTTCATTGCACAACGAATTCTTTTGACTAGAAATTTATCGTAACTAATAATAATTTTGTTATTTAGATATTTGTTCGAGAATTTCAGTGATAGTTTTCGCAATACTTGGATGCATCATCCAATGCAGTTTTCATGTTCTCCCAACAATAATCTATATGCCAAATTGCAACAAAATCGCTTCAAACAGACGATTGTTAGTGCCCGTGGTGGTGGTGTTGTTGAAGCAACTAAAAGACTTCTCTCTCAATTACCGATTAGTGCTCAAAGCTATAGCAATTCTCCGTACTTAGATTTAAGTTTGTTCAGCTATGATGATAAATGGGTTTCGATGTTGGAGCGACCAAAAGGTAAAAATTCATAAAAAAATCTTTTATTTTTCTCTCACGAATTTCACGTTTCACTTTTGATTTTTCAGCATGTGGCGAATATCCAATTCGATTTTTTGGACGTGACTCGGGTCTATTGAAATTTCGTATCTATCCCGGACTACAAGATCGTCGCTCTCAACCTGTACGACGTTTGGTTGCCTTTACATTTCATCCATTTGAACCGTTTGCGATAAGTGTTCAGCGCATTGACAATGACTATGTCTGTAACTTTCACCTACGTAATTCTGAAACGGAAATTCTTAAGTAGCAATTGCTGTGATGTTAAATGAAGAGCTCAACTTTTAAAATGAAAAAATATTGAAATTGGTTTTGTAATTTCATTTCGTATCATCGAAACAACTGTCAACACTTTGAAAATATGTATCTTTCGATGTCAATTTATATTTAAACATGTTCTTTTTTTATTTACAGACATTGAATAAAGTACGTTTATAAATAAAAAGAAATCAATAGAATTTGGAATCATAGTTAAAACTTGGATGGAAATTTCGTTCAAAATACAAAATAGTAAATGAATATGAAGATGACAAGCAAAGTGACCGCCATTCCAATATAGAGCACGTATTTATCTTCAGACAAACGTTTCTCAATCAATCGCATAGTGGTGTTTGAAAGGCCTAATGTGTTTCCAATATCTAAAATGCGTTTGTGTGCTCCCTTTAACTTCTCGCGTTGCGTTCTAAGATTTTCGAGTGCATTATGGCCAGTATTTAACATATCATCCACACCTTGATGCGCATTCATCATAGAATTATGATGTTGTAATGAATAATCAATATCAATTGAAGTCTCTGAGTTTGCGGTAAATCTACGGCTGAGCAATTGTTCTCTTTCACTACGTTCCAATTCACGGCGCTCCTTTTTTTGCTGCCACGATTGCAAACCGGCCTATTTTTTTTAATAAAATTTGCATGTAAATAAATAATCACTGATTGTTGTTTTATCTTTGGAAAGTAAAAAATTACATGAGTTTAAATAGTTACCTGTAAGTGTCGAATATCATATCTTAACTGGTCGACCCGCATTTTCTCATTCGGTCTTCGCACTGCTGGCACCTTGAATACTAGCACATCCAAACGATCACAGTTTCTATAAAGAAATTATTTTGCAAACCGATGTAAAGAGTTTTTTCATTAATTAGTGAAATTGAAGCTAATTGAATTATGAATTATGTTTTGTCAATATAAAGACTAACTTACGCATTAACCATTGCAATATTTCGTGAAATATTACTTTCAACTTCTGACGTGTCTGTTCGGGCATTGTTCAATTGTTCAAAATAGCCTTGTGTATCCTGAATCAGGCGATTTGTTTCGAAATAGAGGGATTCCATTGCTTAATTTAACTAAACAAATAATTGAGAATCACGTTAGTGTTCGTGAAAATATATTAAAAAGTGATCACCTATGAGACTGTATACTGTTTCGGAATCAGAAAGCAATACAGTTTTAAAATAACACTTGATGACAAATGAGTGAAACGTCATACATCGATTCATCGCAAACAATATCGCTTACACATTTCCGTCATTCAATTGAAGATGGCGCCATTTTGAGATTGTTATAAAACAGTTACAACTTGATAAGATATAAATAAACAAAGTTTAAAAACGACTGGTTTTATTTTTATTAAATGATATAAGTGAAATATAGAATCATTCATAATCTTGTAGTAAAATGATTATCTTGAAATGAATTCAGAATGCAATTGGTCATTTTGAATCAATTATTATTAATCAATTAAAGAATTATGTACATAATTGCTTATAAATTAGTGGTTTAATTTATGATTAAATTTCAAAAAAATTTGGGAAATCGATTGCTAGAAAGGTCTTGATTATGTCCATCCACAATGTTTTGTATTCCTCCAACTGGTTTTCCTGGTTTCCATTGATCTATCTGTATGTAATTTTAAGTTTAATTTAATTATAACAAAACAGTATTAATTGTCTTTTCTTACTCCATTTGGATTGATGTTGTCACCGTTGTTTTCATGTACGGGTTTTACATTGGCGTCAAATAGTGGAGATGCAACCATTGCATTTGAATTCGTCCCAAAAATTCCACCAAATAAATTTGGAAAATGTGTTAAATAGTTGTTGTGACCCGGTTGATGATTACCACAATAATAGCCTCCGTAGCCATTATAGGATGGTTTGTTCACTACATTTTGTTGGTATACATTCACTGGCACTGGATAATTTGATTGAAATGCTATCCTTCGGAAATGTGGTGATCTTTTATCGCGCCTTGGGAAAAACTGCTGCGGAATGCATGGTTCGTATTCATTGGGTTTTGGAGTAGTCGGCCTGAGGGCGATAAATTCATCAATTGATCCTTGACGTTGTGAATTTTGTGGTATATTTGAATTTTTCCATATATTAAATATCGATCGTCCAAAGTCTTGTGTATTTGCTTCAAATATGCTTAATGTTAATATCACAGTATAGTAAAGCACGTAACACTGCATGATGTTGATAAAAAATAACTGTAACGATATGACACGATTTTTATTTACACTTTGGAATTTATCAAAACTAAAGCATACTTTCGCGCTGGAGATACGAATTGATTAAATAACACTTTCAGATCTAAACGATTATTTTATAATCAATTTTGTTCAATTCCCACCAAGTATGAAGAATACGACAAGTGCATAATAGTAGTAATAACTTTTTTAAATAATTTTCTTCATAGTTTGATATTGTGCGTAGAACTGTCGTTTCTGACACACTTTTGCCTACCCACATATTTTACCAAAAGCCAACAGTGGTAATTAATTTTATCATTTTTGGATTGTGATGATCATTTGTTCATTTTTCACGGTGACAACCACTACATGTACATTACTTTTATTTCTATATTTTAATACGATAAAGACAAATTGTCACATTTTCAAGTGTGTGTATGTTATGTACTAGAAAGAAAAGAAAATTTTTCTTTTATTTAGAATACCGAGAACCGAATACCGAGTGCATCTATTTGATAATTTTGTCAAAAGATTTTTGTGTCTGCATTGTTCTGAGGTTTGGCAGTATTCAATATTCAGTTAATGTTTAGCTTTAAACACAAATAAATTCCATTTATAGATATTGACTTTTACGCTCTTTTGGGCATTACCCAATTATGATGGTTTTATTTACTTTTGGTATTTATAGTGCTTCTTATTTATCAAGGTTTTGAACATCACGTATTCACTTAAATCTGCAAAAAAAATAAAAGAGTTCAACAAATACGAGTAAAACTTTCGATTTGTATAATAAAAATCAATTTATAATTTCTGATTATGTCTGAATATAAGATTATAAGAATAAAAGAAATAACAAATTAAAATAATTGTTTTGCGTTTCTCAATGTTTATACGATCCAAGGATAATTCAATCCAAAGTATTTTTAATAAATAAAAAATTTACCATTTAAAGATTTGAATGAAGCCAATGTCAAATGCCAAATTGTGTACAACCCTGTGCATAACATACGGAAGAGAAAAGTCATCGAGTGAGTACATAAACAATAGATGAACAAATGTAAAAGAGTGACTTGCAACTTTTAATATTTTCAAGCATCGCAATTAATATTTCGCTGATTTTTTGTCATAATTTGCAGCAAAATCAAAGTTAAAAATGCCTCTCGAGCATAAACGCGAGCGAAAAGGTTCAATGGTAAGTAAAAAGTATTGAAGAAAATGTCAAAATTTATGTTTGAGCACCATAATGCAAGTTGAACACTACAGCAAAATATCAATCATATTAATGAAATAAAATATTTTTATCGAAAATTTCAGGCCCCATTGTCGCCTTGTTCAGTGAATATAGATGATGATGAGTTGGTATCGATTTCAGTGCGTGATTTGAATCGAACGCTCAAGCAACGTGGTTTAAATCGTTCGGAAATTGTTCGTATGAAACAAAGACGTCGTACTTTGAAGAACCGTGGCTATGCAGCCAGTTGCCGTGTGAAACGGATCGAACAAAAAGATGTTTTGGAAACAGAAAAATCATGCGTAAGTCATTGCGAAGAATACTTTGGTTCTATTTATGTTAAAACATGTGTAAAATATTCATACTAAATGTTTCCAATCTTCTGTGATCACATCCAGGAATGGCAAAATATGGAGAGTATGCAGAACAGAAATCAGGAATTGCGTGAAGATAGTGTCAGATGGCGCATGAAATATGAAGCACTTAAAAAGTTTGCGATTGAGAACAAAATTTCCATTCCAGACGAATTACAAAATCCATAAGTTTTCCATGGATTCTATTTTACATATACTATAAACTTTATTTCACAAATAATCTAAGCATAAATATTGTGTGACTAGAGATAGTATACATATTTTGAAAGCTTACCGTATTGTATTTTGAAGATTTAAAGTGAAATTTTAAGATTTTAAATAAAATTTCAGAAAAAATATTCATACATTTACTTTGTTATTATTATTATTATTATTTAAACTCTCTATATAATTCCTGGTGGCGCCTCTACCAGTAATTTTTAGAAATCACGTTTGACACTTTAGATACTGTCAGGCGAAATGTGTTTCTTCATAATACGCAGCTCCACGTGAGAGCATCGTGTAAACAATAACATTTCTTTATTGCATCATAAATTAAACGATTTAAATAGTTAAAATGCGTATTGAAGTGTGTTATTTTTGTTCCAGCAAGATCTACCCTGGGCATGGCATTCAATTTGTGCGAAACGACAGCAAGGTAAACGAAAAAAATACAGTTTTTGTTTGTTATTTTGAATGGTGTATTATATGGTTCACTACAGAGACATCATCAATCCATAAGCCAAAATAGCAATTGAATATTTTTAAATCTATTAAAATCGCACTAAAATCAAATGACTAAATAAGTTTTTTTCACTTTATAGATTTTCAAATTTTGTCGATCGAAATGCCACAAAGCGTTCAAAAAGCGCAAGAATCCACGTAAGGCCAAATGGACCAAGGCTTATCGTAAAACCGCTGGCAAAGAACTCACGGTCGATCCAAGCTTTGAATTTGAAAAACGTCGCAATGTTCCAATCAAATACAGAAGAGAATTGTGGGAAAAAACGGTTGACGCCATTCAACGTGTCACCGAAATTAAAAACAAACGCACCGGTTTGTATGTCATGCAGAGATTACGCAAGGGCCGTGAAAAGGAAATCGAAATGGACGTTAAAGATGTACAGAAGAATATGTCATTGATTCGATCTCCAGCTGCCGGTTTGAAAGAACGTCAAGCAAAGGAAGCCGCACAACAAGCAGCAATGATGGATGAAGGTGATGACGACGATGACGAAAATATTACATACGTTGACGCCAAACAACTCGAAAAGCAATTGGCTCAAAATGCAGCCATGGATTCAGACGAAGAAATGTTGGCGGAAGAGAACTAAATATACTTTCTTTTAGTTTTAAGTTTCTTGGTGCGATTAAGAGATAGAAGGCAAAATTAAAATGTTTCTAAATATGTTTCCATTTTATTTTATTTTACATCAATAAAAATGTAATGTTAAAAATGTAAATAAACATAATACACTGTAATAGATAGTACATATCGATTATGGATTAAACTCTCAAACGTTAATTTGATTTGCTGACTGTATTCAATGCAAAAGCATGTTAGCTGAAACATTTTCTATTTTAGTTGAAATCGAACCACTCATTCGAAGAAACTATGGCTATCCGAACATATGTCATTGAGTTTTTCAAACAATTACCAAATCATGTATTTAAGTGGACATTTTTATTGAAATTAGTTATTTTCTGTCCGTTGATCTGTATTACGCTGTTGTTTACACTTTGGATTTATTTATCCACGGAAACTATTTCGAATTTGATCGGCTTTGAAGAGGCAATAAAATACACATATGATTATATTATAGGTAAGTATTACCGTAGCCAAATTTTCTTCATAAATGAATACTTGGCGAATAGACAATTAAAATAAATTGAGAGAATGGATTATATTTTTATTTTAGTTGGTGGTGGTACGTCAGGATGCATTTTGGCATCTAAACTGACAGAAAATCCAAAAATTAGTGTATTACTTATTGAAGCGGGAAGCACATTCAGGTTACTTATTATATGCTTGCATCGATTAAGTGAACATTTAACTATTTCAAAATATATTTCCTCTCATAGTCCATTGTCGATGATTCCCTTTCTTACATCACAGGTAAATTTTTAAACGACGTGAAATTTACACAAAATGGTAAAAAAAATAATGGTTAATTTTTTAACATCACAGCAACAACGAACTCAAAATGATTGGAAATTAACAACCAGTAAGTAAGCTGAAAATTTCTAATGAACGCCTAACCGTGTTAATTCATAATTGCCCTACTTTTACAAGTAAGCCAAAAACATTCTTCATTTGGATTTTGGGATCAGGTTAGAAATATCATAATGATAAAGAACTGTTTATATTTATCATTAATGTTTTAATTGTTTTATTAGATTCAGTTTTTACCTCGGGGAAAAGGTTTTTTTTATATATTCGAAGATTAAATTTCATTCCTTCATTTGACATAAATTGATTTGATAACATAATTTTTTTGAAGGTTTGGGTGGTTCGAGTCAATTAAATTATTTGATTCATTTCGATGGTAATAAAAAAGATTTGGAACGATGGAAAGAATATGGTATTGATTGGTGGGATCTCAATGACGAAGAAGACTTGGAACATGATAAATATACAGGCAATGAATGCAGTGTGGACACATGTTCAATTAATGAACAAATTGATTCAAAAGGGACTCACTCCAATTTGTTTAAAACGAATTTACCTGTGTCAGCCATAAAATACGATTATTCGTTACTATCGACAAAGTTCATGGACGGTGCAAATGAACTACACCGCAAAAATGTCTCCAATCTTGAATATTATCTTGCAAAGTACAATACACACAAAGGATTGCGTCACTCAGTTTATCATACGTATTTGAAGCCTGTGTTTAATCGACCAAATTTGAGAATTGTATTGAACACAAGAGTTCATAAAGTGTTATTCAATAAGAAAACAGCGGTTGGAGTTTTAGCAGCAGAAGACTATCTTACACGTACACCACAAAAAATTTATGCAGCCAGAGGGGTGCTACTTGCATCTGGTGCTTTTCACACGCCGCAAATCCTAAAATTATCAGGTGTCGGTCCAACGAAAGAATTGAAAAAGTTTGAAATCAATGTTGTTCATAATTCACCGATGATTGGTCGAAATCTTTATGATCACATGAGCGTGCCAATTTATGTGTCTGTCGATGCCGGTGAAAAAATGACAGTCACTCGAGAAACAGTACTGAATGTATGGGAAATATTGAATTACTTAGTACGAGGAAGCGGTGTATTTAGTAATTTTGGAGTGATTGGATACGTAAATGACCTAGAGAATAATCATGGAACGGGCATTTTTGGTGTGGGCACTATCGATGAGAAGGTTTTGGGAAAGATCGTAAGCTACGATAGGGAGGTAAATTTAAAATTTAATGAAATAAATCAGAATAAGTTTATAGATTCAGTTTCACTGATTAAGGCATTTCGAGCAAATTTTCCATTCCACAACGATAGTATACAAGAGGGTTTTGTATTGCTAAATACTTGTCATCAACCGTTGAGCCGAGGAACAGTTCGTCTTTCAGGCAATCGCATACAAGATGCTCCGGAAATCGATCCAAACTACTTAGAAGTTCAAACTGATGTGGAATGTTTGATAAGGGCAATTCGACTCTCAATGGATTTAATGTCCACTAAAGCTTTTAAGGCGGTAAATACAAAAATTCATTGGCCACAATTTAGTCAATGCAAGAATTTGATATCTCTTAACGAAGAGGATATTAGTATCACAGACCGATATTTGGAATGCATAATCAGAGTGGGTGGCATAACAGCCCATCATCCAGGTATGTGTCGATGTGTCGATGTATAATTCAAATGTCTATACGTGGATAATATACTATAGGTGGATCGTGTGCAATTGGCAAAGCGCCAAATAGTGCACTAGATAGCCGAATGCAAGTGCGAGGTGTTCGAAAACTACGTGTCATTGATGCAAGTGTGATTCCGAGTGAGCTACATTTTAAATCGAACTTCTCCATTTTCCTACTTTAATTAAATGGTTATATATCTTTATTTATTTTTGCAGCACCAGTAAGTGGTCATCCGCATTCAGCTGTAGCTGCTTTTGCTGAATTAGCATCAAAAATGATATTGTACGATGATTCATTTTAATGGATAAAATAAATTTGAATGTTAATTTATATCATATTAAACACATTTTCCACATTAAAAGCTTATCGACTCTGTTTGAAATTTGTCAAGTACGATCACGTGCACAACACACTTGACATTCAAGTTCAATGCAAAACGAAAGAAGAAAGCATCTGTGACTTATTTTCCGTAAAACTGAAGACTCATTAAATTTAAATCGATGTGAATGTCGTGCCGTTATTTATTCTCGTAACGCTTAATGAACTTTAGTTGTTACTTTGCAAATAAATTCTCTTTATACGAAGAATCTTCCTTCATATTTTTGGGTTGATGGCCTTTTTAACACAGCATTTTTTTGAATCAAATTTATTACTTACATAACACTATGTATAGCAAACAAACTATGTTCAAGAAAAAATACGATGAGGAATGCATTGATGGTTCACCACTTAGAAATAAATTGAACAAAGTGAAGTGCGCGTTTAAATTTATCAAAATCGTATCCGTTTCGAAGTGATTCAATTACGACCGTACAGCATGCTGTACACAAAACATCGGTCATTCGTGTATTGTGCTCACTCACAATAAGTAAGGCATTCGGTTTACGACACATACGACACTCATACGATTTAAGCATCACTTGTTTAACATATATATTAAATTACCGAATCAAAATCATGCGGAAATGGTTCATGCATTTTAACATTCGGATGTTTTATGAACTGCGACATACTACTGTTGACGAAAAAAAAAAAAACAAATTGTAGTTGATTCAAATAAAAGTCATTGTTTTATCAACGCAAAGTTGATCTATTTTTATCCGTTAATTTGGTGAAGGTAACTGGAATGTGTGTGATGATCAAGCGTAAATTACATGAAATAAATTCGTAAGAATGCCATCATAGATTTCATCACAAACCGTAATTCTCTCGATTGTGATAAAGAAATTATATATAATGATCAATTTGATATGTTTGCATAGGCACACAAATACACACTCATATGTGTGTGTTTTCATCGAACTAAATAGCTTAACCTGCTATGTGCATTTGTTTCACTCGTGATCTGTACTTACTATAAACTTCTATGTAAGAAACACACAAATCACAAAGGGAATTTATTTGTCTGGTTCATAATCGTGGTTTGCTGTGATCATCATTCATCTGTGTACACATACAAACGAATTGGCAATGCTGCGTTTGTGTATGTAGTCCAATTTGAATGCGATTGTTGGAACCTTGGTACGATTTGTTAATGAAATCAAAGTTCTGTAAAATCTTTGTCATTTTGGTGGCACTAGCGCTCACTATTCGTTGTGAATTTTCTTTGCTCTTACGTTTCGTTAAATATTGAATACTGTGAAGAATTGAATGCACTGTGGAAGAGTTAGGAGTAGATCGATTGTTGATTGAAGTGACGTCTTCAGTGAAAGATTTTGTTTGGTAGATTTTGAAGTTTAAAAAACTGGCAATCAATTGAAACAAAATGCCTAACATAAGTGATGTTCTCACCTCGCAACTCGAACGGTTTTCGTGGTCTGATTACTCGTGTTTCGTGATGATGCTAATGGTATGCATAGTTATCGGAATCTATTTCGGGTTCTTTGAGAAAAAGGAAAATACCGAAGATGAATATCTCGTCGGTAATAGAAATATGCCAATATTTCCTGTTAGTCTATCTTTGGTTGCAAGGTGCTTGATATAATATTTTCCGATTAAAAAAAGCATTCAAACATTTTGACTTTTTCTTTTATTTTCTTTTTCAATAAAATACAGCTTCATTAGTGGCATTACATTTGTCGGGTGAGTGACTTTGTTGCGAAATATTTGATACCGCCGATAATCGATCAAAAAAAAATTATAATTTTGTTTAGGTTACCCACAGAAGTTTATTCATTTGGAATTCAATATGTGTATTCCGCTGGCGGTGTTTTATTGATGGGCTTCTTTATGTCGACATTTTATCTGCCTGTTTTTCATGAACTAAACATAACATCGACTTATGAGGTAGATTGTCACAAGGAAATGATTACGAAGGCTTTATGTGATTTCATTGATTTTACATTTATCTTACCTACTTACAGTATTTGGAGGCTCGTTTTGATCGTCGATTGAGAATGTTCGGCGCAATAATGTTTACTATAATGAACGTAAGTTTCATTTGTTCTTTATTGATACAAACTTAATTAATTTGAATAATTTTAGATTGGTTATTTACCAATAGTAATATATGTACCAGCACTTGCATTTAATCAAGGTAAAATTGAATATTGATAAAATTATATTTTTGAATTCATTCTAATTTGATACTGTATATTTTTCAGTGACTGGAGTCAATGTTCACATTATTACGCCAATTGTTTGTGTCATTTGTGTATTTTACACGTGCGCTGTAAGTTCGATACTGTTTAATAAGTTAATTGAAGAAAATTATAATTAAAACGTAAAAAAATTTCAGGGTGGCATTAAGGCAGTGGTATGATATCAATATTTAATTTTTTAAATAAAAAATAAAGATTCACTTGTTACGAAATATCTTAGGTATGGACAGATGTGATTCAAACAATTTCAATGTTTGGTGCACTTGTAATTGTGGCGGTCAAGGGCACTTCAAATGTGGGCGGCTCGAATGTTGTGTTCACAGAGGCTTGGAATAGTGGTCGAATTGAGGCACCAATGTAATCGATTTTAATTATTCCCTTTTTTCCATTTGAGAGTATTATTTATAATTCTTACTTTGATGCATTCACACACAGATTGGATATTAATCCAACTATTCGACACTCAATATGGTCACAAGTGTTTGGGGGCATAATATATTGGTTACAAGCAAATGCCGTATCTCAAAACATGATACAACGTTATCTTGCATTGCCCACATTGAAAGCGGGTCGAATTGCGCTCTACATTTTTATTGGTGGTGTTATAATATTAATGTGTTTATGTTCATACATTGGTTTATTAATTTATGCCACTTATAAATCATGTGACCCGTTGACAACGAAATTGGGTATTTTCAAAATTTGAAAAAGTTATTATTAACAAAACCGTTTTACTAACAAATATTATTAACAAAACTAGCATCCGCCCGAGATCAACTGCTACCCTTATTTGTGATGGACACGCTGGGAGGGCATTTTGGATTGACTGGCTTATTTGTTGCTGGTGTTTTTAGTGCGGCGTTATCTTCACTTTCTACATGTTTGAATTCTATGTCAGCCATTGTATTGGAAGACTTTGTGAAGCCATTTGTGAAGAAACCTTTATCGAATACATCAATTAACTGGATTATGCGAATGGTTTGTTATTGTTGGATTACTATAATTAAAAAAACATCAACAAAATTCTTAATTAATTGTTTATTTAATATTTTTATTTATATTACATTTGTATCGTAATGGATTATCAAATATTAATTAACAAACTGTCTGTTAATAGGTTGTTGTTGTGATGGGCATTATTTGCGTTGCTCTTGTTGTTGTCGTTCAAAAAATGGGCACCGTACTTCAACTGACAATGAGCTTGGAAGCAATCACAAACGGACCGTTGTTGGGCATTTTCACGATCGGCATTCTTCTCCCATGGATCAATGCAACGGTAATATTCATAATAATATTATTGATTTATTTAAAAATTATTTGAAAACAGAGTATTGCTCAGCGCTGCTGCCATCCACAGCATATTAAAATATCTTCCTGAGAATGCGTCGTCCGTCGCAAGGTACGTAGCAGTTTTTACATCAAAGCGAACAACAATATGTGCATTGTTCTCTATACAATCGTTTGAATGTTTTTAGTGACATAATCGTGAAGAGAACAATGCATGCATTCTTGTTCGCTGTGATGTATAAACTGCTACGTACATTCGCATGCGACGGACGACGCATTCTCAGGAAGATATTTTAACATGCTGTGGATGGCAGCAGCGCTGAGCAATACTCTGTTTGAAACTTAAAATGTGTTTTTTATTACTGAAGAATACATTAATTGGTGGAATATGCGGTGTATTGGCTATGTCATGGGTCAGTTTGAATGCTCAATGGGCGATCGCCTCGGGTGCAATTCAATTTGAACACAAAGAAATGTCTATTAGTAACTGTTCATATGACTTTGAATTAACAGTTAAACCGGAATTCGTTCATGAATCGTAAATAAATCATTTTTTTCATTCTTATTTCCGCTTGAAATGTAAATTGTTTCTCTTTTCTCTATTTTATTTGTATTTAGTGAAACGTTTGCTCTCTATCGAATATCATACATGTGGTACACAGCCTTCGGTGCGTTGACAACGTTAATTTTCGCTGGTTTGGGAACATTTATTTCGGGTGCTAGTGATGCTTCAAAAGTGGATCTCAAACTAATTGCACCATGTCTAAGGAAATACATTCGTGTTGATCGCAGTAGAAAGTTGCCGAAAAAATCTCATCCAAATCGAAATGTTATACCAGAAGTGGACGAAGAAAGTTTTGGAGAAAAAGAATCAACTCTATAAGCGTACGGTTTTTACAAATGTATTTTATTATCCTATTAATTCAATAAATATTGGAAGAGATTCAATCGAAGATATTTGTTTTATTTACATGTTGATTATGAGCAGTGTCTTGTTTATTTTGGATAAATAATTGTTAATGGATAGGTAATATATGATGTTTGTGTATATGAGACATAATCTATCTATAGATGATACGCTTTTGCAGGATTTAAACGCACAAACATCGCATTCAACATTGTTGGCATTTCACAACAGATGGCGCACTTACCAGTATGTTGCATCGCTAGAATATGATTTTTTTTTAAACTTAAAATAAAATTCAATCAATTATTACTGAATTGTTGTTGTCATTTATTTTGTAATTTTAGAATTATACAATTGGTTTCGATCAATTTTAAATTTATAAGTGGGTATAATATTAATGAATTTCTTCTGCCTGCATTAAATATATTCACCTAATAATGTATAGGACAAATAATGTATATGTGGTTATATATGTGGAATGAATTTATTTCTTATTGGTTTGCTTGAAATTTACTGAATGTTCGGTTCTAATTTTCTTTAAATAAGTTTTGCATCAACTAGGGAAACGTTTGTATTTATTTTATTAAATTGGTTCTAATTAATTGATTTCACTTTAAACAGATTGCGTACACCCATCTGGAGTATTTTTTAGTGAGTAAATGCTTCCATTGTGTGTAACGTGTAATTGTTCTATACCTTCCAAACGCAATGTTTAATTATACCATCGAAAAATTGTAATTTTTATTATATGCATGAAAGTGTATTTTGCATAAATTTCTCTCAATTCGATGTCGCAAAAATGAGTTGCGTTGCACTCTTTTCAAATGCATTTCTTTTAACTGATTTAAGTTTAGAAGGATTCGCCATTGACTAAAAGTACAGATTAATATAGTAACACAAATTTTTAGATATATAGTATGGAGTGGGTATTTTCAAAATTGTTTGTCATCAATCAAACTATTGCAAGAATTCCTCGCACTTTTATTCCGTATTTCCTTTTCATCTTTCAACAATCGGTCGAACTTTCAACACCAATACTTTGACACTTATCGAACGTTTTGTTTAACATCGAACATTTAATATTGGTTATAGAACATATAAATCTAATGGAAAATTATTATGATTCGCATATATACTGACATCAAAACATCTTGATTTTCCTTTTAATTTTCTGAATGTATATATCATATGTATATGTTTGTATGTTTAGTGTAAATAGGTTGGGACTCCTTCGAAAGATGAATGGTCATGTTCTAATACTTTTTTGAGTCTATTTACTATGAATCCAAAACTTTAAACCATTATATTGGTCTGGTTCTATGAATTATGTTCATATTTTTGTCGTTTATTTAATGCAGAAATCGGTGAAACTTGTTAGTTTTTGTAGTTTTCTTTTTGTGTTTACATGTATATTGTGGGCACTGTAAAAGCTTTTGATTGAAATCTCTGTGTATTTGAGTTGAATGGTCAAAGTGGTATATAATTCACTCAATTTCATTGAATTCATTTTGTTGTTGTAGATGACAAATAATTGTGGCATATATTTAAAATCTTGAATAACAAACAAAGTGTAAAGTATAAGGTTGTTGTTGGGCCCCTACAATTGATGATCATCATCATTATCAAAATCAATATAGTATAGTGTGATTTTTAAGGATGAAAACAATTTTTGAAGATTTGAGGTCGATATAGAAGGGGAGAATGGAGGGGGAAGCATTTTATATTCTTGGTATTTTGTGTAGTTTGCCTTTTGGTGTGGTTTGATTTTTTGCATTTTTTTTATCCTTTTCGTTTTTATGAGGCACTATTTTTTAAGCTCTTTATATACAAATGAGGAAAAAACTGAATGTACATAGTGAACAAAAAACAGTTTCGTTTGAGACAAGCTTTTCAAATGGATTTAACTACTTAAATATTAAGTAAAGTTTTCGTAACATGAGATAAATAGTGAGATTATGCGGATATTTACAAAAAATTTTTTATCGTTTTTCCAAACAATTGAAAATGTATTTTTAGCTTTCGTTTGGCTTATTTAGTAAATGTCAATAATATATGTTTTTTGTTCATATTCTTCTAATTAGTGCGATTGGCAAACTCTGTAATGTAAATGAATTGTAGTCAAGCTTAATATTCTCTTATATTCTTTATAAATAGTAATAACAACTGAACTAAAGAATTGATTTTTAGAATATGTATTGATGGGTAATAGAAATTAATATTTTTGCGTTTCATTGTTGTTATCAATTTTTTTTAGGTGAAAACATCAACTGAATTTATGGCATTTTCCATTTGCTTATTGACTTTCTTCATTCTGTTTACTACTCAGTGTTCAACGTACTACATTCTTTTATCTTAATACATCATCATACCAACGTGTCGAAATACAGCATGAGTGCCATTCAGCTTAGATATAAATATTAAATAATCATTTAGAAAAATGCACTTATGGACAAGGACACGTACTAGAACGCTCAACTGAACAGTATCACATGATCACAATTTCAAAACGAACAAAAATACAAATAGTTCGTTGTGATGGCGTGGCTAGTCAGTTAGATTTTAGTTTGTACGGCCATTGTTTAGGTGACACCCAATCAACAGAAGTACAATATTAAATGTAAATAATTAGTAGGAACACATACAATACTATATTTATTGTGATTGTGTGTGTAAGTATAAATAAAAACGATATGACGACAAACCATTTTTTTTTTTCGTTCGTTGAAATTATTTTTAAGCTTTAGGTAGGTTGTCGGCAATTTTGAAGTTTTGTTTTTGTTTTAGTAATTGAATCGGCTAGAATACAAGTATTAATGACCTCCATAAATTTGTAAAAAAAGTGTAACATGCCCATACATTTTTTTTTGTATGGGCATATTGCACTTTTATTTTAACAAATTTCGTTTGGTCACAAATATTCTAACTGATTCAATTACGTATAACTCAACTGATTTGTTAAATAGTTTAATCGAATGTCATTTGTCTCTCCTTTTTTAATGTTTTTCTGTCTCTGTGTGTAACAGACTATGTCAAATTCAAACAGTACATTTTTTATCGATTAATCCGTTGGAATAATTATGCATGAGTGTTTCTACCGTGTATTCAGCAAAAAAACACTTTTATTTAGAAAACATCATTCGGTCACTTGTTTCTTTCCGGTATTAGTCGACGTCATCGTTGTTCCTCAGCAAAGGCATTTCACAAATCTATTTAAATATGTATCTTTAATCGTATATTGAATTTCTATCAAAACTTCAACATACTCGGTATACTAAAATGATATGGGTTTTTTGAGAGAAGTAAGATATAAAAAATCTCTCCGAAACGGTATATATATTTATATAGATATTTAAATGTGTTGACTCCTATCAAGGACACATAATAAGCTTACCTAAAATCAATGGGAGAACATTCAATATATTAGTTTCTATATAAAAATACTCAACAGATTAACAACAATGGATCATTTTTGTTTTTTGTAGCTTAAATAAATTTCGATTTTCATAAATCCAACATAACATAGAAAAATAGAGTTGAGCTCAGCTTTGGTTCAACCTTATATGTCAAAGATATACTGACTGTGCTCTGTGTCTCGCGGAAAATCCAATTCGAACGAAATGAAATTCCGATTAAGATGTATCCGCAATACAATAGACGAAACAAAAAATGTTTATAGACATTTTGTTGATTTATTTTCATTTTTTTCTCGTGTGTTCAATGTTAAATACGCAACAGTAATAAGTTTTATCAGTAGAACTATTTTGGAGTTTCTAAAGAGTTATGTGACGTTTCGCCTATCCCTTTATTTCAACCGCAACATATAAATATATATGTTATCAAACAAAAGCCCTGCTTGCTTGCATTACTTGTATTCAAAATTTACTCTTTCATTTAAAAAAAAAATTAAGTTCTTTTCAATCTTGATTATTCAATCGCAGTTTTGAAATTCGAACGAAACTTTCTCTCCATTTTTGTCGGAGATTTTTATCATTTAGAAAAAAATATCGTAAAATACAATAAGCGTAATGAAATTGTTTCTTCTCTTTATGTGTCCGTGTTTATTTTTTTTCAATCCTTGTATTTCACCAACATATCTCTATTTAAGGCAATCGAATATAGTGTGATTTGAATAATTTCAAGCGAGAACTAAAATGAAGTATGAAATGGATGAATTTTAAGTGAAAACTACGAATTAGCATTTAAAAAAATGTTTTTGAATAATTCTTTGAGAATCTGAAATTTGAATTGGTTTGCCTATTTGAGATTTGCCTAAACTTAGACTGCTACCCCTTTTTTCATTTTATTTTATTTTCACACAATAACTATTCATCAATGCTTTTCAATTTCGTAGTCAATGCTGTTCTATATATATTCAATCTCGCAGTTGTGACTACAAGTGCGAATCAGTTATATTTGTAGCTTTCGATTTTGATAAAAAAAATCATACAAATACATATGTTTCTCATTTCAATCAATACGTTCATATTTTTCTACAGAAACTATAAGATTTTTTTTACTTCGAGCTATTTGTCATACATTTTCTGCGTTTTTTTTTATATTTGTGCTGAAATGACGTTTGTCATAGAGCGAAAATCTTATTTTTGTTCATAAATCTTCCAGATTTCTTTAAGAATTCAATTTTGTGTGTCTTTTTGAACTTGTTTTCCATACTAGATTCGATTTGTGACTGTTTGTTCTTTCATGTCTATGAATTTCGTTAGAATTTTAAAACAAAAAATCAAATCTTACATCTCGATAATTCTTATAATTTTTTTTAGCTTGTCTTCTTCTTCGAACGTACTATGACGTTCATTTCGATCGATACAAAACTAATGTTGTTTTTATTAGATTGGAATACATTTAGATACGAGTTTATGTCGTTTTCGTCGTGTTTATGGTTCTTTAGTTTTTGTTTCATCACTTCGTTGAAACAATTAGATTAGATATCGGTGCAGTCGCATTCGCTAGTGGCAGTAGCCTTGTAAAACCTTACATTTGGCTCGTCATATTCGGTGCTCGGATATTTCTCTCGCCGACGTGTATATCGCCGACCGTACTTCCGCCAACGCACGCCGAATAGCTGTTCCAAGTAATACCGTAGTCAGATTTTTGTGGCCGTTTGCGTGCTGATGTATCTAAAATTGATAAATTTTGGACATCCAAACAGCAATAGAAGAAGAGGAAACATATATTCTATAATTAAACCATTGTCAATGCTTTTTATGGGTAAAAAAGAAAGAAATCCAATTTAAATATTTAAAATAATTGGTCAAGAATAAAACTAATAGTTTAAAAAAAAATGAAAAATACAACAATTAATCGACAAACATCGAGAAAATCAAAAAATATACGAAAACAAATCAATAATCAATTATCTTGGTTACTCCAGTTAAATATCATAAATTGTGTGTGAACAAATTGTCAATCAAGTGGCTTTATCGCTATGACTAATGGATGAACATTAATTTACATACAATAAAGCATGTACGTTTCATAAATCAATTGGGGACAGCAGTTACGACACATTTATATGATTGCGCTTTTTGGTTTATTTCATTAATAAAGTTTTTTGTTCGGTTTTTGGTTTGTTTCGTAGTGAAAAATTGAACTGATAAAATCACGTCCGGTTTTTTTTTCCTTCACCAATTACGCATTTCAATTCATAATTTCGATTCACAAAATTTAGCCACAATGTTATGTACGTATTGCATTTACTACACATTACACCATTTATACCAGTGGAAATAAGCTTTCGTGTTTACCATCTAACATAAAATTGTATAAAAAATGCATGTTAATACCGAGGTGTAAAGTATTACTCAGTCGTTACAAGGCATATATAGTACAAATGGAGGTATATTTAGTTGGAGTGGCCAATACAATAAATAAAATAAAAATGAATCGACTTTAGATTTTGGATATTTCTTCTCATTGAACAAAAGAACCAAAGGAAAAATCGTATTTCTTTCTTGACTCGGTGCTATTTACTAGAAAGAAAGAAATTGGTGAAAGTGCTGAGTGCGTGTTTTTGTGTTATTGTGTATATAGAAGTGTATGAATGTATCAGGTTTCGATAGGACTGTTTTGGCTTATATGCATTCGCTTATAATACGAAGTGGAAATTCAAGTTCGCAGTCAGACGATGCTATGAATTTCAAGTATGAATTGTACACGTGACCTCAACATCAAAACACAAATGTTATACTCCGTTTGATTAATCGAATATTCCGCAATCAATGAGCCCCCATTCAAAGCTGACTGCTCAGTTGCTGATAAGCGACACTAGCTAACACTACAATATCAGAACGAATTCTTGCGATTATGGAACAGCGTCTATCCATGGCAGCAACTGTCCAGTTAACTCGAGCTTAGATCTATCCGTGGTGAATGAATATTTAATTCTCAAGTTCGTGTGCCATTTGGATTAGGTTTTTGTTCAATTTTGTTTTCGTGCTCTCACTTTCTATTTGCTCATTCCCGCATCGAATTATTATGGTAAGAAACGATTTATAAAATTTCTACAGATGCGATGTTGTATAGGGCCAACTTCTAATAGTCCATTATTCGGTCTATTAACAATAGCAAATGAAAAAACTGTATTCTTCACATCGAATTTTTTCCGCCATATACGTATTGCAAAAATGTGATTTATAACAAATATTAAGACATATAAACTTAGAACTACTCGTTCAAATGAAGTGCCGCTCGCAAAACTATATCAATTAAAGATGATTAAAAGAAAAAGTATTTCTCCAGAAGAAAAAGAATTTTCGTTACGCATAGTTTAACTAGCGAGCAAAAACAAATTTAAACTTAGTGGACTTCGAGTCTGTGTATAATGGAAACGTTATAACGACTGCACATCGACAGCAGTAAATTTAATAATGCATTACAATGTATGCACATGATGCTGGGATTCGTAATCCTATTCGCCTTTCGGGGTTGTTTTAAAATGCACTTCAACTTTTTTATGAGCCATAAGCAAGAAAATGCATCACATTTTTGCTGTAATATTGATGGGAATTGGCCATTCTTGTTTGAAGGTAAGCTGATTAAAATGGCGGAAGTTTTTGAATTGACAAATAGAGTACAATTCGACAACATCAATACGTTTGCTCATTATATTCACAGAAAGCGGATTTCATTTCGGTAATTTTCTATGTTTTACTACAGTTTTCCGAATTTACGTCAATATTAAATGTACAATTGTACAATCCATACTTCCGTCTCCGTTGTCGTTGTCATCATCGTTATAATAGTCCTTATTCAATGCCCGACTGAATAGCGTCATGGAATGTTGATTGCAATCACAAAATAATTCAACGAAAGCTATTACTTCGTTTGGGTATAAGTTCCCGATACGGAAAATGCATTTGGTCGCGGTACCCGCATGTTTACAACATTAAATTAACGATACTTTTCTATATAGTTTTATTTTAATGGAATGTCAAAAAATTAATCTTTCTCGATTATTTAGTACGTTTCGTTTTACGTTTGTTGAAATGAAATATTCTGATTTGGACTCTAAGCATATGTAAGTGACTTTTCGTGCGAAATTAGTATAAAATTGACTTTAAACTATAACAATTAACTATTATATTAAAGAAACAAAAGGGACAAATACATAGAGAAAGTAATATAAAGAGATACAAAGTGTGTTTATATGTTGAAGTGCTTGCTATTCAATCGGATATCAAAATTACATCAGTGTGATTGCATGTGATTGGGTTAGTCATCGCATAACAAATTGACAGCTATGTTTGAAACGTGAAAATGGGAACGCAAGGCATGTAATATGTGTGCCTGTTAGTTGGATTTTGTTGCACGTGCTGATTTACTGTGGGAAATTTCTATTGGTGGGATATTCTTCTGTTAGCTAAATCCTTATTGCAAATGTTTTATCATTGGAAAGTGTTGTGATTGGTTTTGTATTTTGTTATTGTGTTGTGTTTTCCGTATTTTTTTCTCATTATATTGTGTTTAGTTTTATCGTTAGGTGCAGTGAACTTCATTTCTGAAGTGTCTTTATGTGTTTTGGCAAATGCCTAGATCCTAGAATAGTGTGCGTGATGTGGTGTGTGTGTGTAGTGCCGGTTGATTGTGGTGGTTGTGGTGTTGGTGGTATTGGTGGTGTGTTAGTGTCCTATGGTGTACTGTGAAAAATGAATTTGGTGGATGTTTCAATTCAACATAAAACTTCAATTAACAAATTGGTAATGGTTTTTTTAACAAATTTCTGTACATAGGAATGTATGCTCGGACTCGCTGCGTGCTCTAGCTATGTAAGCCTGTTTCAACTTCAAAATTTCTCATAATGACGGCCATTTAGATTTTCTAGAAAGATTCACAAAGAAGCAATAAAATAATGACAGAGGGATATACACTACAACATTTAAAGGTAATAAAAATGCAAAAATTACTCATTGATCATTGTCAAACCTGCAGGTTGATTACGAATATTTTTTTTATAATGAAATGTATTAGTTTTAAGTTAAAGTGAGATAGACAAACAAATATCGAATGGTTTATAATAATGATTACGGTGTATTAAAAATAAGAGGACAATTCAATTGAATTTATGTCATGGATTAAATGGTCAATTGCTACATACCTGTAGGTGGGTCCTCTTGCATCAAATTCGGATAGTTCATAGCTATTACCATGTAATGGACGGCCCGAATGCGTTGCCGTTGCTCCAACACTAATTTCACCTTCGTCTAAAGTAAAGTGGATGGAGAAAAAGTGAAGATTGCATATGCGGGATATCATCAACGGGAGTTGAAAGTTATTTTCATCAGTAATTAGCTTAATTTACCTTGTTCACTGCACAAATTTAATTGATTATTTCGAGTGTATTTCGGTGTATTTTCATGAAATAGCAATGACTCGTGTTCACTTTCACCCGATCCAATCCGATTTCGTTCTCGATTGCCAACTTTTCGTTCAGCATGCATACCACCATTCACTGTCGTACTGGGAATTTGCAGTAGAACACAACTCTGTATCAAATTGAAATCAAATTTCAATTAATTAAATTCGATCGTCAATATTTGTTGTCATGGTGATGATTGGTATAGTTTACTTACCGTTTGTTGATGATGCATTGATTCACCATCACCGCTCATCGCTTCGGATGCCATTTCCTGTTGCAACAGTTTAATTTTTTGGATCATTTCTTTGATTTCATATCGTAGAATACCCAAAAACGATAATTTTAAAAAAGCTATCACACAATAGCCAAGCACGAATAGAATATCGGCAGTGTTACGTAGCCACGCAACCAACTTATCAAAGCATCCTTGTTGATAGATAGCCCGGCACACGGCTTTTTTGATTTCGTCTTTATTATCATTAACTAAATGATTCCATGTTATATCTGTTAATTCGGTTAAATTGGCTTTGGCTTGTGATGCGAGTGCATTAGCCGTTGAATCATCACGAAATACAACTGCCGATGCCATTGGTCGCTTTGAAATCGATATTTGATCGCTAATATCTGGAGGTAATACATAACAGCACGATGAAGGAAGTGAACGATTTGCCGTATAGTCCTGCGGACCAAATACGCCACAACAACGACCTTCGCTTTGCAGACGATCCCATAATTCACTAAAATCTACTGACGTTCCATATTCGGTGGCGAAGCGATATCTGTACAAAATGATAATACGATATGGAGATGGGTATTATGTTATAAACGTTATAATTTATGCAAAATTTTGAAATGCTCATTTAAATAAGCCATACGCATGCAATTGCTATCCAAAAATCAGAATACCAATTAAAATACAATGTTTGAACGTACCTAAGCATTGGCTGTAGCTCGTGCATGATTCGATCAAATTTAAACATCCAGAATATACCCAGAATCGCGTCACCAATCAGAAGTACAAGTAGTAGTAACCAGTAAGCATTGAGTAATTTTTCTGAGAGACGTAAGGCACCTAAGCATCCGACTAATTGTAAGAATCCTGCATTGATAGAATGTCATTATTATTTCAACAAATATCATCAGTGGTGCGAATTTCGATACTTAGACAACAAATAAAATACAGGACAAAATATGAAAATATCGAATTTACGATTAATTCATCGCGTGGTTCATATTGTGATTCATAAACAACAGCGGAAGCGATATTCATTAAAATGAATGAAAACACAACTCTCCTCAAATGATAAAATGCTGCGGCATTTTTAACATCACTGTATATTGTTTAATATGTTAATTCAATGGTGGAAACCAGAACTGAATTCATTAATATGGAGAATAGAAAAGTTTTCTACATAATTTTGGTTAAGTTGGTGGCCTGTTTTATCCATTGCGGAGCGTACAATGACATGGTTGAACTTGTGTCATTGGCGAGTGAATGCATGCACACCGACTGAAATCAGTAGAATAGTAATGGAATGAGAGAGAGGGGGAGATGAGAGAAAGAGAAAGAAATATGCGGTTACACATTTCCGTCGTGCAATTTAACATCTATATTAGATTAAATCGACGGAAAACCTCTGGAAAATCTCAAATAAAGTCATCGTATGCATTCACCACCATTATGCATTCTACGCGGAGTTTAAATAATGTTTGCTTTTATATTATGTAATTAATACATATCATAGATCGTTGTAAATGCAATGGTTGAACACGCCTTGGATTACGAAATGAAAGTGCGTTGTTCAATGTTCATGTCTATTCCTAGCAATTTATTCGCTTTGCCACGAAGGATGGCAAAGACGGTACAATATAACACCAGCACTTTATATTGGTCATTAAACGGTTGATAATGCGTCAAATGCATGGATTTGTTATATAGACAGTATAGTAATATGTGAATGAGATAGAACAAGAGTGACTGAGACTTACCCGATTGTATGAGCAATGCCAAGTATGCATAAACGAAACTCGGTTGACCCAAATTCAGGCCATGTATCAACAAACGTCTGTAATCGGCTAATAAGACTTTACCAGCTATACAACAAAATATTATGACCGCCATTAATAGCACAGCGTTGCATGTGTAAATCCAAAGCCTATAGTACCTGTAAACCTCAAATCAGCATAAAGAGAAAAAAGAAGCAGAAACAACACAGGATAGCGGTGAAAAAAGAAAGGAGAGCAAAGAAAATCACGAACAAATTAAACGATTACAGTGCAGTGAATTACATCGAACAAGTTTGCAAAAGTGAAATTAACAATATATTTAGTGTTTACGGTATGGTTATCAAGTTATCGTCCCAAAGCACGATGCGACACATTTCCACCAAAAAAGTTTATTTTTATAAAAAGATCCGTGAACAAAGCGATGAAAACGAAAAAACATATTCAAACTAGGGGGGAGACACCCGTGAATCCATTCACCTTTTGTGTTGGATTTGTACGATTAGTATGATTACAAAATTTTACAAAGATTCACATTCGATTCAATTTTTGATTTAAATTGCTATAATTTCAATGATTTGCACAGATTCACAGATTCGTAAAGATCCACAGATTCATTAAATATTCACATGTTTCTGTTTTTTCTTTTGACGTACAAGCGTATGTTGATTTTATAGAAAATAAATATGCTAGCAAATATAAATTAAAATAAAATTCAATTATTTTTGTTTATGCAATGATTTCATTTTTACCGACTTTTAACAATGGAATAAAATTTAACTCAACAATCAACACATTTTATATTATTGACAAAGTGACTTTGTCAAAGTCCCTATGATTCATGAGATTCTTCGGATTCTTCGGATTTGTCAGTTTTGTGTTCTTTATTATAATTCTAATGGAATCGTTGAAATCAATGAAATTATACAATTGAGTATTTTAACATAGATTTTTCATTTTGAATTGGTGTCTACCCCCTAGTATTCAAAACTTAGCCATATTTTTTTTTGAGGAAAACTTAAATGCCGATTTTCAATTTAACTTACTGACATGAACAAGAATGAAATTCAAAAAGTTTGAAATGTTTTCGACGTGAATAATATTTAGCAGCATATACCATATATAATAATAAAGAGGAGCAAAGACCCATTTTTAGTTCACGTTGTTCATGTTTGTATATATGGTAGAATGGTAGATTCGGTGATTAAACTGAATAAACATTCTATCAAATTTGGATTTGGTTGAAACTATTTCGCATTGATATTTTTTATTTGAACTCACACGAACAGCAATTGTATTAGAATTTCGCATAATCGATAATAAATCATTTATGAACAAACACTCGTCTGAACTCCCCATCGATCCAACACTTAATCCAATTACGATAAATTGATGACGCTCAAATTGATGGTATTTTTATTGACAGAAATCGCTTTTAAGATGGTAGAAGTTGAGTTGCATTGACAACGTCCATCGAACGTTGTTAATAAATTGTTGGGAAATTACATCGTCATAAATGTGACAATAACAATTATTCCGACTATCCAATTAATAATAATATTTTCAAACCAGCAATTTGTATGCAATTTCTTGACTTATTGGTCAACACCCTATGAAGCAAATACTTTTCATTAAAGTTCTTCGACAATATGTAGGTACGATTTACAATCATTTTCAACCTCTTATATAATATATAGAAATACAAATGTTTGGAAGAGTAGCATTCCGATGCTTATTTTTCGAAGATTGAGTTCTAAGTCTGAATATTATGTTAAACAGACTAACTGTTCACCACTTGTTTGGTTGAATATTATTATGAAATTCGTCCATTGTTGCATAAAGTGTGTCAAGCAATTACGATTCAAGTGTGTTTTTTTCTTCTTTTCGTGACCACACACAGCAATTCGGTTTGAATTCTTTCTATCGCAAAGAAATATTGGAGTGAATTATTCATTCACTTGCTTCTTATTTCTTAATATGACAAGAGTAGCAGAACATTAGGAAAAGTTTTGCGAATTTTGGCTCTACAACTTAGTTGATTAGATTATTTATTTTCGAATATAGAAGTTGATCGACTTCAGAATCGAAAAAATTATACGGAATGCAGAGCATTCATTTATATTTTCAGTTGGTATGTACGAATGAAGATGAAGATAAATTCAAATGAAATTGAAGTTCCCCTTTAAAAAAAAAAAAAAAGTTGAATGATAAAAATTTAACACAGACATTTCGTTTCTAGAATCAAAATCTATATTTCAATTTATTTTCTCGGAATTTCGCATTCCGTTTTTAATAACATCTGCGAATAGTATTCGTATTCATTTCTCGCTATAGCGACTCATGAACATTGTCGATTATGCGGAGCGTTATGGATGTGGATTTTATTCGCATTTTCATGATAACCGAAATGTATATATAGCATTTCTTCTTATTTATCTAAAGCGAATATTCGAATTAAGTATATGCAAGATTGAAAAGGTGAGCACTTTCCGGCCAAAAGTTTAGAGAGCATGTAAACACATCAATTTTTCGTACTCGTCATGGTTTCTTTTATCAGTTAAGATTTTGTCATTTATAAAAATTACTACCGTTCTTATGTTACAGTTTCATTCTCCTCGTACAATTCTTCTGGAAGTCTACATGACGTTGTTATATAGGAAAATTGAAAATGACAAGTCCTATAGAATATTTCTAATGGATGGCAAAGTAATGGCATGAAACGGACATTGGCCGGCCGGCAAAATCAGTATCTAGATTGATGAATAAATTGGAATTTGCTGAAGCTTTGCATTCCAATACTAAATTTATGAAGAACACTAACTAAGACAATTACGAAGAATTGATGTTGAAAAACTTGTGACCGGCAGTGTATGCGTGAATTTGTGTCATATAATTTTGCGTATTTCAGCACAACAAACAATAGAAATGAATAAAAGGTAACGCTGATGGTTTTTCCCACATAATAAATAATTACTTTAGGGCTTATAAGAGTTCGGAAAACACTTTCATATTGATTAAAAGAAGCTGGTTCATAAATAAAATGAATATGTGTGTATATTTGTTTGTTTTTTCGTTATCCAAATTGATATTGAAAATGGGGATATTATTTATTCAGCACCGTGCACAACCAATGAATTTATGAAAATCGCTATAATGTGTATCTCGATCAGAGTTGCGCTTGAATGGTCGATTATTATTGCAAAAATTGAAATAATGTGAACTGGGATGTACTGAACTCAAAGCTGTTATACTATATCTCTCTATCGATCGATAAGTTTGGCTTGCGGCAACAACAAATAGCAGCTAAACCAATTCATAAGTTTTGCACACATGCAAGCACCCATATACAATTACAAATGTGCATGTGCGCCTGTGGTTTTCGAAAAAAAATGTAAAATCATTAAAATATATGATTTTCCTTTTCAGTGAGGCAATAATGTTGTCAGTCAATATGGAGGAACAAATGTTTTGTTGATTTTACGTGCGATTGATGAAGCTTGCTCGACGTGGTCGGTATCAGATATCATTTGGTCGTTCATTTATGGAAAGAAATTACAAAATATGAATTGATCGAGCATGTGTACATAACTTACCGCATTGCCTTTACGTCCGGCGAATTCTCTTGAAATCCCTTGTGGGTCATATGGCTAGTTGAAATAAAGCTTTTTTGATTTGGGATTTTTGACGGCGCTGGACTCAAATCGTTTAATATCGTTGCAACTGATGTCTGTATTAACAAAAAAAAAATATATGTATAAAATAGAAGTATACAATCTATATATACACGTAGACATTAGATGTAAAGTAAAGCTCAAGAAAAAAATTCTCATAAGATCATACAATAAATCAGCAAAAATTGTGCATTTATCTGAGTCAATGTAAAACATTCAGCCCTTGGTCATTTATTGAAGTAAACGGGCATTGTTTATTCTCTTCAGTTGCGTTCTTGTATGATGATTTGCTATTAGGCAAACGGAGATTATTTGAAATAGTTTAAGCTTATTATTCCAACGGAGTTTTATTAAACAATGCTTCAAAGTTTCGCAAATTAGTTTTCGAAATTAAATCATATTTTGACACTGTTATAACCTTCACCTTTTGTTTGCAATCATCTTAAATGCTCAAAGCTTTTACTTAATTTTGTAACATTGTGTATAATATTAATTTTGTTTCCGAACTTTTACAATTTGACGGAAACAGAAAACTGAAACAATTATAAAAATGTCTTCGAATGATAATTCAACATTTTCACATCGGTAGAGAACTTAAAATCGCATAATTTAAATCCGAAAGTATTATGAGAAATTTCATTATGATGGGGCAAAACATTTTTGTCATAAATCTTGGATTTATTACCGATTTCGATGACATTTTTAAGATTTTTACCAGACTTTTTCACCAACAGAAGATTTAATGATAATTAATCCAAAGAATTGAATCCTTATTTAAGAAATCCGAACATTTAATTACAAAACTCTACTTTGTAGCCAGTTAGGTAGGAATCTCGATTAAGTATTAAACATAGTTAAGCGAAGACCACTTCCGATTGAAACAGTACGATATATACATATAAATCGAGTGTAATCGGATGTTAGCAATCAATGTTACGAATGTTGAAAGCACTTTTAAAGCAAGTGGAATATGGAGAAAATGCAATTGAATCTACGATTCCCCAGTGAGCTAACATCCATTGAAACAGAAATAAAAATAACTAGCAGGAAATCGAATTGCGATGACGGAGAAGAAAGAAAGAAAGAAAGAAATAAGACTGACACGGAAGTAAATTACCTGCTGTGTTGGTGGTTCTTTCAAATTGTTCGGTTGAAGTAGCGATAAATTCGATTGGTTGATGTTTTTGTCGAATGATACAGATTTGGTGAAAAAATGTTCGATGCTAATTTTATTGGTCAGCAAATGGTCGAATGTAGTGGTCAACGATGATGTAATAGCCGAACTTTGATTTTGGATCGTCTGCGTGAATTGTGTGTTGGTCGTTTTGCTCGTCGTTGTCGTGGTGGCAGTTGTCGTTGTTGTTGTTGTCGTCGCTTTGTTGTTGTGCCGCTCACTGACGGAAGTAGTACGAACTGACAGCATCACAAACATAGCCTAACAGTTTGTTATTCGAATACTTGAGCATAATATTTGATCCGATTAAAAATTTATATGTGAGTGATGGTTCTCTGTTTGTTTCTTGATTTTGTTAATTAGCCTGTTTCAATTCAAATTATAGCTTTGGATTTAGTGTAAACGCATCACGTTGAGGTTTTTGGTCTAAGTGTGTTCGGTCACATCAGTGTTCTGACTACATCGATTCAGATTTATAATTTTTTCCATGACGGAAATTGTTTTTATTGTTGAACTATTGTATTAAATTCGATCATAACGTTATGGTTTCATAGTCAGCCACTTGATTTATCAATTTTGATTAAATCTGCTCAATATTCAAGTCAACCTTTTATATTCACTTTGAGAAAACAAAGGGATTTTCTAGGATAATTTGTTTTTTTTTTTTTTTTTGTCAGACGTTTTTAAAAGCTTATTTGCACTCAGACGTTTTTAAAATATTCAATTGGTCTTTTTAGTCTGGATATCATTATTTTATAAAGGTGTTTTGAAAATGGTCAAAGTATTTCATTGAATGTTGCTCAAATGACAAATCAATGACACTATTTATCAATATATTATTTGCACATCTGTAACAGTGTGTCTATGTGTTTGCATTTTTATGTCCGTTTACAAGTGCATCAATAATTCGGTGTCGAACAAATACAAACGAGCTGGTTAAATTAATTCTGTCTCTTATTTGGTCGAAAATTGGTAAATTATTAATTCACACACTCATGTTTCGCCTTTTATGGTATACTTGAAGTACAGCTGGTGCTTTGTTCACCTTGCGCGACTTTATTGGCGTGGCTTTGTTTTCGAAACAGCGTTTCATTTGCTCATTCCATGTGTGCTGCATGGCACCCAATCAAAAACTCGGTGAACTTCAAATTCATTATGTATGCTGTGTGCGAAAATAATAGAAAATTACGGTATACTTGCACAATCTTGAAATAAAATTATTATCATTTCGGTTGAAGTATCAAATATTCCACCAGAAAAAAATCGTTTTGCTTTGATTATACAATTTTTCACGTTTCGCTTATCATTAATAATTTACGTGGTAGAGGTTCCGCAGATGAAATGCAATGTATAAGGTGAATATATCTAAGACTGGCCAAAATCAAACTTGAACGAATTCATTCGTACCGAAATCACGTTTATTATTTATTTCGGACGATGTACCCTGGCGGTGAATCGTTTCTTGCAAGAAATATGTGAATATTCGTTTCTCGTCCTTTCTCAATTTGTGTGTGTGTTGATTAGAAAAAATGCGAAACTTGACGATTTTCCCACTTGCATCAGCAGAAACACGATTTGGTGTTGGACCGATCTAAGCTTTTTCACATCTACTATTTTACATCGTGCTTTCATTTCAGTGGTGACCCATTCGAATCATTTTATTTGGTTCATTTCGATTATCTCACGTTTGTTTGTACCGTCGTTTTTGCAATGGGATTCTATAACATCGGTGAGAATAACACGAATCGTATTTTTGTTTTGTATTATCTTGCAGATTTTCGTTTATTATATACGTATACGATTTTTGTTGTTGTTACTTTTACTATATTCGACAAAGTGCATGCACTCTCACGACATTCGGTAGAAATGTGATTGACCGCTTTTATTTACACTCTCAAGGCATTGGTCGCGAACATGAAAAACGAAACAGTCGTGCCAATGAACCAACAACCTTACGCAACCATTAAGCGCTTTAATTCTATGTATAGCCCCATTTCGGCCGAATCTTTTATATTTCAGTATGTAATCTCGTCTAATTTTCATTTGTTTTCATTTATATTTAAATTATTTATTTATTTATTGTTTAAATTTATGTTAACTGTACATGAACATTTTCTTTTCACTTGAGTTAGTTCTGGTCTGAATTTGGCATTTATTTGCTATACTTATGCATTTCATCCGTAGAAAAAAAAACTTTAACTTCGCACCTTTTTTATATTACCTTGCTTAATGAATTTTCTTCTTCGCCTGCTTTCAATTCCCTTTGTTAAAGACTAATCAAATAATGTGCAGCACTTTTGTGCTGTTTGACCTTGCTTCGCTTTCAATTCAACTCTCAGAAAACACATAAAAACCGCATAAATTTCAATTTGATCGTGGCATACATAAACAACAATATTATTTCCAGCTTGTTTCCACATGGGTTCCTTTCACTTTTTTTCCTCTTTTACTTTTATTCGGCGGAGGTTTTATCTAAAAAAACAACTACATTTTTATCTTGTCACACTTATTAACTTTGTTTTTTACTATATATGCGTGAAATGAACATTTCAAACATTAGCGTTTTTATGTCTGCCGTTCATTTATGTTCTGTTTTATTTTCATTTTCAACAAAATAGTCAACACACAGACAAAAACTATCTATTCATTGAATAGTATTAAAAAAGCCAAATTAAAATGACACACGAGCATAAAAGGATTATAATCAGTGCATGCGACGACTGTTTACAATTAATATCTATTGCAACTTCGGATATATTTCTAGTTCAAACACTATTAATTTTTCACAATGTCACAGTCGGTAATTGAGTTTTGGTTTCGTGTTCGGTTTTTTATTTTTCTAAGTTAAATTTCACTATTTTTTCCGAACTAAAGCTGATTGCATGTCTTAACGGAAAATTCATGTATTCTCTCACTCTCCATTTTTCCTCGGTTTGTCCCCACTGTGTATACGTTTTTTTTCCAAAGTTTTTGTTTACTTTTTCCGACACTTTCAATTGCCACTTTATTTGAGAGATTATATGAAAAAACGGATGGAACACAATCTCAATGAATCGTTCGGAAAATCCATCTGGAAATATAAAAAAGGCATAAAACAAATGAAAAAGAAAAGACATGAAAAAAAGTTATCATATAATAATAAAAATATCCTTGATTCATATGTTAGAGTGTCATTGGTCACCACATAGATGATACAGTGATATTTTATTTCGAAGCTCACATTGCGTGCGTCCCAACATCACAAATATGAAATTTCAAAGCATTAAACTGTAGTCATTAAGTTAATTCTAAGTGCTTATTATTATTCGACCGTATCACAAGAGTAGTTTTTTTATTGATTTGGTTTGCCCGTGAACTATTTAATTCAATAGAATGTTCCTAGAAAAAATCACGACACCACTTACCTGCTTCAAAGTAGATGGACAAAGATAAATTTTAAAATGTTTCGTTGCAAATCCCGTTGCCCACGAGATTCCAAGAGAATTTATCATTGAAGCGTGCTTTTGTTTAATATGATTATTCAATTTTGTGGTGGTCAACTTTAAGGTACTTGTAATTTATTTCTTAATGCTAACGTTTTTTGTTGTTTGTCTCACATTTTTCAACAGCCAGTTCCAGAAAGTGGTTTTTTTTTGGCTCAGTTATTTTGTAGAAGAATGAATCGAGTTGAAGTTTTTGTTTAAAGCGAACGAACTGTAATTCGTGGAATAAGAAAGAGAAAATGTTTTTATTGTTCTTTTCCTTCTAACATTTGTTCACTTCATTTTCATGTTTTTTCCCATGTCGTATTGTTGTTTTTTCTTTCTATTATTATTTTTTTTTATCTTGAAATTGTGTTCGCTCGATTCTCCACCACTTCGGCTTATCAGAGAAGTTAGTGTCGCACGGAGATAGAAAGGCAGCGATAGAAAGAGAGAGTTGGGAATAATAGGCAATCAAGAATGAAAGGCAAGAACTTTTGCAAAGTGTATACCGAGGATATGAAAAATCGGCTGAAATTTCTATGTAGAAGTTAAAGAAAAATGATACGCTCAATTGCTGGCGGCTATTTATCAAATCCACTGTATCTGTAATAGAAGATAGAGAAAGAGAAAATGAATGGAAATAAAAAAAAAACAAGAGTGTTGAACATAATAAATTAAAGCCCAAACAAAAGAACAAGGCAAGTTAAATTCAACTGCAAACCAAAAATTCAGACTTAATGCAAACTGTTTTTAGCTTGAATGCCGATCGTTCAGTAATTTTTGTGGGAATATTTAAAATGTTTGAACATGAATGTCTGACAATTCATTTCGAATCTTCTGGAGAAAACATGCCAGCATGTGGAATACAGCGAAAATAATGTCAATACAAATTTGCACGGAGTAGTGGTTGTTTCATGCATAATTATTATTTATTTTATTTATTCTGAACCATTTCAATAAACATAATATTAACAATACGAGGGTCACTATTTAAGTTTTTTCAAAAACATATATAAGACAATGGGGTTTCATCGAAAATGGTTTTATTATTTTTCAAAATATGCGCCATGATGATCAATACACTTTTGCATTCGCTCGAACCATTTGTCATAGCATTCATGCCATTCCGAAAGTGATATCTCCAAAACGTGTGTTTTGAACGCATCAACTCGTCGATGAGCGATAGGCGACCGCGCTTGAATTCGTTGTACCAATTATAAATTGTCCGAAGACTTGGTACTTCATCGCCAAAGGCCAAATGAAGTTGATCAAAACACTGTTGTTGTGATACACCCAATCGAAAGTGGAAAAAAATAATCACTCGAAAATTTTCACGAGTAAAATTCATTTTTTGGCTGAGACGCAATTTACATGTTACGGTAAACAATACAAATAACGATCGAATGACAAAACGTTCTGAGAACGTTTATGCTACAAAATGTTAAACTTAACGAATATGACAATGGTTTGCATCGGGCAATACTAAAACATACATATTGAAGAAACTTAAATAGTCGCCTACGTATTAAGAAGTACGCTATGTGAAATGAATTTGATGACAGAAATCTATGGAATATGATAAGCTCCGGATATTAAGATAATATGTACATCAGATAAATCTCTCGAACATTTTTAGTGCACTATGTTCACGAAGAATTATAATATAAGTTCAGTCATGTTGAATAAATATTATCAGCGACCATCTGGAACGTTTAATGTAAAATTTTAGTTTGCTCGTACCAGCTCGTACATTTTATTCAAATTTGTAACAATTCTTTCATTCTGTTCTATGGTATTCATTATTTCGGGAATTGAAAAGTCCAAAATATGTTAAAACTTCCTCTCACAAATAGTTCAAAAGCATGTACCATTAATAATATGCACAATTATTGAATTTAAGTGGTAAAGTTTTGTTGAACTGGAGTCTCGATAAGCTTGTTTTTGTCTGATATTTTGTTCGATGATTAAAATTGATTTGCTTCTGACGGTTTTGCTTCATTGTCAAATGATCACTTGCTCCGCCGAACACTTGATTACCATTTTTGCAATCTATAACTGTCAGACGCATATTTTATAGATTTATACTCATAAATGACACAGAAGGGAGTAATTGTATGGATGCAAATTGTTCAATGAAATTAGATAGAGCGCCACTGTTTTTTAGCTTTTGTTTCCCATTTATTTTACATGCGAAATTTCATTCAATTTATCCACCACGAAATGAGTGTATCCATCCATAAGGCGAATTAGAAATTATGGAAAAAGGGTGGGCATGTTGTAGGAGATAAAATATATAGCGAAAGAACATTTGTGAGTCATATAAATATGTAAATCCAACCCATCACTCAACTGTCAAATGTAATTTTTCAATCATGAAAATGAAATAGGAGTTTGAGTTTAATATCACTTATATTCTTTCAGATGTGGCAATGAATTTTGTTTCGCTGTATGTGTGAGTTATCTGTCGAATCGAATGAATAAACTTTCGTTTGTCACTTAAATATGAAAAGGGAAAATGTATTTTTTCTCAATGCGATTGAAAACTCTTATATTTTCCAGTGATTTTTCTTCTTTTAATTCAGTTGTGTCGGTGATAATAGAAGGATAAATTTTAGTCTATGTATTTTCACACAACATTCGTTTAATGCGCGTGAGCTAACAACCAAAAACGAGAGCGTGAATTCCACAAAAATACACATGCATGCATCATGAAGAGAGAGAAAAACCATTTAACTCTGTCCCGAGTACCTCTTATCTCCATTTCGTATTTTGAGTGTTGTATAGAAAAGTGATGGAAAATAGAAGTATACCGTAATAATCAAATGCGACATGTGGGCACCAGAAGTTCAAAAATGCTGTATATGCCATTCAGTTCTCGGTTCTACTTCATCTAATATTTATATATATTGAAAATAGAAAGACTTTTCATGGAGTAGGTTATAATCATTTTGGGTATGTGTCAAAGTTGTTTTACATCTCGACGCATTCACATTTGTCTATAATTTATTATTCATCGATTTTATTAAGTTTAAAATCAAAATAAATAACCTTTCTGCGCGACGTTGAAATAAAGTGACAATTTACAGTATGCGTCACTTTGATTGGATTAGTTGAAAGAACATAATTTCCGAAATCAACCAAAATTGAACGCAAACCTTTGTAGAAATAGAAAAATTAATTTAAGACTGTTCAAGTTTTTGTTTAACTGAGATTTTTGGAAATGAGTAATATTTTTTTATAAAATGGATGTTAGCGATCAAATGATGATCATTCAAAACCAAATTCTATTAAAAATGCATATTTTCGACACTTCATTGAGTAAAGATGACAATTCTCATTGAAATTCGTCATTTTTTATTCATAAAAATAATAACACATTCTTTCAAATTTTTATATAATTTGCTTGAAATTCTAGTTTTCTGTTTTTATTTAGTCTAACCTAATGGTAAGCAGAAGATTATCCTGTTGTGACCAATATTGCCATATTTTTTACAGTGTGTTTGGTTCGATACAATACGGCTGAACGAGCCTTTATTTTGATTACTGCGCAATTAAACCGCGTTTAACTGTCAGAGTCAATGACGCACTAATGAGTCAGATAGATTTTATCGATATTTGTAATGTAAAATTTGATCAAAAGTGCAAAAATAATGAACAGCAACTACTACAAAAATCGTTGGTTGGCGGTTTTTTTGTGTTTACATCGTCGGGGTCCAAAATTATCCATCATGGATGCGGCAAAAGAGCTTAGATTGTCGAATTCGTTTGTTCAGATGTGGACAGAACGATATAGGAGTGAAAAAAATGTTGATGACCACGCTGATCCTCATGCACAAAGAGCGACCACAATTCGTCAAGATAAGCAAATTGAACAACTTTTTGATAAAAATCAAGGAATGTCGTTGCGTACTGGTCAAATTCGATTGCGTCGATTAAATATCAATGTTTCAACATACACTCTACGCCAAAGACTGATTGGAAAGGACTTCAAGTATCGTCTCGCTTGGTCAAAAGAAAATTCAACAAGAGAGTGGGGCAATGTAATATTCACTGATGAATCGAGATTTATGCTATCAAATAGCCTCACTCACATATGTACGGCTGGTAATAAAAGCGACTTTAAGCTGAAAAAATCTTAAAAGTGTCTCATAATTTGTACAGGATTTACATAAGATGGAGACGGTTTAAAAAAACTTAAAGTCACTTTTATTCTCAGCCGATCATATGGTCTAAGCATGGTAAGCGATGGGTTTTGCGAACTGTAAAACATCCAGCAAAGGACCATGTTTATGGAGCATTTTGTTCGGCTGGATTCGGAAGATTAACATGCTTTACCGGTATCCTAAATTCTGAGAGAATGAACCAACTGTACCAGTCGACTCTGTTGCCTACCGCCAATAAGATTTAGGGAAAAAATAATCGAAACTGGCTACTGCAAGAAGACAACGATCCAAAACACAAAAGTAATCGATGTAAGCAATTCAAAGAGGGAAATGGGATAAATGTTTTGAATTGGCCAGCGCAGTCTCCCGATTTGAACCCAATCGAAAACGTATGGGGACTTTTGAAGGCAAGGCAACGTGCAAAAATTTTTAGAAGCATCGTTCAATTATCTGCATGGCTTACGCGGCAGTGGACCTCGTTTGATGTTGAATACGAAAAAAATTTGGCCAAAAGTATGGAAAATCGCTGTGCTCGTGTTATCAACCGAAAGGACGAGTGGATAAATTATTAGTACCTGGCGCAGTAGAGGTAGATAAGGTCTTGCCAGTCACCCAAACAGTTTCAATTAATATGATTGTTCAATGTATTTTTTGCCGTATTGTAGCGAACCAAACACACTGTATATGAATGAAAGAACCTTGTCAAATCTATATGGTTGTCGCTGTCACTTCCATGAAAATTCACATTTGAGTTCGACAGCTGGTTCAGTTTTCGAATGAAGGCAATTTATATTTTAAAATCGTTTATCTGAACTAGAGTTCTTTTTTCAAGAAAATGTTTTGATGTTTAGCACTTTCACTACCTAGTCATTTGTCAAGCGTAGGTTGATCGGTTGTTTTTTGAATTTTTTTTGATTGAACAATTTTTGATTATTCTCAGATTTTTGTTTATAGTGTTTTTTTAAACCACGACGACTTTTGCCTTTTGAATATTTTTAAGTAGTTTCAAGGTATATTAAACCTAGGAAAATATCTGTGACCGATGGTAAAAAAAATGCATCAAGCATTAGATAATTAGCCTGCAATATGAGAAAAATATAGGCAAAGTCGACTTTCGAGGCTCATTACAAGCAAACCATTGCCATGATCTCGCTCCAATTTTGCCAGATAATTGTACTGAACGTCGCCTTTCAAACCATATATATCCTATTTGCCGATGAACAGTTACCCTGAAGCTTCAGGGGCCTGAACCGCCACTACGTTAATAAGGGAAAAGTACATTTTTGGGACTGAATTCAATTCATTACATATATCTCAAAAATCGAAAAATGTTTAAAAGGAATTTCAATCTATAAAATTCTTATTTTATTCGGACAGTAGTTTGTTTCTTCTAGTAGTACGGTCTCACGTTTCACATTAAGCTCTAC